AAAAGTTTATCCTTCCATATATTTCTTCCTTACAGGATAACCAATGAGTCCTAAAGTAACATCAGTTGTAGCCCTCTCTTAGTAACCTTCTTCATACATAGCATTTTCAGTGATAAAATCTGAACACCTTGCCCTGGCTTCGTTTGTCCAATTCCTATGCGCTCTATCCATGGCCTGCAAGTCTGCTTGAGGATTCCAATCACTATCAAACAAAATGACAATATCGGCAGTAGTTAAGTTAATACCCAAACCCTCCAGCTCTCGTTGTTAACAAGAACACAAATTTTGAAGATCCGAGGCTTATTGTATTCATCAATTGCTTGAATTCTGTCAGCATGGTCAGTTTGCCCATCGATTCTGCAATATTCATAACTGCGGAACATACAGTAATCTTCAAGGATATCGAGAACTCTAGACATTTGGGAAAAAATTAATACCCTAGACCCTTCTTTCTGGAACTTTTTTAACAATTTATCCAAAATGATCATCTTCTGGGAATTGTAAACTAAATGTTCATCCGTTGTGTATGGCGGACCTGGCTCTGCACCTTCAAACAAGTACGGATGGTTGCAACATTTTCTCAATTGCATAACAATATTGAGCAATCTAGTTTTAGATTCCTTTTTGCCGTTTGCTCCATTAACAGCATCCAAGTCTTTTTCAAGAATCTTCTGATACCATTTGCGTTGCATGTCTGTCATTTTGACATACACATTCATTTCTTGCTTTGGCAAAAGAGATTTTTCAACATCGGATTTAATACGGCGCAATAAGAACGGCTTGAGCACCTTGTGTAACTGAGCTACCACTCCCCCATCACCCTGAGAAGTTTCTTCTTCTTCAGATGTAAACCATTGGTCGAAAGCATCACTATCGCCGAAAACATCTGGTAAAATAAAGTTGAGCAAAGCCCACAACTCGTGCAAGTTGTTTTGAAGGGGGGTTCCTGTAATCAAAAGCCTGTTTCTCGAGTGGAATAATCGAATGATCTGGGATAACATTGACTCTTCATTCTTTATTCTATGCGCTTCGTCTATCACAATGTATTGCCAAGCAAACTTTTTGAATGTTGATTTTTCACGGATAACAATTTCGTAGGATGCAACAACAACGTCAAAATCGCAGGATAATAATTTGTTCTGTATTAAGTGTTGTCTCTCATCTTTATCACCTTGCAACACAACCACGCGAACTTCTGGAGTCCACTTTGCAAACTCTCTTGCCCAATTATCCAAAGTAGACTTTGGAGTAATAACAATATGTGGACCCTTGACGTTCTTGAAGTATCTCAAGTAGCCTAGAAACGAGATAGTTTGCAAGGTTTTACCCAAACCCATCTCGTCGGCCAATATACCAGACAAGTTATTCTCATACAATGAAACTAGCCAGTTAAGGCCCTGAATTTGATAGGGACGAAGCTCTCCATGTATATATGCTGGACTTTCAGTGAATTCAACAATAGAAGGGGTGTCCTTTTCGTCATCCAAAAGCTCAGCATCTTCTTCACGTTCCGTCTTTCTTCTTCTATTTGCAGCATCTTTGGACTTCGATGCTTTTGGTTCTTTGCGGAGCTTTTTCATGATCTCGCCCAAAGATGGGATCCTTCTTAGCTTTGGAATCAATAAAAGTGCTGGAATACATCAATGAGCCCCAATAAGTATTTGGAACTTTTTTCACAGTCTCATCAATATCAATCTTTAGGCTTTTGTATCTGGGGGCAAATTAACTTACGCTTGTATCGTCAGATTGACCTGGTTTGCCGTTGCCGTTGAACTTTTCATCCTGTCTGATTAGTATACCATGATTCAATGAAAACAAAAGTTTTGTTGACAGTTATACGAACATTTGGCGAAGGAGTTGGGGTCTGATCGCTCGAATATAGAGCGTCCGTTGGTTCCATGATTTTTTGCCCTCGGAAGAAAACAGTCGCAAGAATTAGATTGACGTTGATGGACAGTCGCTTTTCCTCGCGTCGCGCGCCTGTAGCTATGGAGGAAAATGCAACTTAGCGCGAAGATAGAGAGAGGAACGGAGAACGCTCTTAGTTCGTAGGTAAAAGCTCAACTGCGGTAAAAAAAAATAAATAGATAATATTGGAGAGACAACTATTTTGCAAATGGCTAGGGCTTGATTTTACTTTCACTTGCAACTAGATTTCGACATGTCGTCCTCGTCCAGTCGACGGTGGTACGTGTACATTGTCACAATTCCATGCTTCCGTCTACTTCGTGATGGACGACGTTAAATATATGATAAGTGTTGTCAAGTCTTTCAGCAAGATATAGCAATATCTATGTGAGGCAGTATCAATATTTTCGCACCTGTGCAAGAGTATGGAATGAAATGTAGATGGGAACGTCTCAATATTAATGATTACGAAATGATGAACTTAACAATATGGTCGTTAGAAAATGAAAGAATTTTTTTTTTTTTTTTTTTTTTTGCTGTTACCTAAGGTCATGTCCAGGTTTTTGAAACTGTCGATGTTGTTACGTTTGGGTACATACTTCTGTTCTGGGGCTGTGCTTGATTTCTGTGATATTTGCCTGCATGACTTCCGTTATGATGATCTATATGCTCTTATCGCAATGTAAGTGGAACCACAAAAATGAACTGAAGTGGCATGGTTGGCACCATCGATGAGTCTGTTTGTGAGTACACGAAAACCTTCCCGTTGGTGGAGACCATCAGAAGGCAGAACCCAAATCTTTGTCCAATAACGGATACCAGGGGAACTCCTAAAGTACTCACCCGCAAAAGACCACAAGCACCAGATCCAGAATGGGAAGCACCCAGCTCTCCTCGAAGTACCCCAACTGATATAGGACCTTCTTGCAACCAACCGTATTGGAAGTTCCACCTTCTTCGCTTTGGTTCCACTATGTACCTTACCACAAACCCAACGCTAAAGCATCTCAATTGCAAATCGTTTCCTGGGTATCATATAACCCACACTTGCAGCACAGATGGCACTACCATGACATTTTCTGACCTCCATAGTGGAGAAGAGATCATTACCTTGAAACGAGAACCAAAAAAATCGAAGAATGTCGTCAGCTACGAAGTCAATAGGATGAGAAATCTAGAAGGTAACCTAGTGAAGATACCTGACCCTGAACAGACATTTAAAAACGAGGCAAGCAAAAAACGTCTATCGAAGTCTATGTCAGTAGAACATATGGGTGCGTCTCCTGTTAACTACGAAACTCTGTGTGGTGAATGGGGCACCTGGAACATTGGTTCTGTCCCCATATATACATCTTCCCGTCTTTCTCGGAAAGGCCCCAATATGATTGGAAAGCAAAATGTTTACTTTCACAACCTTTCAGTGGATCGCATCTCTTGGGGAGTTGGTGACATACCTCCTGTTGTAGCGATGTATCGCAATTGTGAAAGCAGTACTCGCAAAAGAATGGTGCAGACGATACACAGACTACGTCCAAGTGAATCTAAACAAGACTATAAAAGATCCACTCTGGTTGAAACGCCTTTAACAATGGATCCTGTTACTGATGTTAAATCATACTCCCGCGCTGGTGATGGTCTATATTGGAATAGGCACCCCAAAGATGATGAACCAGATCACAGATACAAACTCGGATGGCTTACTATTTACGAGAACACCGACTTATTCAAGAAACCGGGCATGTTCGATATAGTTGTGGCATTAACTGTTGCAGTATCGTGTGGGCGCAACACGTAATAAAAGTCTATTCAATATTTTCTAATTAATGTGCATTACCTCCAGTGGAACACGCGTTTTACTTGGCATCGAAGATTCTGTACGGATACTACCATCATTTGATTTCTGATCCCATTTTCACAGAGTTTCGCCTCTAGCCCGAAGAAGAAATTATTCGGTGAACATACTCCAGAGTAAGAACATCTGGGCAAGCTTGAGGAAGCAGCGCATTCATGAAATGTATTTTGAACTCAATTTCGAACAATTCGAAATGCAGGCTCGCATGAAAAGATATGCAGATGCTCCTGACGGAATATGCTTGCTCCTTAACTGAACAACAACAAAAAAAAAAAACGAAAGCACAAATCTAAACATAACATTTTGGAGATGGAAGAAGAGCAACCACTCATAGCCGGAATAACGATTCTGAAGGAAAGCTGTGCCAATGCTCGCCAAGTGTTTCGTATTGCACAGAATTTGAAGCTTTTGATTGATAAAATCATTCCTACAGTGTTTGAAGAGAAGGATATTACCTCATCACACTCCCCCATCTTAAACTCCAAAGTTATCGAGTTAGCTTATGCTGCAGCTGGTGGTAAAGGTGATGGTAAGGAAGGTACATCGTCTTACAAGTATAGGGCGGCATTGATCTTTGCACTCTTAAAAGTTACAGACTGGTACTGGCAACAGGCTGATTACGAGCTCTATGACAATGAGCTTTACTCTTTAAGGGCTGTCGCAGCTCAAGCGTTGGCTGCAGCGATCATTGAAAGGACTCTTGATGACGAATACTTATTTTTGGGAATGCTATGCCACAGGTACACGATTAGTCTTGATGGTGTTGAAAGTGAGCCTGTGAGTGCATTGGAGTTGGCAGTTGATATGCACTCTACTACAATCATCGGATCGTCTGGCTACCAAAGATGTATTAAATGGATCTGGCGAGGTTGGATAGTTCAATCTTCTACTGACCCGCATTCATATGTTCTTTACAAAGGTGTTTCGTCCTCGAAGATCAGAACCCATTTTGATCCAGAAAGAATCAAAACACCAGCGTATCAAAATATCTTGGAGATTTTTTTCAGTTTCATATACTTGGCGTTGTTCACTATCATTTTGAACACGCATCAAGTGACGACAACACCAATAGATTTTTTTGAGTTTTGTTTCTACGTGTTTACTTTGGGTTCTATCATTGATGAGGTCGTGAAACTTTACCATGTTGGCTGGAATTACGTTGGGTTTTGGAATGTGTTCAATGATACTATGTACGGTATTATCGTTGTTGCTATCACTTTCCGTTTCGTGTCTTTGAACCACCACGGCCCACTACGCGATCTGTACGATGAAATGAGCTTCAGAATCTTGTCTTGCGCTTCCCCTTTGATGTGGTCCAGACTCTTATTGTACTTGGATGCTCAACAATTCGTTGGCGCGATGATTGTGGTCATTAAGACGATGATGAAAGAATCGCTTTTGTTTTTTGTTCTTTTGGGCGTGATCATTCTTGGTTTCTTACAAGGATTTTTGGGTTTAGATGCGTCCGATGGAAAGAGTGAGGCGACAAAGCATATTTTCATTTCTTTACTCAAGGCTGTTGTTGGAGCATCTGGTTTTGAGGATGTTGAGGATTTGGTGCCACCGTATGCGTCCATCTTATACTACATCTACTCGTTTGCGCTTACTGTCATTTTGATGAACATTCTTATTGCCTTGTACTCAACTGCGTACGCTGCAATTGTTGAGAATGCTACTGACGAGTATTTTGCTCTCGTCGCTCAAAAAACTTTGAGATATGTGCGTGCTCCAGATACGGATCTATACGTTCCACCTTTTAACCTCATTGAGATTCTCTTCCTGCCCTTATGCTTTGTTTTGTCTAAAGAGAACTATAGAATTTTCAACCACTATGTGATGTTAGTCATTTACGCTCCAATGTTAGCGTATATCACTATGGATGAATTGAGAAATGCCAAAAGAATTCAATACAATCGATTCAAGGGTCTACCAGATGATGCAAACGAGATGAATACCGAGTGGGATATGACGGATGGGTATGACGCTGACCAGGCAGATTCCTCATGGGAAGGAATCCGCTCGAGAAACAGTGAGATTACAGAAGCCATCAGGGTTCAAAGACTCGCAGAAGCAGAGGACCCTGAGTTTTCCATCAATTTGAACCAATTCAAGACCGACATAGCCAAAGTAGCACAACCTGTGGCTAGGGCTAATGCACTTGGTCTTAAATGGGAGTTTTACGAAGTGTACCAAAAACTCGAGGAATTGACAGGTTTGGTTGAGACTGTTTTGAACGAAAACAAAAAGCTTAAGAAGGAGCTTTCAGAAACTTCTAAAGGACTGAAGGCTTAAGTGTGTAGACTATAAATATATCAGTCAAAAAGTATGCAAGGATGCGCATCTGTATTTTACACCAACGTAACTAAATCCATACCTCCTCATACATCACAAGAATTTTTCGGGCATTCAGAAAAAGAATCAAGAAATCATTTCTGTTCATACCTTAAATTGTGTGGTGTTCAAAAACCGTCCCCATAATAAAATTTTCAATCAAGACAATTGCTGGTGAAAAATCAAGGGGATTCAACAACATTCTTTCATCATCTCAATCATAAAGCGTTTGCGGAAATGGACAATCCGGAACTAAGTACCCAATTCAAGAATGGGGATGACGTCCATTTCGACTATTCAAAGGAGTCTAACCAAGAGGCTTATACGATACAAGAGAGCCTGACTGCGAGCAAGAAAAAGAAGAAAAAGAAGAAGAAGAAGAGCAGGAAGACCACGGATAACAATCCGCAATTCTCACTATCCAATGCAAGCCTAAACGATCCTGATGCCGATTATCCTCAGTCTCGAGTTATAAAGGTTGACTCCAATGGGGATGTTATCGTTGAAAGCCTAGAAGACGAATATCCTCCTGAATCCACTTTCAAAACGCTCTCGAACGAGAGACTTCAGTATCCAGCGCAAGATATACAGCTTTTCCACTTTAACAACGATGAGGAAAGAAATTTCTGGGAGAGTCTACCGGAAGAACAGCGACGTGACTTTTTCCAGATTGATAGCAATATGATCATGGATAGGCTAGTGCAAAAGCTGATACATGGAAATCATCATTCATCAGCCCATCATGAAGCTCACGGAACTTATAAATGTTCATGTCCGTATTGCGGAAGAAACAGACAGCATATTGGACTTGAATTGGAAAATTCCTATCGCGATGAACTTGATGATATCATGGATTATGTTCAAAGTGTGCGCAATCCAGAGGACCTTAGCCTTGGGATGTACTCACTAAAAAGAGCAATTCGCTTGCATGGACATGGGTCTTTGTCACCGCGTGGCGTTTCTGAAGAGTCCAGTCGCCTACTGAGTCCAGCTTTTGAAGAGGAACGAGAAATTTCTGAAATATCTCGAGAAGCCCAGGTCAAAAGTCCTCCGCTTAGTAGCCAAAGCGATGAGAACACTTTGAATACACTAAAATCACTCGACTCCAATGGGACGTCCAAGGGCTCTTTTCCATGGAACGAACAAGATGAAGAGATTCCAAATTATACAAGAATTATCAAACGATTATTGCCCACTCATCCTGAGCTTCAGTCGGCATTACCAACATATCTCAATCCATCATTTGTTGAGGAACGTGTGAAACAGGACATGGCGAATGGTATTGATGTTGTGAAAAGATCAGAACAGTATTTTCTAAATTTGCTTGCCCAATGCAAGGGCGATGAAAAATCGGAGAAGATACTTCAAATGATTCTTGATTATGGCCGTAACGGTCTGTCCGATATGAAGACGTCGTCGGAACTCCTCAGTAATTTTGCTGACCTAATCTTGCAAAACGAGGGTGGATCATTCGTTGATATGGTCGATTCTTTGACAGAAGCTGAACACCGATCATATAAAGTAGATGAGATAGATTCAGATGCAGAGGGTGCAGAGAATCACCACTACGCTTTGAGATTGCCTGAAGAGAAGGAGTATGGAGAAAATCTGCTACATAATCACTCCGAAACTACAGGGAACAATGATTCTCCATCCAACAATGATTCTCCATCCTTAAACAATATTCGTCAACAAAAAGACGCTTCAGAATCTGAAGACCACCTTGAAGACCGACAAAAACGAAGTGATGATATGTTGCAAACCATGACGACCGAGCACAGCCCCAAATATTCACACGGTCAACCACTACGTCACGACAGACGTGCTTATGACGACTACGAAGACGAGCATGAATGCCAACACGAATTTGCTGAAAGCAAACAAAGTCATGTCCAACATGAGCAAAACTTTGGCCATGAACATGAGTTAAACGATGAGATGCATGATCACATCAACGCCGGTGATTATGAACAAGATGAAGATAGTGACTTCGAAACTGAAGAGTCTCGAGATGCGCGCTTGGATGAAGTGCGCTGTTTCTTTTTGATTCAAGTTGTTCAGGTGATCAAGCAGAAGTTCTGGAAAGCATATCAGAAGAAGATATCTGAGGACCGGACACAAAAGTTTATCGAGGAGCTCGAAGCAGAAGAAAATGCCAAGAAGGAAAAAGAGCTCAAGAAAATGAAGCAGAAGGAGAAACAGAAAGAGAAAAAACGATTACAGCAACTTGCCAAGGAAGAAGAGAAAAGGAAGAAGGAGGCAGAAGATTTACAGAAAGCAGAGGAAGCTAAAAAGAAACAAGAGGAATTGCGGGCGGAGCAGTTACGTCGCAAAGAAGAACTTCGAATCAAGAAAGAAGAGGAGAAATTGAAAAAGATTGAGGCCCTTAGGAAAAAGGAAATTGAGCAACAAAAACGCCAAGAAGAGCATCGAAAGTCTGCTGCAGTATCTTCTAACATAGAAGATACTGAGAAGAAGGAAACAGCTGCTAAAGAGAAAAAGTCTATTCAAATTGGGAAAAGCCTGGGTTCCCATCCAGGGACACCTCAAGATGCAAGCGAAGTCGCAGCAGCAGATAACCAGAAGAAAGAAAGCACATCTGTTCATGAACAAACTCAGCAAAGTGATTCACAAGTAAACTCTACACCATCTTGTCAATCAAATTTGATATCTGCAATCTCTCAAACAACTCCATTATCTTCGTCCTTGAGGTTTGCAAGCAATCCAACGACCTTGGCACCAGACTTGGCTGTGTCTCCTGTTCAGAATCACTTGCTTGACCAGTTGTACCAAGCACGTCCACGTTCTGTATCCGGCACATCAGGTGTTCCCTCTCGTCCTTCGCCGCAACTATTTGCTGAGGGAAATTCAATGGTTGGCTCGATATACTCGCCAACCAAAAGAACTTCTCTCACCTCTCAACAAGACACTTCTTACAGTACATGGAATGCACTCAGAGGATCTGCCTCACTTCAAACTCAGCAGAATCCAGCGTTCTTTAGTCCCTTTCAAGGACAAGTTAATGGATCTAATGAATGGAGCTCGACGGATCCCTTTAGTGCTGTAAATGTCCAAAGTCAGACTATCAACTTGTCGAATCAAAATCTTTCCAACTCGAATATCGTGGGCCAAAGCATTCCTAACCACAACATTGGTGTATCGCCGCAGAATATACCATTTCATGATGGTGTGAACTTTCCAAACCAATTGCCAATTTCCTCGAATTCGGTATGGGCACCTGCTTATGGGCCTCGCAGTAATTCAATTTGGAATACTAGCACCAACAGTGGATCATTGTGGAGCAATAACAACGTCGGAAATGGACAGTTTTCACGTCTGTCTGACATTCCGTCCGAGTTGATTCTTGCCTCTACGATAGAAGCATACCAGGTTCTCCAAGCATCTAATCAAACTGTTTTTGGTATGGTACCGGCAACTTCCTTATTTCAAGTTGCGAAGTCACGGTTAGGCTCAGCGACATTAGGTATGGGCGAGTTCTTGGGATCATTGAGAGCTGGGGGTCAAAACCAATTTGATTTCGTCTATGACGATTTTGGTAATGTGACGCACATTAAGTTGGTTGCTACCGAAAGCCTTGTACAACCATTGGTTGGTCAGGCCTCTATTTCGCCTCAGCAATCGACTGTGCCCACCCAGCAGCAGCAGACGTTCCAGAATACTCTTCAACCCCAAGCGTCTCTCCAACCCCAAGCGTCTCTTCATCCGCAACAGTCACTCCAAGTGCAGCAGGTGCCTCCTCCGCAACAGGCTTTTCAATCTCTGGATATTCAGTCAGAAATAGATGCGCCGGCCTACAACTTGAATCTTTCTGGTTCTGTGCAAGGGGTAATCAACCATCTTGGACTTGACCAAACGAGGGACGAGATGTGGTAAGGCGCATATGAGTGGCACATAATATACCTTGGCAAGTGGAACTACATTTTTTACGAAGGATGTGTTGGTAGCATGTATTTTCAATCGATGGATGGTGACGAAAAGTAGTCGTTGAATGAAATGTGTAGTGTGTTACTGAACTAACAGTAATATTCCCTTTAAGGGTGCGTAGAGTCTATGGCATTCCAATTGTTTTTACTGTTTGGACGGGTAAGAATATTTTTCGGTACATAATCCAGATGGTATTCACAACGGCTTTGGTTATGTACTTTCTAATTATTACTTTTTTTCTTTTTCGTTTCAACTTGTCTCTTTAATAACTGCAATCCATCTGCTTGTTAATCCGAATTTCAGTCACATAATTAGTAGTTCTTCATGTTCTTCTGTCCTCCATATGTTCCTGTTAAAGTAGCTACATCAACACGCGCGAAAGCGAGACGAGCAGGTCCTGCTCCAGGCAGAAAATAAAAAAGGGAGAAAAAAAATACATCCCCTATGACCACGAGCTCTCGCGGTATAGATAATATCAGGCGCAGTGGGCAGAATCTGATAGGGAGGTGAAGAAGGGGATAGGCCGAACGAAGATCGCTATATCCGAAAACAAGGGTCTAGCCTAGGCTAAAATGGGTCGCGCGCGTAAATCAGCTTACCACGTCTGCAGGAGGCGGAGCTCACACAAAAGCCAAACTATACTGGGCCCACAAACTACATCCAAACGTGCTCACATAAATTTGGCTCGCTGTTTCCATAGTGGGCGATGCAGGTTCTGATACGAAGGAAACTCGTCATAGTGGGCGACGGCGCCTGCGGCAAGACTTCGCTACTATATGTGTTCACGTTGGGAGAGTTTCCCACCCAATATCACCCGACGGTGTTCGAGAACTACGTTACGGACTGCCGCATCGATGGCAAGCCCATCCAATTGGCACTCTGGGATACCGCAGGCCAGGAGGAATACGAGCGACTCCGGCCGCTCAGCTACCACAATAGCCACGTCATCTTGATTGGCTTTGCGTTGGACGTGCCAGACACGCTTGAGAATGCCCGCACCAAGTGGGTCGAAGAAGTGAAGGAATGCTGTCCGGAGGCCCCATACATTCTTATTGGGCTCAAGAAGGATTTGCGCATCAGTGTGAAAGACAGAGTGCGTTTTGTCCAAGTGGATCAAGGCGAGCGGGTGGCGCGGGAGATTGGAGCGCGGCGGTACATGGAAAGTTCGGCGCTCACAGGTGAGGGCGTGGACGATATTTTTGAGGTGGCTACGCGGCTCAGTCTTCTTTTGTCGGAGAAGCCTCAGCTGGCATGCTGCACCATTCTATAGGAAATAATGAATCACAATTCCATCGGTCTGAGCAAGCCGTATTACGAGTGAGAGTATAGCGTGGATGAAAGTGATGGGAGATGGTTCGCGGTACAGATGAAAAGCTCGGTCAATGTACAAGTAAATAATCAATACAATGAAACTTCGATATGGGACAAAGCTTTGGTGAAATTGCCGGACTAGATCGAGATAGCGATCGGTAACTTCAAAGTGCGCGCAGACGTTTTCTAGGTTAGCCGTCCATAGTGGCCCCTAATTACGGTTTGCTAATGTTGGTAATCTCTTCTTTCTTGTCTTTATTTCGTGTGCCTCTTCCCTTCGGGTTTTGGCTCGTTGAACGCTTTTGCTCGCCTCAACCACGTATATTCATGTAGATTCACCACTCTATCGTAGGATGGACTTGAGAGCGTATGTGCACACATTACGCACACACGCTAAATGTGCACCGGATAATTATGCGCTATTAGACTAATACGCACGAGCACCAAAACGCACTGAGACACAAGAAAAGACTGTCCGCTCATACCGGCGACATGACACGCCGACGCAGCGAAATGCGGCTATGCACGGAAAAACTTGAAATACGCCGGATAATAGCAATCAAGCTTGGGCAAAGATGCATCGCCGGCAGAATCAAGCGCAACCGATTCGCATTTGGCGCTCGGTCAATCGTACACAATCAGTGTGCGCAACCATTCCTGTTTCCACTGTTTTCCACAAATGACGTAGTCCTGTAGATTAGTCCTTTCCAAAGCTACTTCGACTACACCTCGAGCCCAGACAAAACACCTGGAACTGTGACACTGTTGCTGACGTCCATATCGTATACAGTTGTTGACAGAAGTGACAAAGTGGCACCTGCTCGTATTCTCGGAGTACGTAGCTTCCTGTTTCGGAGCTACTCCGCCGCAACGTTTGCTCTCCGCGGTGTGCACAGGGAGTGGGGGTAGGAAGTGCATACACATGGAAAGCAACTCCGGGTCACCCACTTGAAACATATATAAGAGGTGCCCGGAGAGCCAATTATGGTAGCTCGTCCCCAAAAAGCAATTCAGGCAACTGCCACGAAGGAAAAGAAAAAACCTTTATAAGAAAACGCAACTTAATTGTTTACTACCCCACATTACAAACTTCAAGATGGTTCAATCTCATATCAACGACGCAATCGGACCTCTCCCAACCAAGGCACCAGCACCACAGGACAATGTGCTCAAGTTGTTTTCGTTGAAAGGAAAAGTTGCCTCTGTGACTGGCTCCTCCGGTGGAATTGGTTGGGCTGTGGCTGAAGCATACGCCCAAGCTGGAGCTGATGTTGCCATCTGGTACAACTCGAAACCTGCTGAGGAAAAGGCAAAGTCTTTGGTGGACAAATACGGTGTTAAGGCCAAAGCCTACAAGTGTAACGTTTCCGACCCCGAAGAAGTGGAGAAGACTGTGGAGCAAATCGAAAAGGACTTTGGCAGACTAGACATTTTCGTTGCTAATGCCGGTGTGCCATGGACGGAAGGCCCATGCATTGATGTGGAAGGTGTAGACAGCTGGCACAAAATTGTCAACTTGGACTTCAATGGTGTCTACTACTGTGCTAAGGCTGCAGGTCGCATCTTCAAGAAAAACGGCAAAGGCTCGTTCATTATCACTGCTTCCATGTCGGGCCATATTGTCAACATCCCCCAACTCCAAGCACCTTACAATGCAGCCAAAGCGGCATGCATCCATCTTGCCAAATCGCTTGCTATTGAATGGGCCCCATTTGCACGTGTGAATTCTATTTCTCCTGGCTACATTGCAACGGAAATTTCAGACTTTGTTCCTGACGAAATGAAGACGAAATGGCAACAATTGATTCCTTTGGGTAGAGAGGGTGAACCGCAAGAACTTGTGGGTGCTTATCTTTATCTCGCATCCGACGCTTCTACATACACCACAGGTACCGATATTTTGGTGGATGGTGGTTACTGTGCACCATAGACTACGTATCACCGGAGTACAAAAAATAAAGTACATATAATTGAATAGAGATGCATCTTTGCAAGTGAAATTTGCGAAAATCCAACTATAAAGTAGTGTAATGTTTATTAGAGTACTTCATACATTTACTAATCGTGAACTTGATTCCCGCGCACCTTTATTCTAGTGTGCACTCTCTCCTTCTCCAAGACTAACCAACAAAGACTCAATTTGTGTATCCACATTCCCGCAATGGACGAAGACTTAACAGCTTCCCATTGGGACGATATCCTTTCGCCCTCGACACAGCTCTCGTCTACGAAGTATTCTACGCTAGAGTCTGGCTTTGCTGGGGTAAACCTCAATTCCCATTCAGATAGTGACAAGGATGAAAACGACGAGAATGGCTCGGAAAGCGGCGAATCAAACCCTGCTCAAGAAGAACAAGCTGTCCATTATGATTCCAAGTTTGGTGATACTTCCGTCTTCAATCAGTTGGAAAGAGAACAATTGTCTGAACTCCAAAAGGAGGAACGAAAGGAACATACGTCACAGTTGCTCTCGCAGCTTACAAGTGGGACCGATAGCATCGATCTCGAGAATAATAGCTCATTGCTTAGCAAAGTTGAACCCGGTGAGTCTTTGTTTCGCGATAAAGGTAATGCCCCACTTGCTGTCAGTAGTGATAATCATCAACCTTCAGGAGAAGTTGTCACGTCGCCGTCAAAATCTTCGCAATTGAAAAATGGTCAATTTAAAGCACATAGGAAAAGACGCTATCCTTCACTGACTGTGATCAAACATTTGGGGAGCTCTCAATCTTCTGATACCGATCCATTGGGACCGTTAGGTGCAGAGTCTACGTCTGAACACACTACAGGCCAAGCGACAGGAGGCAAAGCTAGCCTTTTGGTTCAGGCTGCTGATGCACCACTATATAATATCATTCCTGAAAGCGCAGAAGCTCGTCTTCAAAGATTAGCCTCACCGTCAGATGTAAAATCTCCGGTACGTGGTGATAGTACTTCATCTGGCGTTGACGGAAACGATTTGGAAATAAGCGTGGGCGACCCAGTGAAGGTTGGAGATATAGCCACAGCTCACATCGTTTATGCCATACGGACCAAAAACAAGAATCCTTCCTCAAGCTTCTTTCCTAATAATTCAAATTACATTACTTCTTCAAGAAGGTACAGAGATTTCAGATGGATATACCATCAACTTCAACACAATCATCCTGGGCTCATAGTGCCTCCTCCACCATCGAAGCAGACTTACATCGGAAGATTTAATGAAAACTTCATTGAGAATAGAAGATTGTCGCTTGAAAAGATGCTTGCCAAGATTAGTAAAGTGCCAGCTCTTGCCAACGATCCTGATTTTGTTATGTTTCTTACCAGCGAAGACTTTGCAGCTCAATCAAAAGAAAGAGAACAAATCAGCGGTACAGCGCCCATGAACAAAACGGATGATGATGCTAGTTCAACTTCTTCTCCGGCTGTAATCTCGGGCTCCACATCGACAGGCTTTATGAGCTCCCTCTTTTCTATGACTACAAAAGTGCAGGAGCCAGATGATTTCTTCTCCAAGAAAAAATCATACATTGACGATCTAGAGCACAACTTAAAAACCGTTTACAAATCCTTGGAACTTATTGCCAACCAAAGAGCTGACATTGTTGCGGTGGTTGATGAAATTGCATCAACAATTGATGCGCTAGCAGATTTAGAGATACTGAAGGTGACTTCGGAGCTTTTAGGGGCATTTGCTGAAGTACATATCAAGTTGAAGGAGAATCTTGAACGCGTCAATTTGCAGGATCAATTGACTCTTGGTTTCACCATTGAAGAGTACTTGCGTATCATTGGTTCCGTAAAGTATGTTTTCGAGACAAGAACTAACATTTACACCCAATTGAGTAACCTTGATCTGGAATTACAAAAGAAACAAGAAGCGTTAGACAAACTTAACATGAAGTACAAATCATCCGAGGAGAAGCGAAACATGTTGGCCTTTGAAGTGGATAAACTAAAGCAAAAAGTCTCTCACTTCGAAAAAAGTTTTCAATCTATAACAGAAACCATAAAGTCTGAATTAGACAAATTCGAAGTGGAGAGGATTGAGGATTTTCGTAACAGCGTTGAAATCTTCATTGAGAGTTCTATCGAGTCGCAAAAGGAAGCGATTGAGCTATGGGAGACCTTTTATGAGAGGCATAACCTAGACAAGATTTGACCTTTGTAATTCAAAGTCTCTCCTCAGATCATTTCTATCTAACGAATATATAAACTTTAAATGCACGCTTGACTCATGGTACATCACATGAACATGAGTCAATCGCGGATGTGAAATAGTATACTTCCGAGGGTAACCGGGGGATGATTCATTTTTTTCACACCTCCCCACCTGTGTTTAAGAAGACATAATATTGCCTTCCGTCTGTACTTTCTTTCTCGATCTATGCCCATACTTCTATCAGCATCATCATCTTTCAATCTATTTAGCCGATAATGAGCAGTCAAGTTTTATTGGACCCCGTTCCGCTTTCAATATTATCGATACCTCGAGATAAAGTGTGGCTTTTCAATTCACCTATCCTCCAGTTACTTCACGGAGAAGCTAAAAATGTACCAGAATACTCCTCAGATCTGGAACAAGAACTTCCATATCTGGATTCCGATGACGAAGACTCAACCTATGAAAGTGATGATTCAGTCAATGAATTAGATCCTATGGCTTCCAGCCATTTTTCGTCTAACTCCGGAATCAAAAGAAACAGTCTTTCAAGAGTCCTTTCCGAATCGAAGGTGGACAACTCAAGCAAACATGATGTTGCAAGCGCATCTTCAGGAAGTGGTACAGATCTTGCTTCTTTAAACAAATCTTCGAGTCATCATGACTCTGAAGAAGAACAAGATGACCACTTTTTCCATATTGCATTTACTCCGACAGAATGCACCGTGATCTGCTCTACTCACAAATTCGATGTGCTTTTCAATGAAGCTCTAAAAACAGCTCATCAATTAGAGTACAATGATGTTATCGTACTTGATGAACCGTATCTCAATTTGCAAGTGGACAGCGAGGGCGATTTCAACAACTCTGCAAGAATATTGGAATTGACTAGACCACTTTCCGAACATAAGATCACTTTGTTTTTTCTTTCTAGTCATTATACAGACATTGTTCTAATTCCATTCCGTTACAAAAAGCAAGTGATGAACATCTTATCAAATCACAAATTCCAGTTTTCAGAAGTGTCTAGAAGCTATATTGCAGAAAATATGAATCTGCCTGAACCTACTGAAGAAGATAATGCACTCCGTGGTTTCACAGCTCACGACCTCGAAAGCAATACATTGAAGCTTTTCAAGGAAGCGGGTATCAGCTCAGTAATCAACAGAAAAGTCAAGCTTCTTTTAACAAGTGCTCGCCGTGGTAAAACGAAAAGAAGTATCCTAAAAGCAGCTCAATGCATCGCTAGTAACGAAGTTCCAACTTATTTTGCAATCACAAGAATATCTAATACCAGTGTGTCCCTCATTCTACCAGGGTCGAGAAGAGAAAGGGCGCGTATGGGATTTGACTACAAAAGTATAATCGGCTCATCCCAAGAAACTATAATTCCCATCACTATTGACTTGACAAAGCTTCCACTAGACTCAACAGGAATAGTAGCTGGTGTGGCCAGTCGTCTTCTCACAAGCATGAAATCAGTTCCAGATGTCATCAGTAGTACTTTTGAAATGAACTACCTCTCGATGGCGCGATCGGCCATCATATTGATTCCAAAGGAAAATGTTAAGATTGTGACAAAAATGCTTGAGCAAATGAAAGATGGAACTAGCGACAGCGTTGTTGACAAATTATCACAATTCGAAATTTGATTTCCTTTTGAAAGGTGATGCGTGCTGTGCTTCATATTACTATTATTTTATCATTGGGTAGGGTTTGTATGTCTACTACTGGTTTGTATTCGTACTACATGGTTTTGGCTTCACAGTGTAGGTTAGTGTCTAAAAAGTATTTTATGGCATTGGTAGACGTTTAGTTTCTTTTTCCTTTCTTTTTAGACTTGACGCTAGTACTCCAGCCATCGTCGTCAACGGTAGGTATCTTATTTGCACTAGATGCAATAGCCAGCGACCATGATTGGCCGTCATTGCCAACTTCTTTTTCAACTTGTTGTCTCTTTTTCATGAATTCTTGTGCAAATCTTCTTCCATCCATGGTGGCTGAGGAACTGTAAATAGTTTCTGCGATCAACTGAACTGAATCACTGTGAGCTGGCAATGTGGTGAATACTTCAAGCAAATCGTCTTTCGATACCGATGGATACAAATTAGTAATTGCGGAACGCGCCCAAACCATGAAATCTTCTCTTAAAGCGACTCCGTTGACAGAGGAATGGTTTAAGGTATTAGCTGATGCAGCTCTCAACATCAGAGGATTAAGACTGCTACCGCTAGGTGTATAAGCCATTGGCGTTGCTTTTTTAGGGGCTTGCGGTTTCTTGGTGGCAACAGTGGTCCATGCGTTGGCTTCCTCTTTTGGAAGTGTAGATAAAGCGTCAGCTAAGGAGAGCTTGGGAGCCGAAATTGTTTTTGCTTTGGCCTTGGCAGCTTCAGCTTCATCTTTTTGAATTTCGGCCAATGTCTTCTTAATGGTTGGTTGAGGGTTTGAGTTGGCCCAATTAAAAGCCACCTTCTCAGGAAGCTTGTCCTCTTTGCTTGCAAGATTAGCTTCCAGCCTCATCAGTGCTTTCAACTCGGCCTTCATCTGTCTTTCTTTTTCTAACCGTTCGGCCTCTAACTCTTGTATTTGTTTCAAAGTAACGGCTGGTTTTGCCTCTGCAGCTTTGGCCCATGGCGCAATTACTGCGGCAGCCTCTTCGGTCCGTTTCGAAAAGTCTGTGGTTTCAGCCTCAACCTTGGCTGTTGTCACACTCTTCTTTTCGACTGGAGTAGTTTCTGCATTGGCAACATGGACTTCGTCCTCGGGTTGGGAAACAATACTCTTGGTCACTTCTGGTGATTGTGGAGCATGTGCTGTTGGTTCAGCTATGGTTGTTTCGGCAAGTGTATTAACAAGGGAAACTGGAATATCGTCCTCCTTTACTTGAGTGCTTGCTTGGCTCTCATTCTTGTCTGACGCAGGCGTATGGTCAGCAGAAGCCATAAGGTCAAAGGAAGTTTCGACGGCACTCCTTTTGACTGTTGGGAGGGGACGCACAAAGTCGTCATTCAAAATTCCAGTCACCATTGAATTGTGGAGATCCTGAAGCACATCTTCTGCCTTTGGTGGTTCAGGCACAAATGGGGAACTGACTCGAGAAACAGACTGTACCCCGGCCAACCATGGGGACAGGCCCATTCCAATTGGATCAGCGGTGTTAGAGGCGCCCATTCCACCAATTGACAGGTCCATCGCCCAGCTACTAGTGCGAGCTAATTGAGGTTGCTGGGGTTGGATTGATTGTTGAAGTAATGAGGGCATGTGTAACTGACCGAATCCAAGATTCTGGTTAAGGCCAAACAGCTGCTGAAACTGCAATGGCCGATCTCCCATGAAATCGAAAAGATTGCTAGATGATGGCCGCATGTTGGCAGCACCAATTCCGGCTGTAACATTGTTTCCTCCTACGTTGTTAGCGCCGACATTAGTCACCCCAACATTTCCCACGGGTAAATATTGGTGTAATGGTCCAAAAGATGCATTTGAATAACCAATTCCAACCCCAGCATCAGCAGAAGTTTTGCTCAAATCTGGATTCATCCGAATATTTGCCATAGGTATTTCTCTTGATAAATCTGGTAGCGGTACGGAGAAAGGATGCAAGAAATTATGGACTTTATCGCAGAAGTCCTTCAAGGCCTGAAAATTGGTTTCTTCTTGCCGCCGAATCTGCAAATCTGGAGTCAAATATCCATCTGAAAACCATTCTTGCATGACATCTCCAGTAAACGGTCCTTGTTCATTTCCGCTAGCGTCGAGGTAAATCCACTGTATATGTTGTGGTTCAACCAATTGCATTTCCTCTGACGGTTTTGGCTTGTTAGGGACTGGGAGATTGGGCGGAAGACCGACCTTGGGTTTGTCGATCTCTTCTCTTACAATGTCAGTGACTCCATCTTCATGGGTCGAAGCTCCAGCGTTCTGCACCTCTGGATGCTGTAAATCCAAATGATACACTTGTTGGGGTTTTGCAAGACGATATGATTCGCCCTTTTTGACTTCAACGTTAACATCCAAAATGGCGTCTTTGTTGTTGTACCATACTTGGAAAATCTGCCGCATCGGATATGCTTTGCTGCCCTTATTTGGGGATATTGCAGGAATATGGGATGTAGACGGTGCTGATGGAGGTGTCGAAACAGGTAAGGACGTTGTATTTACCAAAGGATTGGAAGTAGAAAAAGGCAGAGTTGAATCTTCGAACATCAGATCTGAGGTGGGCTTACGTGGCCTGAAAGTTAGTATAAAGCGAGTGAATTGCTTCTAATCATACATACCAGGTTGCTTGGGACATTTCTAAATTGATTATGTGAAAAGTCGGAAAATTTTTCTGTAAAGCTTGTCAAAGAAAAACTAGTGATGGAAAATTTTGACCCAGTGCGAGCTATGGTTTTTGGTGTAAAGATGCCCGATTTGGCCTCTTCAAACGTATGTCAACTAATGCCACAAAAATTCAGGCTAGTCAATTTCTAATGTTTCTAGTTTGTAAAATTTCCTTCAGTCTTTGTCTATTTTTGATTTATTAGTTACTTGTCTGGAATGTTTTGTATCTTCTTTCTTTGTGAGTATTTCGCTCACTGGTAGATCTACGCCTCGCTCTGTTCTGCGTTGAGACATCAGGAATGTGCCATTGATAACATACAAACGGATGATATATTTTAGATGGATACAGCAATATGTGGCATGAGTGTTCATGAACAATATGATTCCATGCTTCGAGTACTCGGACCCACAAACAATTCACATTTATAAAAGGTACTGTAAAAGACTTCTGCTTCCCAGTAAAAATGCTTTAGATACCAAGCTTCGCTTCCATTTCGGAATGGAAGTCTCTAGCTTCGCCATACTCGAAACCACCCTTGTAAACATCTTCCCAATCCACACTTGCCTCTTTATTTAAAAGAATATCTTTGTGCATACTATCGGACCCGCCGAGAACCTGGGGCTTAAAGTCAGTTGCCTCAATGATCTTCAAATCCATCGTCCTTCTAATTGGTTCACTGGCCCCGTATACACGTCTGTACATTTCCAATCTCGTTTGGAGCTGTGTTTCTTCCCAGTTTGCAATACGGGATTCAAGAGGGTGGCGGTCATTCAATTTCAGAGCTATGCTTAATGGACCTTTTTGCTCTCTCAAAGTGTCTTGCAAGCCGGGCGCATTTTGTGAAATTTCACCAAAGGTAGTTGTGCTCACAGCAGAAAGCTGTTTGTTTTCGGGAACAATTCTCAAGGACTATAATGTTAGTTTTTGCAAGATGCTCACAGTAGAGAATCAAGACGTACCATTTCGTATTTTGCTGGTTGTTCGCTTCACTAAGACTTGTGGTTGTTAGTGGCAATCGTGCGCGTGCACGACTACAATACGATTACTATTTGCATGCAGATCCCATGAAAGCCAATGTTTACGGACAGTTGCAACAAATATGGACAGACTACATTGAGACTACATTGTGGTGGTAGGATGTCATCTATCTTCTATGAAGATACTCTATGGTAAAGAGTAGGCCATTTCGTATGGTAAGGTTGGATAAAGTGCTTCAATTGCATGGACGCTTCCAATCATTCTTCTCATATCAATAGGGTCAGTAGAATTTAACCCAATATTTTTCTCCGATAGAAAATGGATATAAAATGTGACAAGTAAAGACTAGTATAAGCGTTCTATTGAGTGAGGTTAGTGTAGTCTAATAAATCTTTCACTGAACTTCCGATTTCTTTACTGCATTGGGTACTTTTGGAGAAGCAGGTAACTTCAATTGCTTATACTTTTGTTGCCACTGATACAAGTTTTTTTGTTTTTGATTACAGGTTTTATTCAATAAGCTTTTCTTGTACATGGCTGGTATTCTATAAATTGTGCAATAATTTCTTCTTCTTAATAATGACTACTTGAGAATTTGCATTTTTTGGTCGCATTATGTACTCTTGTACGTTTTATGAATATACCGATTATGAATCTACCGATGGATAAAATAACATTAGCCGTATTATTCACATTCTGTCAATGGGTTCATCAACAACATCAATCAACCTTTCGTCTTTATGTACATTATCTTTCAAACACGTAGGAATCCATTTCCATTCTTCTGGTTTCAATACGCCATTGAAACACAATGTTCCGAAAACAAGGACGACAAAGCCTACAGCTTGGAGAAAGCTAAATGATTCCCAGCCTAAAACCATTGCAACAAGCCACACCAATAACGTACGGCAACTGTCAATCGTGGATCTGGCTGTAGCAGAAAGTTGATGGGTTAAGGTAATACCACAGAAGTTGAAAGCTGATATGCAAACCATAATAAGCAACGACGAGAGTAAAACCTGCTTCAGTCCAAATGTTTGACCAAAAGACTCGCGCAAGTTGAAAGGCGAATCCACGAACTTTTCTGGAGACTGGACCAGACCAATGACAAAGTTCAAAATGACAAGGGCTGCAACCAAAATGACGACTCCAAAAAAGCCTTCTGTATAGACCAAACGCATTGGCTCAAAGTGAAAGCGACTCATAATGCGCTCCTCCACAACAAATTGCACTGCTTGAAATGAAACGGCTATAATTATCAAACCAATTCCAATCGCCACCAACACAGCATCCTCAGCTTGCATAGGCGCATTAGATCCGCTATATCCAACAATTGCAATACCGAGTGTGACAATAATGAGTGCAATCCATTCTAACTTGCGGATTCTCCGCTTCAAAAACAAAACAGACATAACTGCCACAAACAACACAACTGCTCCTCTTGTCATTTGATAAATGGAAACTGGAGTATAAACTAAGCCGATATTCATAAGGGTAGTTGCCAACATGTCACAGACAGAAGGAATTGCCAACAAAAGGCTTTGTCTTGTGGTAATCTTGGGTTGCTCACCGACCGAGGTGTATTGAGACCTCTTGGAGAAAGAAGATACATAAAGAAGATAGTAAACAAGATATATTGCTAGTTCACCGATGAACATTTGGAGGGTTTGAATGGCTGGCTGCTCGAACATTTTATGGGTGGAGACATCTGGATTAGAACAGTTCCTGACGCACTGGTTATCTTGATACTTGGTAAGCAAAGAATTGAGGCATCCACAGACAATTGTGCCTGCAACAATATATATTGTACTCCACATTTAGCGAAAAAGAAGAAGAAAATGAATGCTATAGGAGTTCGAAACCGCTCTTTTCCGATACGTTCATACGTACATGCATTCTGGGGCCGTGTCTCAGTGCGGTCCTTTCAAGACCGGAATGGGTGTGCAGGATAATTCCTGAGTATTCACGGGAGTTAACGACACTAGGACACACCGAACCGGGAGTAATGTCATCATTTGATAGATCAGCAGAGTATAACACATTATGGTTAATGATATTTGACTAAACAATGTCGGTTTATCACACCTTCCTGATTAGGAAATATTTTGGCGTTCGCGAGCCGCACGATGGTCATCGAGTGGAGAAGATAAATGTTGGCATATGGAGACACAAAAGCGCTTTCAAGTCAAAGTGGGTATTACCAAATCTTTTAATGGTATATGTAAACCCATATGGATCAATGTTTAGTATATTGGAGCATTTCAATGACCAGCAAACGTCCAATGAAAAGATATTTTCGCAGATGTCATATTGTTATACCTTTTCATCGTATCATCATGCATTTAAAAGATCCACCAAGCCTACTGAATCTTACTACAGTATAGCCTCTTCATTTCCCCCAAATTTCTAGTCATAAAACGGTTTGTCTATCATGTTCTGGGAGAATTTTTAATGGGATGCCATCTGGCTTTCAAAGGTTACCCGCAGAACCTCCTCCATATAGAGAAGGGTGTTAGAAAATTTTTCTCAACACATTTTGTTCTTCACCCAAAACTTATATAACTAAAAATGGCATTCGGTGATCAAAGAGGCGGCAGAGGCGGCTCCCGTGGTGGATTTGGCGGCGGCAGAGGCGGCAGAGGCGGTGCTAGAGGCGGTTTTGGCGGTGCCCGTGGTGGCAGAGGTGGTGCCAGAGGCGGTTTTGGTGGTAGAGGTGGTGCCAGAGGTGGTGCTCGTGGTGGTGCCCGTGGTGGTGCTAGAGGTGGTAGAGGTGGCGCCAGAGGTGGTGCTAGAGGCGGAGCCAAGGTTGTCATCGAACCACACAGACATGCTGGTGTTTTTATTGCTAGAGGTAAGGAGGATTTGTTGGTTACCAGAAACATGGCTCCAGGTGAATCCGTTTACGGTGAGAAGCGTGTGACTATTGACGAACCAGCTAAGGAGGAAGGTGCCGCTCCAACTAAGATCGAGTACCGTGTGTGGAACCCTTTCAGATCCAAGTTGGCTGCTGGTATTATGGGTGGTATTGATGAGTTGGGCATTGCTCCAGGAAAGAAGGTTTTGTACTTGGGTGCTGCCTCTGGTACTTCTGTCTCCCACGTTTCTGATGTGGTTGGCCCTGAAGGTTTGGTTTACGCAGTTGAATTTTCTCACAGACCAGGTAGAGAGTTGATCAGCATGGCTAAGAAGAGACCTAATGTCATCCCAATCATTGACGACGCTCGTCACCCACAAAAGTACCGTATGTTGATCGGTATGGTCGACGCCGTTTTCGCTGATGTGGCCCAACCTGACCAGGCTCGTATTATCGCCTTGAACTCCCACTTGTTCTTGAAGGACCAAGGTACTGTTGTCATCTCCATCAAGGCCAACTGTATTGACTCTACCGTTGATGCTGAAACTGTTTTCGCTAGAGAAGTGCAGAAGTTGAGAGAAGAGAGAATTAAGCCTTTGGAGCAGTTGACCTTGGAGCCTTATGAAAGAGACCATTGTATTGTTGTTGGTCGCTACATCAGAAGCGGTTTGAAGAAGTAAGCTTGCTTCAATAATTTTGTATTTTACCTTTTCTCCCTTTTGCATTGAAATAAACGTTACTGGAAAATCTATCTCCTGTCTCTTACGCAGATCAAAAGAAAAAAAAACATCAGTACATTATCAACAATTTTGTCGCACATATTGCATACACTTCCATTAGCGTAATCATCTGGCTATATCTTTTACTTTCTTTTTCCTTCCAATTTTTTCTTAAAAATAAGAAGCATACACATTTCTTTCTGCGAACTTTAAGGGTCTTTGTGTCATTTCTCAACTATTTTGAAACACCGGAAGCAGTGCCTAGTTTTTTTTACCGCTTGCTCTTTTATACATGAATGTTTTACCATTATTTAAATGAGTGAACAAGAAAAAAGCACTTCGGCAAGAGTCGAGGAGAATATAAACTCTAGCGAATCTCGCGGTACGCGACGTCGCCATAGCGTTATCGAAGTACTCAGTGACGAGTCAGACGATGGCGATGTTGAGATCATTAGTGAAACTTTACCTGCTGTGGATGTGAACAGTGGCGAAGAGGACGATGACGAGATCCAAATAACAGGCCACCAACAGCTCCAGCAAACAGCGCCACCCATAATACGGCGACAGCCGACTCCAGTTCAGCAGTCGCCGCAACCTCGAGAGAGGGAACGGAATGTGCGCAGGAGGACCACTCGCCATCGCAATAATGATGCCATGTTGTTTGTGGATTATGATCATAATGAAGAAAACGGGCAAGCTCGTTTTGGAATCGGGAATTTCCCAGAAATGGTGCTTCGTCAACAACGGGCACTTTTCCGTATGTTCCATTCGTTTTCACCCCCAGATGAGGTGTCAAGTGTAATCATGCGTCGACTAGAACTCGAAGACGAGAATACCCTAGACCGCAAAATTGAAAGTGAGAACCGCCATAACCGTAAAATGCTAATGCAGAAACAATACATGGCGGATGGGGAGGTGGAGGGATACACAAGCAATATATCTCCCGAGAAAAACCACATGTGTGAGTTGTGTGGAGTGATTTTGGGTGAAGGAATCCCAAAGGATTTTCAGCCCGATGCTAAATGACGATGAGAATGTTGGCCGAACATGCACAGAAATACAGAGTCAACGCCCCTTGGTTTTGTATACGACAGTGTTTCGAAGCAGATATAGAGCTTTCGAAGAGAGTATTTATGGCCAAATGTGGGCATGTTTTTTGCGGAAGATGCATCAAGAATATTGGAAACAGACCGACAGGAAGGCGTTCGAAGAAAAACGAGCGGCTAACAATACTAAATCCTCATGTCAGCGCACCTCGCAAATGCCCTGCTCCTGAATGTGGGTTTACATTCACGAATTCCAAGAGGACTTTCACGGAACTTTACCTCTGAGAATAGCGGCTTATTTATGGTAAACATTAGGAACGAGATATGGAACGAAATATTAATGAGTTAACTTTGTAATGTCGTAAATTACTAAGAAGAGGAGCGCGTTATAAAAAACATATTGGGGCAGAATTGAATGATATACTTGAAACCAAAGAAATAAGGTCAGAAAAGAAACTTAATCAATTCTCGCCTCGGATAATGTAAGAGGTCTAATATTGTTTGAGAAGATCGAAGAGCCGTTCTTGAACCGATTGATCTTCTTCAACTTTTCACGCACCACCATCACCGGAACAGTGGATTTTGTTACCAAGTAATTTGAAAGAGAGCCCAACAAAACACCTTTAATAGCACTCAGACCTTTGGAGCCAACCATAACTAAAGTGGGCTGCAAGTTGTCGATAAACTCTAGAATCAAATGCCTTGGAATCGGATGGTGTATGATTTCAATCACGATATGAATTTGCAACTTCGTCAATTTTAACAAGTTTAATACCTGTTGCTTTGCTCTTTGTAACATATCAAGCCTTGCTTTTTCTCTAGCTGACTCGTTCTGTGTGTTTCCCTTCAAATTATGATTGCTATCATTGTCTTCGATAACACAAACAATAAATAAAACCGACCCATCCACTAAGACCGTTCCCAAGCACCATTCAAGTGCAAAGATAGACTCAGGACTGAAGTCAATACAGAGGAGGAACATTTTTGGTTTAACTTGAGGGTTCACAAGCTGGAAAAAATTACCTCTAGTGATAGTCTGAATAACACGAGATTGTGAGATATTTGAGTCCACCTCACCTTCCTTTATCGTTTCATTCAACTGAGATGCGAATTCAGAATCCAACTTGTCTTCCACTGCAGAAGTATAAGGTATCATAAAGTCCTCTTCGGATGCGGACGGCAGAGCTTCTTGCTTCAGGGACGGAGTACCTTTCAGCGCCTGATACTGTTCCCGGCTTCGTAAGTAGTCATTTTCCTGATCAATAATCTTCTTCCTATAAGCTTGATACGTTTCCAACTTTTGCCGTCTAGATCCGGCATCCTGATCAGATCTAAATAGATCCAATTCGTCGCTACCTGTAAGAGCATGTTTGTTCTGTGTGAGTTTGGCAACAATATCCTTATCTACCTCCGACCCGATATTTTTAGCATTGGCAACGGCCCTTTCGTTTGCGGTAAGCTCTTCGAGTTTCTTAATAGTCGTGCTGTCGTTCAAGTTTGAGTTCTCCAATATGCTAGAAATTTCATTCATTTTGTCGTCATGACATGCATAGTTAGGTAGAATATTACCTGTTCCATCATATTGAAGCTTTTCTCCATCTTCGTCGTCACTGATGTGTTCCTCTTCACTTACCTCGTTGTCCCATACCTGATTAGGATTACTGTCATCGGCCCCAGTTTGGGATTTGGGGTCCATTCTCTCCAGCGGATCATGGTTTGTAATCGACCACTTTATATCTTTGTTGTTGAAGTCATCCAACAGTGTAGACGAAGATCTCGAGTTACTTCCCGAGGGCGACTTGGACCGACCCCGGTTAGACATGGATTTTTGGATGATGGCCAATTTTTCGGCTTCCAACCTACTCGCACGGCTTGACATTTGATTTGCAAAATATTTCGGATATTATATCAATGGGTGGCTTTGAAGGAAAATAACTCAAGTAGATATGAAGTTAAGTGTCGCAGTCAACATGTGTGGAAGGATATGCCAAGAAACCCCTACACCTGCACTCTGTCTGCGTCACTCTAGTCGAATAGCTAGGCTCAAATAATTTGAACTTCCGGAAATTTCCCAAGATATTCATCATCAGATAAAGAATTACCCGAACATTTCGTTCATAGACATTAGATTATTGTGGTTGTGCTACAAATTTGTACCATTAAGTCCCATTGGCAAATGCTACTTTAGAAAATGAATCTGAACAGGCTAATCATCAAGGTACTCCACCAAAATACTGTCACCCGATTTCAAGGCACCAAACTCCTCGATACTTTGCAGAGTCGATGGTAATACCGTTTTCGGAAGAGGTTTGTAAAGCTCGAAGTTGAAGTCATACTCTTTAATGTAGTCCTCCACCCCCATTACCGATCCTTCTAAATTTTCATCTAGCTCAACTAGATGCATCTCAACAAATAAATACACCTCATGCACCGCAGACGACTTGGGGAACTTTTGAATTAATCTCTTACCATCGGGCAATTTTATAGAAACTCTGACAACGTCTGCAGCCGTTGAATTTTCCACTCGAGATTGAAAGAAATCGCTTTCTTTAATGTGCCGAAGAAATGCGATTCTGTTCCGATGGCGTGTAGCTTTTCTTTCCTGTTCTTGTGACTGTGATTCCTTTTCTTGCTTTTTAATCTTGTCCTGCTGCAAAGATTCTAAATACGCTTCGTCTTGTTGTTCCTTGAGCATGCGACTGAACTCCATTTCCTGCTTATCATATCGTTTAGTCACCAATTGCGGATTATAATTGGACATATTACGGCGAAGGTGTCTCGCCAAAGCGCTCAATGTCGATAGATTAGCACCTTCCGCATTATTTGAGACAACATAACGAGGACTGGATTTGTAAATTATCGACATGGACGACATAACCGCAGGATTGTTCGAAACATTTCCAACTAGCGCAACAAATGGAGTGTTTCTTCTCCGGAAAGCAGATGATACCTCAAATGCTTCAGGGTCCTTGTCCATGTTACCAAAAAATAGTTTTGAATCTTTGTATGTTCCTGTGTCTTTGTTGAAAAGAGCAAAGAAGTCTTCCGATTGCAATAAGTCGCCAACGAAGCCTACGGTTGAGTTGTCTACCAACACGATTAGCATGAACTCGTAATCTTTTTGGGCCGCTTCGTAACACATGTTATAGTTGGACGTGCTGATAGAGTACTTTGAACCAGATTCAAACTGTGCCAAATCATGCGCAAATGTGTAACCCTCTTCATAATCGTCGTAGTTAAACTTCGATGACTTCAATTTGTGCAGAAGTGAAGGGGATGTGAGGCCCAAGAGATAGCGAACTAGTGAATAGAGAAAAGATAGAGATTTCAGTGCGAAGAGAACCACTAGCCATAAGAAAGACATTCGTTTCTGTGGTGCTCTCTCTTCAGACGAGCTAGAATCCTCGCTACCTTTCTCGCTGATTTCTTTCTCCTCTGCTTTTTTCTCTGCCGCTTCTTTCGCTTTCATTGAGACATGGATTCCCAACTCAAATTGCCAGTTGTTCGTTATACGAGGAGCTTTCGGAAGCTGAGGTAAAAACGAGGTCAAATCGAACTCATCCTGAAGATTGCGATGAACCACCGAGCTCTCAAATCTTTCTGCTCCCGTCAGTGCAACTGATTCAGAAATAGGTTCGCTAGGTACATGGTTTAGGCCATTTTCAAAGTAGTCTAGCACTGCGTTGTTTAAGTTCAGCCCATGGCGAGAAATCAATGCACGGGCCTTTTCCACATTTTCCGGATCATCCAAAGAAATTCCAGTGACAGTTACAAATTCGCCTAGAACGTTTTCTAAATCCGGGGTCGTGGGCATTGTACACTAAACTTGGAGGTAGTCTGGTGCGATCGCCATCAGTATACTCCCAAGAGGTTATATGCAATACACACTCCGGGGCACCCTGAGAAAACAAGGTGGAACAAATCACCTGCAAAGCCGTTGACAGAAAATCAGAGAACAGAAGGAAAATGCAAACTTCGCTCATACCGAAGGCGACAAGCAGTAATGCCAAGTAAAACCAATGTGTCTTCAATAGAGTGCTTGCACATGTCACCTCAGGCCATGTGAAGTAAGGTTTTGCCGTTTTCTTCCGCAATCGCCCTTCATGACTTCACATGGCCACGCGCTTCCTTTGACGCGAGCTTCTCACATAATTTGACATGCCTTACGTTACCGGTGGCTCTAACTCCGGACGCGTCCCGGCACAAAGAGCACCAACAGCAAATAAGTCAGGTACGATTACGCAAGACACGTTCCATGTAGCAACCCCGCCTTGTGTTGTTTGCTTGCGTCGGCTAATTATGTTTGACCGAGCAAAGAAATGGTCGAACGGATGCCCCGCGGACGCCTCATGCGCAGGAACATGAGTCAAGTGTGCAAGGAAACACCCGGTCGGAAAAACCAAGACCCCACATGGGCGGCGTCTCTGACACGAACCCTAAGTCTTACATGACGCTGATGAGTTCGTGGCAGTCGTTTTCATGTACTTTTTTCCGTATAATAACCTGTGGTGGAGATGCTACCTCATAATCTCTCCATAATTTTCCGGTTGCTTCGCGTTGTATTCTCTGCGCGGACCCCGCTCTTTGCATGCAATTCAATTTGCGGCGCGATACTGTTCGGAGCACTGCGTTATTGTAGGCTAAATTTTTCGAGTGTCGAGGACCCGAGCATATAGCAACACTCTTGAACATCTTTTCCTTTTTCTTTTTTTTTTCTTTCTTCTTCATTTTTACCTGCTGAAACTGTCGAAGAGGCTTACTGGTTTGAAAGCTTCAGTGCTAAATCCCTCTACGCTAACATATTCATTTTTGTCCTCGGTGCAAATTTACTAAGGCCATCACATGTCTCGTTTCCTCAAGTCAACTCTTTTCAAGTCACTTGCCGCCACAGGTGGAGCTGTTGGTGCTACAGTTATCTATCTCGACTTCATCAAACAACCAACTGAGCACCAATATGCTAAATCGTACAAACCGCTCATGACCTCTCTCGATGCCCCACCTTCAAGAAGTGAGCTTTTGAAAAAGGTGCAAAACACAGCCAACTTTGACGTTTTGGTTGTGGGTGGTGGTGCTACCGGTACAGGCACTGCTCTAGATGCCGCTAGCCGTGGCCTTAATGTCTGCTTGTTGGAGAAGAAAGATTTCGCTTCGGGTACCTCCTCCAAGTCTACCAAAATGGCACATGGTGGAGTCAGATACTTGGAGAAAGCCATTTTTCAGTTGTCCAAAGACCAGTTGGATTTGGTTATCGAGGCTTTGAATGAAAGAGGCAACATGCTTCGTACTGCTCCTCACTTGTGTTCTGTTCTACCAATCATGATTCCTGTTTACAAATGGTGGCAGGTGCCCTACTTTTTCATTGGGTGCAAGATGTATGATTGGTTTGCGGGTTACCAGAACTTGAGAAGCTCGACTATCTTCTCCAAAGAAACTACAAGTGCTTTGGCTCCTATGCTTGATAGCTCCAACTTGAAAGCTGCTTGTGTTTATCACGATGGTAGTTTCAACGATGCTAGAATGAACTCATCCCTTGCCATCACTGCGATTAACCATGGTGCTACTGTGTTGAATTATGTTGAAGTAAAGCAATTGATCAAGGAAAATGGAAAATTGGTTGGTGTTTTGGCGAAGGACCGTGAGACGGGAGACGAATTTGTTGTTAAAGCCACTGCTACCGTTAATGCAACTGGTCCTTGGGCCGACAAGCTTTTGGAAATGGACCAGGACCCACAAGGGTTGCCTCCAAAGACAGAGCAGTCCCCTAAGATGATTGTTCCTTCGTCTGGTGTCCACGTTGTTTTGCCTGAATACTATGGTCCTTCTACATTGGGTTTGTTAGACCCATCCACGTCCGACGGTAGAGTTATGTTCTTTTTGCCATGGCAAGGAAAGGTCTTGGCTGGTACAACTGATAACGCTTTGAAAAAAGTTCCAGAAAATCCAGTTCCAACCGAAGAAGAAATCAAAGACATCTTGAACGAATTGCAAAAATATCTTGTGTTCCCAGTTCATAGAGAAGATGTCTTATCTGCTTGGTCTGGTATCAGACCATTGGCTCGTGACCCCTCCAAATTGCCTAAGGGAAAAGATGCTGGTTCGACACAAGGATTGGTTCGTTCGCATTTGATTACCAAGTCTGACAGCGGTTTGGTAACTATTTCCGGTGGTAAATGGACAACATACAGAGAAATGGCACAGGAAACAGTAGATACGTTGGTGAAGAATTTTGATTTTGGTAAAAAGGTTGGTCCATGCAAAACCAACGAGATCGTGCTCATTGGTGGAGAAGATTTTTCCAAGAACTTTTCCGCAAGATTGATCCACGAGTACAAAATTCCTCTCAAGTTGGCCGAGCACTTGAGTCATAACTATGGCTCGAGAGCATCCCTCATTTTGGAACTTTATGCCGAATCAGATTACAACAAGCTTCCAGTGACCTTGGCTGCCAGTGGAACTTTCACGCCTTCGGAAGAATCCGCTAGCGCTGGTAACAACTTGTCGTACCAGTCTTTCGATGAGCCTTTCACAATTGCGGAGTTGAAGTACTCCATTAAGTACGAATACGCCAGAACTCCTCTTGATTTCTTGGCCAGAAGAACTAGATTAGCGTTCTTGAATGCTAGAGAAGCTTTGGGTGCTGTTGACGGTGTTGTTGAAATTATGAAGAGGGAGCTTGGGTGGGACGATGAGACTACCAAGAAATTGACTGCCGAAGCGGTGGATTACATTAGTCACATGGGCATTTCATCCGAAAAGTTTGATGTGAGCGACTTTGTTATCCAGTAGTCGTATTAACGAAATTAATGCTACACATGTTATAGAGCTGTTCAATATTAAGCGTCATGTCTGATCATTTTGTTTTTCTTCCACATACTATTTTAGGATTTGTATTTATAATCAACCCATTATATAAAGGAGTTATGCGGGGACCCTCTTGAATTCGGTTTGTCTCCACTATTTCCCAATAATGGTTAAACTCACCACAAACTATCTTCTCTTTGACCTCGATGGTACTTTAGTCAATTCCACTCCTGCGGTGGAACAGACCTGGCATGATGTGGTGGAGAAACATAACAAGACATACCCTGCAAATATTATTGATCCAGTAGAGTTTCTCGCATCAGCCCATGGAGCTAGGACTGTGGAGTCTTTCCTGAAGCATTTTCCTTATAGACGGAACACACCCGAAGAAATCAACGACTTTGAATTTGGGATCGTGGCAAACTACGGACATTTGGCCAAAGCAGTGGATGGAGTGCCCGTTTTACTTAAGATACTCAATGATGACTTTCAAAATAGTTGGGCAATTGTTACTTCTGGTACAAAAAAATTGGCTCACGGTTGGTTCGAAATGTTGTTCAAGTGTTATCTGAAACCTCCGGTTTTCATCACGGCTAACGACGTAAGCAATGGAAAACCCGATCCAGAAGGATATCTCGCCGCATTTGAACAACTAAATGAAAAAAATGCAACTGAACTGCAAAGTACTACGGCAATTGTTTTCGAAGATGCGCCAACAGGGATTAAAGCAGGCGTTCAAGGCGGGTTCACAGTAGTGGGTCTTGCTACCACTTTTGGAAAAGACGTTCTTACTGCGGCGGGTGCGTCGTACGTGATTTCAGACATGTCCAAATTAAAACTCAATCGAGTTAATGATTCAGTACAAGTGGAACTCGACATCCTTTAGCCGAAAATATAACTTTTGATCTTGCTATACAAGCAAGCGTCACTACAGCCAGAATATATAAATCATTTAAGAAGTCCTAACTAGAGAATTATTTATTCAACTCAAGTGTTTCGAGCTTTTGCGTGATCTTATTTTCTCTTGCCTTCTTAATATCATTGTCACGCTTCTTTTCATGTTTTGCAAACCTCTCTACATCAGTGAGAGCGTTCCTCGTGAAACCAGATCCAAATGTTGCGTCATCCACATCGTTGTTATATTTCGACTGGTATTTGGTCAATGGTTCTCTCAAGATAGAACGAATATTGCCATTAGAGACAAGCTGGTCATGAAGACCAAATCCAAAACACCATTTGAGGTGCAACAATCTGAAGTATAAGAACCAACTATTTATTGGAATAGTTTTGGACCGAGACAACTTCAAGGTAGTTGCACTAGTGGATTCAGAAAGAAGTTCCATTCCCGTAGGCGACCTCTTATAAATTTCTTCTCTCTTCTCTTTATCAGTGTAGAATGATATCGTGTTAGCCACTTCCCTGAATAATGAGTTCACTTCCTTTTTCTCCTTCTTACCCACTTTCTTCGTACTCATGTTAGCTAATCTTGTGCAGATGTTAAGTAGAGCTCCTTGCTCGTAGTATGGAGCATTGTAATTAAATTCTTCGTCCGCATCAGCATCTTCATCGTCCTCTTGATCACCCAGATCGTAAGTAAACAATTCGTAACACAATGCAAGGAGTTTTGCTCCGGCTTTCGATAGGTCCATGTTGACATCATTATCCATAATCTCAATTGCTTCCGTCGCGAGAGAACTAAGCAAATCATTCAAGTACTCACCTTTTGGGAGTAAAGTGAGCAAAACAGCGACGCCATGGATTCCAGCAATCGCAATGTTGGCTTCGGTTCGCAATTTGCCTTCTTGTTCGCTTACCAACTCTTCGTCATCTCTTGCATCCATTAAAGTTGAGTACTCACGGTCACCTGAGTCCAATTCTTTTTGCAAGGTGATGGAACTATGAACGAATCCTTGAGCAATTTCCATGAGCCACTTAATCTTGTCATCAACACCAAACGCAGATGTATCAGAATACAATACAAGGAGCAAGCCACAATATCCCGATATCACACTAGCCTTATTCTCGTATGTGACATTTGCGTTTGGAGGATCGGTAATCAACTTCTCCAAATGTGCGAGAAAATCCGTCGAGACGATCTCGCCAAAATCTTCAAGATCGCTAACTAAAAGACTAATAAGTGATCTGAAAAGAAGAATAAATTCACTAGGTGAGCGGTAATCCCCACTGGTTACTGTTTTGGCCAAGAATGAAACTTGTTCTTCCCCAACATAATCATTTGTGCCAGCATGCTCTTCGTTGTAAATAACAATCGGTTTTGTAACCACCAATTTGAATAGCTGCGCCAATAGAAATTCACGAGATTGAGATGACACTTCAGCTCGACTATGCCTCAACGAATAGAGAATGTCATTAATGGATGTGGAGTCCGAAGTAATTCGTGCCTTACTCATAGCCTCGACATTTTTTTGCAAATAATCGTGGGAGTCGGCAATCATAGAGTCTCTATTTTCATTTTCTTCATTTTCACTTTGGAGTAACAAATCTTTCAAAGATTCCAACTTGCGCGAGAGCAATTCCTCTAACGAATTGAAGTTCACATCTAACTGCCCATTTTCCTCGCTATCAGGCATCGGCGTACGGGCTCTTGAGCCTGACCTCGAGGATGAGTTCGACAAAACTTCACGCTGGAGTGTCCTTGCGGCGACAGAGGTAGGTCTCGACATAATTTAGCGTGAAAAATATAGTAATAAGGCGATTCTATTTGTCATGCACTAGATAAAATAAGTGGGGTGCGGGTGTGCACTTGGTCCTTCTCTATGAAGGAAATCGGGTTTGCAGAAGCAGTCACTAGTGGGACAAGTCAAAAGACAACTTCTTGTGGCAAAACGTAATGGTTTTGGCCGTTTTCCCTTACAGTTTCCTTTTTAGTGTCACAGGGTAGTGCCTTGCGCATGTCAAATGCGTCATCGTCACTTATGGCGTTTCTGTCTGTAGGATATACCGAACCATAGTATCCTACCACTCTGCGGTAGATCGAATACCCCAACTTTTCATAGAGCTGTCGAGCCACATTATTTGTTACTTTCATGAAGAGATCAATGAATAAAGTTTCATAGGGTTTGACTGCAGTGATGCGTTCTAAATGCAAGCATAAATCGGAGGCCAATCCAATCCGACGATAGTCAGAGTTGATAGTGACTGCCGTGATGTGTGTATGCCATTCTTTCTTGCTTAATTGGCCTTCTGTTTTCCCCATCATGTAGCCGCTGATGTCTGGGAAGTCTGGTGCCACAGGCTCTACAGACTTGAAGAAAAGTTGTGGATGGTCGCACAAGTATTGAAAGTAGAACAGGAGATTGAAATTTTCCGTAAACGGGTCTAAGTTAACTGGATTGATCTCGAAAAGATCCTCCATTTTAAAAGGTTTTATAGATGTCATGGCCGTATAGTTCTTCCGCAGGGTCTGTACCTTGAAGTGAGAAGAAGTGCATAACGATCCGGGTAAATCACGTGCCCATACATGGAGCAAACGAAAATTTTAGTGAAGTCTCGAGTAGTCGTAACATTACTCAGCCAAATCAATCTATACTATGTTCGGCGGACCTGGTGCTCAACCAACAGAAGAACAAAAGAAATTGCAAGAGCAATATGCCTATGACACATTGAAAGCTGCTGGTCTTATTGCCGGTGCCTTGTGGGTCACCCCAATCATTTTCCACTGGGTTAAGAAACAATTCTGATGAATTTAATGATTTTTGAAACGAATTGGCTGTGCCACATGGCCCTTTATTGTACATACCTCAGTCGTGTGGTTGAACCATTTACTGATGTTTCTTTACTTATAATTCAATGAGAAATTTCGCTATGCTTAATTGTAATTCATGTAATTTCATTGATCCTGGTCATTATCGAACTCCATCAAATCTTCTCGAAGCTTACTAATCTTAGACGAAAGATTAAGATACTCAAACCTTTCGGCAATTTTAGAAGCAGCGAGCAAGGCTTTATCATTCTTGATGAGTCTCACGATGCTAAAGGCCTTGTTTAGGCGAGATTCCTGGCACGCGTTAGCAAAAAGCTTGAGCAAGGATTTATCAAATGTCACGCTGTAATTATCTAACTTTTCCAAATGCTCTTCATCGTTCTCTGCGTTTGTCAACCATGAGTTCAATAATCTTCCTAATGTTGAGCTTCTCAAGTACTGTTCCTCGGGATCTTCCTCTTGGGTCTTGCTGATCTTTGCTGATGTGTCTTCGTTCGCCTCCTCGCCTACCGTATCCTTAGCCTCCAAATACTTGAAGCATTTAACTGGAAGCTTGATTTCAAGTTCAATAGGCAATGGGAGCGGAAAAGATGGATACTCGTTGGAATTTTTCAATACTAAGCAAATAAACTTGTCATCTAATAATCCCAATGGCCAAGTTTTCCAATTCGCTTTCGATTCATTAAGACCGTAATCCGTAACCACATCTTTGCAGTTGAGTAATGGAACCCATCTTGCGTTACCTGCTTCTCTCCAATGTGACAATATGGTAAGGGAATCGTCAAAACCAGCTACCACACACGGATCGGAATACTCATTGAAAAAAATGCCTTTCAAAATAGGCACCCCGCCAGAAGGTACTCGTAAAGGCATGGCTCTATCTTGTTGCAAAAATGAGTAATCATCACTTACATCTAAAAGTGAATATGTGAAGTGTTGTGGAGAAATTTGACTCACGATGAAAACAGTGGATACTTCCGAAGCAATTAAGGTCATTATGGGTGATAATTTCATCAAATTTACACAGAGTCCGTAAAGATTAAAGAACCTTACGTATCCAAGGTTTGTACCGACGACAATTATTGAATCTGATGATTTTTCTCCACTTGTGCATGTGAGACAAATCGAAGTGATGTACTCATTTGGCAAAAGGGGAATTTTTCTATCCCATGAATCATTTGTGTTGCTGTGATGTCTATAAAAAATCTTTCCCTTGTGGGTAGATTTTTCATTCTTGTATCCAGAGCATGCTAAAACCACTCCTCTTTCATTCATGGAGCATAGGTCGTATTTGTGACTATCAATAAAGTGATAATCTTTGTTTGTAGTTCTGTCGAAAAATGAGATTGTAATGCTTTTTTGCTCATTTGCGGAGTCCGAAGAATTTTTAACAGACCAAGAATAACCAATACTGTTCATGAAAAGGTACCTTCTCATCCCTGAGCTCGACGAGGAGTTCAAGGGTTTTATCCAAGGCGTCGATCCTGGTGAGTATGGAATAATATCTGAGTTAGCGGTGAACGATGGAATATCGAATTGATCCTCTGGACGAACTCTTTGACGTTTCTTCCTAGTATGAAGATATTCATCGACAGCGGTATTATAAATGGATGTACCATTTTCACTGTCCATGTCATCATTTTCATCAATAATCATGGAATCATCGATGCCGTTTCTAATAGCCTGTGGATTACCCTTTGACAGACGTTCCTCAGTTTCCAGTTCGCTTGCCTCATCCATAAAAAGACTCTCAACTTCAGCGCTTATGGCACGTTCGTCAGGGGAGTCATCTAAATCAATCAGAATTGAATGGAGTTCACCATTCGTTGAGCCGACGTAGATGGAATTCTTCAACCAAGCAAAATTGATTGGGAGATTGCCTGACTCAAGTCGATCTAGGGAAGCCTTTTTCAAGAATTTGCCCGTGCGAATGTCAAATAAATTAATTTGTCCATTCTTGTGGAGCAGCGCAAGGAACTTCTTGTTCGGAGAATACCCAAGTGCAACCAAGTATTCTGCTTGAGGGCGGAACTCCACGGTTGGGTTCCAATCTACCCTATTGTAAGCCTTTATTGTGCTGGAAGCCGTTGGTAAAAACAAAACCTCGCCGTCTGCAGACCACACCGGTTTTGTGGAAGCAATTTCCTGTGCATGTTCACCTTTGAAGTCAACCACATCTATTGATGTGTTCACTTTGGAAATTATTGCACCCGTAATCTTTTCTATAAGTGCGGGGGACTCGTTGATAACAGAGTACATGAGAACGTCACCGTTTGAAAGAGCCACAGATGCAATTTCTCCGTTAGTATTGTACGCGATGTTGACGATCTGATCTGGTACAGAAACGATTGAAGTTTTATTTCCATTGTTCAAATCAATCACAACTAGCTTATCATCATCTCCGCCACAAATCACTCTGTTCCCATCGTTAATGAACACTGCATCTCGCAAAGGAAGTTCGGAACGGTAAATTATATCAAAAGACTCATCTCCGGTGATATTATCTTCCATATTCAAAATCGCCAAATGTCCTTCTGTGTTTGTCAAGATAATGCGCTTGCCATGACTGGTCAAGGATGTCAAGTTTTCTGGAATGTCAATAGATGTGGGTTCCGACTCAGGTTCCTCTAGGTTGAAGACTTTGATTAACCCTTCACTATTACCAACCAAAAGACGATCCAAATTATCATTGAAATGAACAAGCGAGTTCCCATCAAGAAACGCTGGGATTTTTGCCAGCATGGTAGTGGTTGAAAGATTGAAAGAAACGCGAGTGAATACGCGTAACAGTAGAGATGCATACACTACGCGAACATGAGACTGAGACAAATAGGAATAGCATAATGAGATAAAAAAATTGGAGACAAAAAAAAATAGGAGGATACAATAAGCACAGAAAAAAAAAAAAAAAACAAAGAAAGAAAGTAAGTAGAACCTCAGAAACCTGTACTGGTTTTTTGAAAAAAAAAAATCCGCACATTATTACACGTACTGTCACCCTGTTCCATTTAATACATTTAATTCGGGAATGTATATAGGTGAAATGATGGGAATATTTTCACTTTTCCCACTCAACAAATCCTTCCAGTAAATGTGCAGAGAACGAAGATAGCAGATCAAATCAAATAGAAAAATATCTGCTATATGAGGTTTAGGTGATCTTGTGAAATAACTCAAAACAAGAACTGTAAGTGCGACCATCATCGCCTATCTCATCAGGCCCTCATTAAAGTGCAGGCGGAATTATGATGGCGCTTGCAGTCCGTATTTAATCTGCCCACAAGGAGTACGATCATGCAAGCAACTTACTAAAGTAGTTGTTACGCTCTAATACTTAAGGTGGGGTAGTCACCTGTCACGAAATTTCAAAGTCTTGTGACAAAATTTGGGGCGGTGTTTTCCATAATAATGACAGGAAAGATTCCTCTTGGTGACGATAGAACTCGCACTTTAGGACGGGAATTCGTAAAAGGCACAGCCTTCTCTTAATGCCGCACGAACTACAAGACGATAATCAAATAAATTCGACAGCCTGCAAATAATATACCCCCCGTCTTCTCGTAGCGCAGGAACTGAGGGAATTTCGTTCCATGACATCATGGTCTAGTGGAGTCCAGTGGTCCACTTTGGGCCAGTGTCATTTTTTTTTTCCTGCAGTGCCCCGATGTGGAAAGCAGAGGCCAGTTGCGCGATTTTCCCAAACCAATCGCACTGACTGAATACGATGCGAAAGGCAGTGTTGCGCTGTTTATGGGTAAGGTTGGGCAAAAAAAATACATAGATGAAGACATAAGATTTTCGAAAAAAAGGGAAGCCTACTATACGGCTACAGTTTCGGGCGCTTTTGTCGTGATTTTTTAAAAAGAATGGCTTAAATCGCACTCTAAATGTGTCAAAAAGTGCTTTTTCAGTGTGCAAATGTACGTGAAACCTGAGGTATTTTCCCTGTTTTTTTGACCCAGTGCCTCCCAACTAATTAGTTACAAAAAATTCTTCTGCTATTGTCCGTAAGCCATGTGGCTCTATGTATTATATTGTAGTATAAATATTAAATAACTACTCTGTTCAATTTTTCAGCTTTGAAAAAGAAACAATTCGGATACGGTCCATAATGTCTAGCAAATCTACAGAAACGCCGAGAATGAGCGATGATGAAGAAACTCATACTTCTGTTGAGGAAATAGAGCTGCCTGTTACTAAACAGTCTTATAAGGAAATTCTTATGTTGGCCTTTTCTTCTCTCGGTGCCATTTATGGTGATATTGGTACTTCACCATTATATGTCTTGAATTCCATCAAATATCCTCACGCTACGCCGACTGAGGAGGATATTTTTGGTGGTATCTCCATTATTTTTTATTTATTCATCATCATTGTTCTTGCAAAATACGCTTTTGTGGTTCTTACGTATGGTCCCAATGAAGGTGAAGGTGGACAAATTGCCATTTACGCTAAAATTGCAAGACACTTGCATTTCGGTCCAAAAGGTGTCATTATTCCTGGCTCTCCCCAAAGATCAGACCTCGAGCTTTTGAAAAGAGTGGAAACTACAAACAGTTTCATGTCGAGTAAAAGCCAAGGAGGTTGGAAAAAGAAACCATCTGTCATTAAATTTATTTCTGCCTTCACACTTATTGTGTGCTTCTTGGGATGCGCATTAGTGATATCTGATGGTTTATTGACTCCAACTACTTCCGTCTTGAGTGCTGTTGCAGGTATTCAGGTTGCAAAACCAAGTTTCAGTCACGTTTTGGCTGTTTCAGAGGTTATTCTTGTTTTCCTCTTCTTCATTCAACAATTTGGATCGGCTACCATTTCCTACTTTTTTGCACCCATCATTGCTGTTTGGCTCGTGGGTCTCATTATCTGCGGTGCTATCAACATCTCTCATCACCCATCCGTCTTGAAGAGTCTCTCTCCTCATTATGCCATCAGGCTTTTGAAACGTTCCGGTGTTGATGCATTCGGTGGCTCGATGTTGGCCATTACTGGTACCGAAGCCATGTTCGCGGACTTAGGTCACTTTGGTAAAGTTCCAACTCAGATCGGTATTTCCACTGTTTTGTTCGCTCTTATTATCACTTACTTGGGACAGGGTGCATATGTCATTAAGCGCCCAGAAAGTCTTCCAAACGTCTTTTACGAGTCTATTCCAGGTGGTACAAACAGTTGGTTCTACTGGATTATGTTCGTATTGGCTATCTTGAGTACCATTATTGCATCTCAAGCTTTGATTTTGGGAGTTTTCAGTATCTTGTCCCAAATGATCAACTTGGACTGTTTCCCAAAGTTGAGAGTGGTTCATGTTTCGTCCTCATACGTTGGTAAAGTCTACATTCCTATGGCCAACCTTTTGCTTCTTATTGGTGTCTGCGCAACCACTGCAGGTTTCAAAAACTCCAATAACGTCACTGCTGCGTATGGTTTGGGTATCTCCCTTGATTTCCTCTTGACCTCCCTTTTGCTCATGGTCTGTTTCGTCTATGTTTATGAATATCAGTGGTGGGTACTGGCTATTTACTGTTTGATTTTTGTTCCATTGGAGGTCTGCATCATTATCTCCAACATCAAGAAGGTTCCTCATGGAGGTTGGTTCCCATTAATGATGTGTGCTATTTTCTTTTCAATTTTTGCTTTCTGGAGGTACTGCCGGAGCAAAACCGTGGAGAAACAACTTACCTCAAGAGTAAGAATTACTGATATTTTCCCACTTTTGAAGGGAAAGCCCGCTTCTACAGTTGTGGACTTGGGACACAAGTCGTACGTTGATTCTACAGATATCTCTATGAATGAAGCGGACTTAAGTGAGAGAGAAACGGTTGAGGATGAACCAAATCAAGATGTGAAATTCGATGAGCGCCTGCCTTTCAAATTGGTGTCTACAAACTACGGCAACGTCGAGTTGAGCACGAAACCGGGTGTGGCCATCATTTACTCGGATAATCCGTACAACGATTTGTCGTCGCCTAACTCTGTTCCAGGAGTTTATGAGAGAATTGTGAGAAGTTGCGCACTGATTCCATCTGTTGTTATCTTCTGCACTATCCGTGTTCTCTCCATCCCTACAGTTGCGTCGGAGGACCGTATTCTTGTGGGTGCAACTAAAATCCCGGGCCATTACAACTGTATTCTCCGTTTTGGTTTCATGGAGCAAAGAGTCTCTGATGAAACTTTGTCGCAAGAGATCTTGAGACAGTTCCCAGAAGTTGATAGACTTAGATCGTCAATGCTGGCCAAAATCCCCGTCCTTCACATATTTGAGGCTGACAAAATCCGTTCCAGTGAGGGAGACGAGGAAATTCTTTTCACACGCAACCCACTTACCTGGACAGTGAAATATTTGAGAAGGATCATGATTGACCATGTCTTTAGTCCTGTGAATGCTATTTTCCAGCACGATGATCAGTATGTGAGAATCTCAAATGAGGATGATGAGAGAAGAGAAAAAATTTTCGTTGGAGGTATAATGAGGATTTAAATAGTACACTTTATAGTACTTTCATCTTACATGACTAATTTACTGCCCTTTAAATGTACTCGTAATAGATTGTGGTTTTTAGCGGATGGCAAAATCCAATACCAATTTGTATGATGGATGCGCGCCCATACGTATAAGAACGTAATCGCGCGCATTTTTTGATATACATCAAGATCTCTTGAGTGAATCTGTTCTTCCTTTTTCACGCGGCTTATTATTCCTTGTGCAGACACGTCGGCTTCACTTGAAAAGCATAATCTTCTTCTAATCCTAATCTTGTTGTGGCAAGAGAAGCATTAAATTCAAATTCGAATTATCTCAATCCAGACGCGTCTTTAATTGCCAACTGTGTAATGTCTGAGCAGCACATTGAAGATGATGATGAGGGATTTGCCGGTCCATTATTGATTGAACGTCTTGAGGGTAATGGTATCTCTGCCGGAGATATCAAGAAGTTGAAGATGGAAGGATACCACACGGTGGAAAGCTTGGCTTACGCGCCTAAGAAGGCGTTGCTTACAGTAAAGGGTATTTCGGAGGCAAAAGCCGATAGAATCAGTCAAGAGGCATCGAAACTAGTGCCCATGGGTTTCACGACAGCTTCAGAATTCCACAGCCGAAGAGCAGAGTTGATTTGCTTAACTACGGGCTCCAAACAGTTGGATACATTACTTGGAGGAGGTGTTGAAACTGGATCCATTACTGAAGTTTTTGGCGAGTTCAGAACTGGAAAGTCACAGTTGTGCCATACTTTGGCTGTCACATGTCAGTTACCTATTGACATGGGTGGAGGTGAAGGCAAATGTTTGTACATTGATACAGAGGGAACATTCAGACCTGTGCGGTTGGTATCTATAGCCCAACGTTACGGACTTAATCCGGATGACTGCCTTGATAATGTTGCATACGCTAGAGCTTATAATGCCGAGCACCAGTTCCAGCTCTTGCATCAAGCAGCACAAATGATGTCCGAATCGCGGTTTTCTTTGCTCATTGTCGACTCGATCATGTCGTTGTATCGTACCGATTATTCTGGTCGTGGCGAATTGTCGGCCAGACAGACCCACGTCGCCAAGTTCATGCGCACTTTACAGCGTCTAGCGGACGAGTTCGGCATTGCTGTGGTGATTACCAATCAGGTTGTCGCCCAAGTTGACGGTTCTGCTGCCATGTTCAACCCTGATCCAAAAAAACCGATCGGCGGAAACATCATTGCTCATAGTTCCACTACAAGGTTATCTTTTAAAAAGGGTCGTGGAGAGCAAAGAATCTGTAAGATCTATGACAGTCCGTGCTTACCCGAAAGCGAGTGTGTGTTCGCCATCTACGAAGATGGTATAGGAGACCCAAAGCTTGATGAAGATGAGTCATAACATGCTGGACCCATTTTTTATGTCCTTGGTATATAGACACATACTTGGTATGCATAAGTGCCACGGCTGTATTATTGCTTGTTGTATTGTTACTGTTTGTGGGTCGTTTTCGAATCCGCCAATTTTTTTTTCTTTTTTCTTCAAACGTCTGGCCGCAACATGCACTATGACTGTACGGACGGCATGTCCGGTTCCCCATAAATTAAGACTAATTTACGTCAGTACAAGATGATTGATACAATACTTCTTGTCTATTTACCGAAAAGTTATTGACTTCAGGAAGTCAGCATTCATGGTAGTCGATACTGATCGAGAAACCTAGTCATTTTAACGATTGTCGTCGGCGTGCGGCTCCTTCCTAAACAGGCAATACGCCATATGCACCAACAAATTATCTTTTTCATCAGTGGGGCGGGTAACACGGGCGAACACTTCAATCAAGTACTGTTGTAGAATTTTCTTGACTTTTTCTCTTTCGTCATAAACCACATATTCCCGAAGTAGCGTCTTGTTTACCCTGCTATCGTCATCGCTCCTGGGGTATACTAGCAGCGGCTCGCCAACATTCTCCTTCAGTTCCATTTATTCATTATTGTTGAGAAAACAGCATTTTTCGACGCTTCCGCACTCCGGCCCAGCTATACTTTTGATCTTGAACATAGCCCGATTTTGCTGAAAACAGCACTTTCTACCCTTTAACCACTCCTTTCCCTTTTTATATTGCTGTCCTCGTCACATTTGCTTTTGTTATATCATTTCCGTGTCTTCCCGAACAGTTGATGATGGACAAATCGAAAATGAAATCAATACTCCCCAAACCTTCTCCATCAATGCAAACATCATCACCTCTTCCATCTAAAAGGATGTCTGCCTCGAATGATATCTATTCGAAAAGGCTGAGGCTGATTGCGACGTCATCTCCTGAAATACATGGTCCAATTTCTAATATGAATGACTCTTCTGGCTTAGATGAAAACAACACAAATGCGGGTGGACATGCTACTAAGCAATCAAGGCCAGTCACAAGCTGTACTTTTTGCCGACAGCATAAGATCAAATGTAATGCTTCCGACAATTATCCCAATCCTTGTACTCGGTGCAGCAAGATGGGTTTAAAGTGCGAAATCGATCCCCAGTTCAAGCCTAAAAAGGGTTCGCAGATTCAGACTTTGATTGGAGACGTGGAAGATTTAAAGGCAAAGATAGAGATGCTCAGTCGGAATGAACATTTGCTTACTCAAGCTTTAAACCAACACAATATGAACTTCATGCAGCATGCGCCATCAACTTCCTCGGTGTCCCCTTTTCACCAGAGTCCTAATACTCGCGCTTCCATCCCCGTGGCAAATAGACCTCCATACTCGACACATAGCACTCCAAATAGTGTCATTGGTCAGTTCAGCGGCTCGACTCCTCCCCCTTCCGCTGTTCAGCCTATGGCTCCCTCTGCAGCACCAGGACAGCATATTAGTCCCATGTACAACATTGCTCTTGGAAATACGGTCAATCTTAACGATGCCACAGGATCAAGCCAAGGGGTGACGAGCCTATCTCAAATCATGAAAACCCAATCTTCTGACAACTCGCCATCAGGTTATTGCAATGACTCGAAGGTAGCAACTCCAGAAGAGAACACAGTCCAACCACATTCTGAGTTCATATTAGGTGATGTCCGAATATCGTTGGAAAAGGCAAATGAACTCCATGAACGTTTTATGTCCAACTATCTCCCTTTTTTGCCTATATTGGACTCGCGAGATGCCAATACGCTTTTCTCCAAATCGCAACTCCTATTCTGGACGGTCATGTTGACTGCATCACTTTCGGAGCCTGAACCAACGTTGTATATGTCACTATCGTCGTTAATTAAACAGTTAGCGATCGAGACATGCTGGATCAGGACGCCTCGATCCACCCATGTTATTCAGGCCTTAATTATCTTGTCCATATGGCCTCTTCCAAACGAGAAAGTGTTGGACGACTGCTCATATCGCTTTGTCGGTTTAGCAAAAAACCTTTCTCTTCAACTTGGCTTACATCGAGGTGGTGAGTTTATTCAGGAATTTACTCGCACTCAGGTCAGTTTAGGCCCTGATTCAGAACTATGGAGAACAAGGTCCTGGCTCGCAGTATTCTTCTGTGACCAGTTCTGGTCATCTGCCTTGGGTTTACCTCCATCCATTAATACGACGGACTACTTATTGGAGAATGCAAGAATCGACGCGTCACTCCCTGCGAATTTCAGGTGTCTTATCTCGCTTGCCATTTTCCAGTGTAAATTGGTGAATGTGATGGGAATTTCTGTAACAAGGTCTGATGGATTATTGGAGCCTCTGAATAGAGCCGCTTCACTTAATATCTTGGACAGAGAATTGGAAAGGTTAAAGTTCAAGCTAAACATAATGGAAGATTCCTCGATTGAAATTTACTACCTTTACCTTCGCCTTATGATATGCTGCTTCGCTTTCCTTCCTGGAACTCCTATTGAGGATCAAGTCAAATACGTTAGTACTGCTTACTTTTCATCGACCAGGATTATTACTATTTCTTCTCAACTTTTAAGTCGGCATTCAATCTCATTGATGGAACTTCCAATCTATGTGAGACAGGCTATCACCTACTCTGCCTTGTTATTGTTCAGACTACACTTGTCCAGATATCTCATTGACAAGTACGTTGATAGTGCTCGTCAATCTATTGTTACAGTCCATAGACTATTCAGGAATACGCTATCATCCTGGAAGGACATGCAGAATGATATTTCGAGAACAGCCAAAGTTTTGGAGAATCTCAATATTGTTCTCTACACTTACCCTGAGATATTCAACCCTGCTGATATTAGGACAAACGGAGAAGGAAGTATCATTAGCAGAATGAGGTCTCATTTGACCGCCTCCTTATTTTATGATCTTGTTTGGTGTATCCATGAGGCAAAGAGAAGGCGACTGGCTGAAAAAGATGCTGGGGAAGCAATCGAGAATAAAGATGTTCGTGTCAAAGTTGAAGAGGATGATCAGACAATGCCCTTAGGAAAGAGATTCCAACCACTCCCATTCTATAATCAGATTACAAAGGATGATTTCAAAACAATAACCACCACTACTCCCAACGGTACTACCATTACTACATTAGTACCTACAGATCAAGCATTGAATCAGGCTAAACTTGCTAGCGCGAATGGAACAAAAAAGCCTTTGGAAATAAATGGTATTCCATTATCCATGCTTGAAGCTACAGGAAGCACTAAAGACGTTCAGTCTTCTGATCCTCAACCAAAAGTGGTTCAGAATAGTACTGTTGAGACTCGCGAGGATGATCCAAACACACTCTTAAGTCCAGATCACATTCCCAAGATTGACCCATCAACTGAGTTCTCACCCCATATGCCGCTTTCGTACGATCAAACAAATATGGGAGGAGATGGTCGCCTTGCGTCGATGGGAAACTTCCCATTTAATCCCTCATTGTCCGAAGGTCCAGCCATGGCAGACCAATTGGACAATTTTTTCCAGCAACAATCCCACGGCTGGCTAAATAACTCGCATCAAGATGATGATTTTCTTGGATGGATTGACGTCAATATGCTACCTGAAAAATAGTATCTACCATGTATATATTTTTTTCGTCTACATGCGCTCATAGCCTTGTGAGGAGACGAAAAAGTTTGAATGAATTATGTCACATAGTAAAACTAACTTTATTTATTGATTCTCATCTCCTTAAGGATTCTATGTATATTTCCGGATTCTCTGCTTTTTATCGATTGTCTACACTAGTCTGTTGGGTGCAAGGTTCTGTATCCCGCTATACATTGTGCAGACTTGGTCACGTGCAATTGAGCAAGAATCTATTTAACTAATTTGATTAATTTATTACCACTATACCTTTTTCAACAATGATTTCGAGATTTTCCCGTTTTGCTGCTGTGCCAAGGCAATTGACCAGACCATCTATTCAAATTGCCAGAACCCAATTGTATTCGACTTTCAAAGCCGAGGACCAACCAAGAATTAGAATTGGTTCCGTTGCCCCAGACTGGACTGCCGAAACCACCCAGGGCAAATTCAACTTCCACGAGTTTATTGAAAAGAACAAGAAATGGGTTGTGCTTTTTTCTCACCCAGCAGACTTCACACCTGTTTGCACCACTGAATTGGGTGCCTTTTCCAAACTTGCACCAGAGTTCAACAAGCGCAACGTTGCTCTCTTCGGTTTGTCCACTGAAGGTGTCGACAGTCACAAGGCTTGGATCAGCGACATTGAGGATGTAACTGGTGGTAACCCATTCAGTTTCCCTATCATTGCCGACCCTAGTAAAGAGATTGCATTCAAGTACGACATGCTTTCTGAAGATGATTTCAAGAAAATGGCAAACCAAGCCGTATTCACTGTGAGATCTGTATTTATCATCGACCCATCCAAGAAGGTCAGATTGATCATGACATACCCAGCCTCTACAGGTAGAAACTCCGCTGAAGTCTTGAGAGTTATCGACGCTTTGCAATTGACTGACTCCAAGGGCGTTGTTACCCCCATCGACTGGACTCAAGGTGAAGATGTTATCATTCCACCTACCGTTTCTGATGCAGACGCCAAGGCCAAGTTTGGTGACTTCAAGACTTTGAAGCCATACTTGAGAACCACTAAGGCTCCTCAGTAAATATTATTAGTGAACTTGTATTCGATTTTTGAAATTGACTACTAAATTCTCTGTAAAAAATATCCTAATCATTTTATACGCCCAAGTTCGGTTATCCAAATATGGCTATACACCATCGTTTCTGTAAAAGTTTACGTAAGGATCCTTATCGGAGCCTCGTGTTGGAAATGAAATCCATTATGGACTGCGATGTTATTTTTTTTTCTTTTCCTGGTATTACATATTTTTTCTCCTTTATTATTTCTCTATCAAATTATTGTCTTAATGTTTAATCGAGCCTGTACGCAGCATTTTTTTCCCGATTTGTTAAATTGAACGCGTCGCCTGCGACTGCTCTTTCATTTTTTCCATTACTTTTCCTTCGCTCATCCGTATACTCTGCAACAATGTCAAACTTTGTTTCGTCTCCAAGGAGTATTCCGTCGGATGCTGCTCAACTTCTCGATTCTTCCCGTATATCTTCGTCTCTTGGACGATCGGCAAACTCGCCTCTGAGTAGCCAGCCCAATATCAATTTTAGTGATGCTCTGCAAAGTCAAGGTGCAAGGGAGCGTGATGTTAGAATGCCCGCTTCAATAAGGAGTGCTGTGGAAGTGCCTAAGGTGGTGGATGTTACTGGTGAAAAAGTAAGAGAATCCTTTGAACAATTCATTGAAGAATTTGTCGACGAAAGTTCAGCCGATGATGAATGGCTGGGCAAAATTTATTTGGCTCAGATTGAAAGTATGCGTGTTTTTGAGTACAGCACCTTGTATGTGGATTACCAGCACTTAGTTGGAAGAGAGAATGGTGTTTTGGCTACAGCTATATTGGAACAGTATTATCGTTTCAATCCTTTTCTATTGAAAGGTTTACACAGATTATTAAAGAAGTATGCGCCATCGTTACTATACATGAACCTATTAGGAAATACTGGAGAAGATGGTAAACAGGCCCACGATAACTCGTCGTCTACTTCTTCTGGTTCTACGGTCAATGAGAGAGTAATTCAGATTTCGTTTTTCAATTTGCCAGTGACCCATAGAATCCGTGACATTCGTACGGACAAGATTGGCTCTTTGATGGCGATTTCTGGTACTGTAACCAGAACTTCAGAGGTCAGACCAGAATTGTACAAGGCCTCATTCACTTGTGACATGTGTTCCGCTGTGGTCGATGGTATTGAACAGGTTTTCAAATACACCGAACCCACAGCTTGTCCTTCATGTCCTAACCAATCATACTGGACCTTGAATGTCGCTAAATCCCAATTTATTGATTGGCAAAAAGTTCGTATCCAAGAGAATTCTAATGAAATCCCAACTGGATCCATGCCACGGACTTTGGATGTTATATTGCGTGGCGAAGCAGTGGAAAGAGCAAATCCTGGTGATAAATGCAAATTTACTGGTACTGAAATAGTTATTCCTGATGTTTCTCAGTTAGGATTGCCTGGAATTAAGGCGCAATCTATAAAAGAAAGTGCTGGGAATGCATCCGGTTTAAACTCTGGTGTTTCTGGGTTGAAGTCTTTGGGAGTGAGGGACCTCACTTATAAGCTTGCGTTCTTTGCATGCCATGTTAGCTCGCTTATTCTGAAAGCATCGGGAGGTGAAAGTGGAGAAAGAGAAGTCGAATTTCAAGGTCCAAATGACCAAGAAGCGCTTTTGAATTCCTTATCCGATTCTGAAGTTTCTCAGCTCAAGGAAATGGTGAAAGATGAGCATGTTTACGACAAATTGGTACGTTCTGTTTCTCCAGCTGTGTTTGGACATGAGACCATCAAGAAGGGAATTTTGCTTCAATTGTTGGGAGGTGTACATAAACAGACAGTCGATGGTATCAACTTGAGAGGTGACATCAACATCTGTGTTGTGGGAGATCCCTCCACATCTAAATCTCAGTTTTTGAAGTACGTTTGCAACTTTTCCCCTCGTGCCGTTTACACATCTGGTAAAGCATCTTCAGCTGCCGGTTTAACTGCCGCTGTCGTTAAAGACGAAGAAACCGGTGAATACACTATCGAAGCAGGTGCGTTGATGTTGGCAGATAATGGTATTTGTGCGATTGACGAGTTTGACAAAATGGACATCACCGACCAAGTGGCCATTCATGAAGCAATGGAACAGCAAACCATTTCCATTGCAAAAGCTGGTATTCATGCCACTTTAAATGCCCGTACGTCTATCTTGGCAGCCGCTAATCCAATTGGTGGTAGGTACAATCGAAAAATGGGATTGCGTGCTAACTTAAACATGACTGCGCCAATCATGTCGAGATTCGACCTATTTTTCGTTGTATTAGACGACTGTAATGAGAAAATTGACACTCAATTGGCATCTCACATTGTGGATTTACATATGTTGCGTGACGAAGCGATTGATCCACCTTATACTGCCGAACAGTTATCGAGGTATATTAAGTATGCCAAAACATTCAAGCCTAAGATGACCAAGGATGCTAGGGATTTTTTGGTGGCCAAGTACCAGGAACTTAGAAGTGATGATGCGCAGGGCCTCGGTAGATCCTCGTACCGGATTACTGTGAGACAATTGGAGTCGATGATTAGATTATCTGAGGCTATCGCCCGGGCGAATTGTACAGAAGAGATTACTCCTACCTTTGTTTCTGAGGCGTATGACTTATTACGTCTGTCTATCATAAGAGTGGAAATGGATGATATTCAGATTGACGATGAAATTGATGATGTTGCCATGCACGATGACGATGATGAGGGAGGCGAAGATAATGAAGATGCCGGTCGCCCTGAGCTGAACTATAACGCCCCTGATTACTCAGGAAGAACTCAAGCTAGAAGAGCACCAAAGGCCACTATAAACTATGACAAGTATGTGGCCATGATGAACCTCATTGTGAAAAAAATCTCCGATGATGATTCGCTTGGTGGTGAGGGACTAACGAAGGATGAAATCGTGGATTGGTATCTTCATCAAAAGGAAGATGATTTAGAAACGGAACAGGACTATCATAATGAGAGAGCTCTAGCGTACAAGGTATTAAAACGGTTGGAAAAGGATAGAATTTTGATGTCGGTAACGCAAAACATCAATGATGATGTTCTTCCCGGGGATGAATATGATCGGGCACAACAGGCTAGTCGAACCGTCTACATCATTCATCCAAACTGTGCGATTTTGGACTTCTTCGATAACCAAACCACCGAAAGGGACAATGATGTTGGCGAAGAATAAATGAGGTAGAAATTCTGGAATAAAGCGCTATGTATTAAGTTAATTGTTAATGGATCTTATTAGTCATTTTCTGTCTTCGAGGTATTCGTAGTCCGCCATTCAGCGGGAGTGATTGCGTTTGCACATTCAACGCAATGGTCTATAAAATCTTTCGAAGATGTAAACATCTTCTGGCAAGCTCTGCACCATCCAGGATCAACACCTTGGATGTCATTTTGTTTATCCTTAACATAATGCATCAATCGCAAATGTCTTTTCAAAATGTCTAAACGGCTAAATGACCCTCCCTTACGGTGACACGTCGGGTCAGAACGCCAGTAAGGGCAATGAAACATAGGCTTATTGTGTGACTTAGCGTGTCTATGCAAATCCGATTGTCTAGCGAATGCCCATGTACATCCAGGGTGTGTACAAATAAATGGTTTTTCTTGGTCACCTTGAGATACAGGGGAGTTGAACTCAATTTTCTCTCTCGGTTGACTATTGTCTTTGGCAAGTTTGAAGTGCTTTGCGTGTATGAAAAGCTTATCCTGGAGTTTGCTATCTGCTGGTAGTTTTCCTTTGAAGAGTGCCAGATCTTTGAAATACAAAAATTGCTCATTCTGGGGGCGATTGAAAGTGGATTTCCGGGCATTCGGTTGTCTCATAGCAAGTCCATCTTTGTCTGTAATTGCACCATTGTTTGTAGCAGAAAGATGCAGCAGGAGTTTGAGAGGAGTCTGCAACACCGATGGCAGAGTGGTTGATGTCTGAGGAGATGAATGCTCACGCGAAAGATGCGGTATTTGGGCTGGTAGTTGCAGATAATTCGAAGCCGATAGGAGTTTGTGATCTTGCAGCACAAAGTTAGAATTTTGAGCCTGACCTTGATGTTGATTCTGGTTCAGGTACAGTTTCTGGTTCGGGTTCTGGTTCGGACTCTGGCTTTGGTTTTGCGTTTGGACAGAGCTCAGTTGTTGCGTAAGCGCTTGGCTCATAAATAAATCTTGCGAAAAGGACATATGCTGCCCCGGTAGGCTGCTGGGCAAAAGGGGTTGATAGTGGTTAGCCTGCGAGTGTGAAAAGGGATCCTGTAGAAGGGACCCGTAAGGGCTGGTTTGCTGCTTGGGCAAATTGTAAGGCAACGTAGAATTCAAACTTGATGAGTATATATTGGAACCCGCTACCCCGTAATATGTTCCCGAAGGTGCTGAAGAAATACCTACTGGATGCGGTAACGTTTGCGTAGGTTTCTGTATGGGAAATGAAAAAGGCCCAGTTTTTAGTGCCTCATCTCGCTTTGTCTGATATCTATCACCACCTTGCGCATACGAGCCAGGTGAGGAGGACATTTAAGTTAGCCAGCTTGCGATCTTGTTGCACCGGAAAGACCTTGAATTCTTTTTTTTTTGGATTTGCCCAGTTGAGATGGAGAAATGTTTGAGCCGCTCAAAGTGAGGTTCACGATCTTGTGCAGGATTCCAACGGTTTTATTTTCTGTCGGCTAGACTGCAGTCTTGGAAGACTTCGCAAAGTGCTTAGTAATTCCTTTCCCAAAAATATCCAAGAGGTGCATGGTATTTCCGATTGAAGGGCTAAATTATACGAGTGGTTTCGTATACATTGTTACTAGTCTCGATGTTTCTTTAAGATGTACACAACTGAGTTTAATGATGGGACACCAAGTAATTGGTTGCGATGAACCCACACGTACCAGCTTCTCAAAAGCCTTCGTTGTCTAAGTGATAACGTTATTGTGTTGCTCTTCCAAGGTTTTTAGATCAAATCCTTTTTTATTTCTATTCTGTTTCCTTGTCGTAAAGTGTACTTGCCTTTCAATTCTCTGCTAGTCCTACGTAGGCTCACTTTTCCTTCATGCGGAAACGTACCCCAGGTCTTAGGCTCCAATAAGCATTTACGCAGTCTTAGTAACCAGCGTGTAATATTACATACAGTACATTAGAGTCTGTCATCAGTGGCAAGGTTGAGTCTTAAGTTGCTTCATTATATAAACTCACCATTACACCAATGTCAGAAGTTTGTACATAAAATTCAATTGTTTCTTGGACCGTTACTAATGTCGCAGAAAATCAATATTCTTAAGTTCGCCGGCAAAGATGGCTCTTACAAGAGACTTCCTTCTCAATTCAGGGATTTCATTTCCTCGGACCCCGGTGCTCGTTTTCCTCCAGAAGCAAACCGCTACCACTTGTATGTTTCGTATGCATGTCCCTGGGCACATAGGACGCTCATTACGAGAGAATTGAAGGGGTTGTCCCTGATGATTTCTGTTTCAGTTGTGCATTGGCACATGGACGATAAAGGCTGGCGCTTCCCCACACAAGAAGAACTTGATGAGACCAAGGCCACAGAGACAGATGTGGGTACGAAAGACGATTTGTATGGGTTTGAGAGAATCAAGCAGTTGTATTACAAGGCCAATCCCGAATATTCCGGACGTTTTACTGTGCCTGTTCTTTGGGACAAGAAGTTGGAGACTATTGTCAACAACGAAAGCAGTGAGATTTTGAGAATGTTCAACACAGAGTTCAACAGCTTGGTTGACCCTGGCCATGCTGAGATTGACTTGTACCCTGGCCCATTGCAATCCCGCATTGACGAAATTAACTCGTGGGTATATGACAACATCAACAATGGTGTCTACAAGGCTGGGTTCGCCACCGATCAAGGGGTTTATGAGAAGGAGGTGTTGAATGTGTTCAAGCACTTGGATAAGTTGGAAGAGATTTTGAAGGAGAATGCTGCCGAAGGAGGAAAGTTCTTAATTGGAAATCAATTGACCGAGGCAGACGTTCGCTTGTTCCCTACTCTCATCAGGTTTGACGCAGTGTACCACCAGCACTTCAAGACCAATATCAGAATGATCAGACATGACTATCCGTATTTGCATGATTGGTTGAGATTATTGTACTGGAAGATCCCAGGCTTTAAAGCCACAACAAACTTTGAACACATCAAGAAACACTACACAAAATCCCACATCAACATCAACCCGCATCACATTACCCCTCTTGGGCCAATACCCAATATCATGTCTTTGTAAAAGGTCTGTACCTCTTGCATCCTTGTTTTACCATCTGTGATCGTACCTCGCATTGAAATGCTGTCTTTCGCGTTTATAGCTTACTATGTATTGTTTGACTGAAAATCAAACGTAGAAAACGGGTACAGTGAACCTTTCTTAGCAGCAAAGGAATTCAGAGATGCGTATGAGACGGCGAGCTTAGAGTAGATTTAAAGTCCCCGTTGCATGATGTAGTGTGTGAGCTCAATCTCAAAAATTCTGCCTCGCGCTTAGTAGACGTTAGACGGTGAGTGTATGGAGGAATAAACAAGGCACAAAAAAAAGTACACGGAAGATTAAAACTGCTTACTCCCAAAGTCTTTGAAAACGCCCTCTTTTTACGTCGTTGTTTTATTTTCTGTCATCTATGAGAGGTATGGTTCAAATTCTGGATTGTCCCCTTGGCGGGCATCATCCATTGTGCTTGTTGTGATACAATACTAACTTATAGACTACAAGATTGTGGTTTTGGGTGCCGGTGGTGTCGGCAAATCGTCTGTAACTGTTCAGTTCGTTCAAGGTATCTATGTTGAGAGTTATGACCCTACAATCGAAGACTCCTATCGTAAGCAGATCGAGGTTGACGGTAGGGCTTGTGACTTGGAGATTTTAGATACTGCTGGTGTCGCCCAGTTCACTGCCATGAGAGAGTTATACATCAAATCAGGTAAAGGTTTTCTTTTGGTGTATTCAGTTACTGATGAGAACTCTTTGAAAGAGATGTTAGCATTGCGGGAACAAGTTTTGCGTATCAAAGACACTGACAATGTTCCTATGGTTTTGATTGGTAACAAATGTGACTTGGACGATGAACGTGTTTTGTCTATTGACGATGGTATCAAGGTCTCTCAACTGTGGGGCTTGGTCCCTTTCTACGAGACTTCTGCCATGTACAAGACGAACGTTGATGAAGCTTTTATTGACGTCGTCAGGCAGATAATGCGCAAGGAAGCTCAAATGAGCGCCGAAAAGAAACAACAGAAGGAACTACTAAAGCAGCAGGCTGCAGAGGCTGACGCCGCTCGAGAGGACAATGAATATGCAAAAGGCACCGAGGATGGCCCTTCTTCTAAGAGAAACAGACAGTCACAAACTAAAACATCGCTGTCTGGTTCTGGAAGTAAATGTTGCGTTATCGTCTAATCGATGAAGCAATCTGCATTTGCTCATCTACGAGACAACTAGACTGTTGACGAACGAATAGATGGTTCTGCAGAGTCATGAAAATATTGTTTTGGTCTAAGGGCACCTTCACTTTGTCTTTCTGTATGACTGGCTATTAACCTTTAATATAATTGCACAGTCTTCCATTGATGACTGTAACTACCGACATGTATAGTCAGAATAATAAGTTACAACTGCAATAGTGGAATATTCCAACTTTACTGTTGTAATTATTACATCATTCTCTCATTAACAAGTGATAGTAACGTCAGGATTTTATACTTGTTTCCTAATGTTCTCTTTCATTCATATAGTTCATTGGTGTCTGTGCTTAAAAGTCCGCTGAGTGTTGCGGCGTACAGTAATTTCTCGTGATTGTTATCGCTAAGTGCCTAGATACCCTGATTCATTTCTCCTGCACTTAGACTTTAACCTAATATAGTATAGTTCCATTTTGTCTTCCTACCATCGAAGGTGCTTCAAAAACTACATTCCAGCTTCTTCTAAGGCATGTATGCCACTAGCCCTATAACTCATGCATCCGAACTATCATTTCGACAGCGAAGTTATTCGCTGTCAAAGAATTTGGGAGATCTACGAAAACTTAACAATAGAAGCACATCTTCTGTACTGGAGTCTACTGACACCACTGCTCCTTCAGAAAAGGAGCTAATCACATACATTTTTCCAGATTTTTCTGCAGCAGAATATTTCCAGAAGGATTTTGCCATGTTGAATGAGTTCCACGTCATGGAAGAATCGGAGGCGGTGGGATTCGAGATATATTTGGTTGATCAATGGGTTCGCCATAGGAAGATTGGAACTGTCGTTTCAGTATACAATGGTAACTATGAATCTAAGGTGAAGGTTGTGAAGTTCACGATACGAAAAATGCCCATAAAACGATACCCGCCCCGCTTTCAGGAGTACCTAAATGAAATGATTCTGAACCATGCAGCGTTCAAGAAAATGAACTCTGTTTCTAAGGAGCAGTCAAACAGTGCAGATACCGGAGAAACTGTAGGTGAGTTTCTTTTGGTCACTAATATCGCAGTTCTACCCTCAAACGTTAATTTAGTCGCTATTGCGAACGGTGATGTCAGGGAAATAAAATCCACATTTTACATTAATTCCAACTTGAAGAAGCTTAATTGTGCTGGTCGCTCCTTATCTCTCACAATGGAAAAGGTATCAGATGCGTCTGAAGACAAATTTAGACAGATGTATCGGATTTTCAACTCGTCAGTGCCTATTCGGTTTGCGATTTGCGAGCTTGTTAACTTAATTCAAACATGTTTGTTTTACTATGATCTTCTTGATGCAAGGTACTGTGATGGACTTCTCTGTCAAAAAACGGAGGATGCTATCAACAACTGGTGGAACTTAATTGGATTGCCACACTTCAACGCTAAACCAAACCCAAGAATTGGTATTCTTCCATCGAAAACAGTCGCAGCTATCATAAGTTTGACCGTCAGCGTAAAGATGCGTCTCCACATCTTCGGTGGATGCGATGTACCAAAAGATCCATTTGATTTTGAAAATTTTATGATTTCCATTGGTCAATTTCAGAAACAAGTTAAGCTAGAAAAGAAAAGAAAGCTCAATCTCATAACACTTCTGCGTTTGTTTTACTACACAAATCAGAAATTACCTTCAGATAATACTAAGCAATATGGTGGTTTTGGCAGTGACTTGTCCTTGACGGAAGGATCATTCAATGACATAACGGACAATTTATCGACTTCGAAGCATAATTACTCTTACTCATCATTGCATAATGATCCAACTGCTTCGGCTCTGACAGCATCGGCTTATCGAAGAAATAAGCTTTACTACTCCAAAGAGTTGAAAAAACTCACAAATGTGGTTAAGAATACAGTCCAAGATCATATTATAGTACGAGAGGACAATGATGGTTTTCATAATGAACCGTCGAAGACAGGCTCGAAGTTGAGAAATAAAATTGCCTCTAAATTAACTGAACTGATTACTCCCAATGATGTCGAGACTACCGATTTGGATATATTAGTGAGGAAATTTTTAGTGGGTAAGACTTTACTAAGATTATGGAAAGGACTTCCCAAATCTGCAGACAGCACCTCATTCACCGTGGATGATAAGCTACTGCACCAACACCATGATCACCATGGCGCGTCACGTCATAAAAGACCTCGCTCTTATGACTTCTCTCACCCAACTGGCATTGCAGAGGATTCACGGTATCAATTCATCAGTCTTAAGGACGCGATTGTGATGAATCAGGAATTATCAAGCTTGCATTCTGAGAAGGCATCAGGACGTCTTGGCCGCATGAAATTTGCATTTCAAGGACGTAGATCTAATCCTATTTACGAGATTGATGCTTATTCTTCGAATACTGGACAATTCAAGAGCAAATCGTACTCTAGCGGTGACCAGGTCGAATCTGTTATTCTGGAAGCAAATGAATGCAAGAATGCACCCGAGGATAACACGAAATCAAAACCTTGCACTTCTGAGAAACTAAAGGAGGATTTCCGGGGCCTCATGACTAGACGAAGCTCTTTTCCCATTCTATACAATGGAGTGGACGTTAACATAACTACAGCTGAAACGTTGCAGATAAAACCTCCCGATGTGAAATCACTCCGTAAATGCGCAAGTTTTTCAGTGGTCGAGGATTATTTTCACTGTAATGATGAACTTTACAGCAAGGGAAAAATGAAAGTGGATTACCTTGACGATGTGTTGGACTTAATTAAACTTGAAAACTATAAGAAGAACACAAACGTCAGTGGTACTGTTAAAGTTGCAAGACATTATAAACAGATTAATTATGAGTTGGTCAAGCTTCATGGTATTCACAATCGTATGCAAAACAAGCGTCTAGTCATAAACTCAGAATATTCTTCAGTTTTGGCGGGCCGGATGAAGGATCTCACTGATAATATTGATCGTATGGCTTTTAGGTGCCGCGATCTCACGAAGAAAATTAACGAATTGGAAGAAAACTCAAAAATTTTTAATTTCAAATTGCAAGACACATGTGTTGGTAAGCTCGATGGTGTCATTGGCGGCTTAATCAAATCCAGTAAGTTTTTACTTGTGTTTAATGATGAGGAAGAACGCAAGAAGCTCATTTTTGATCTAAGCGGTAAGGAGTACGTTGAAGAAAGCAATGGTGAAACGGAGAATTCGTATTTCGGCCTCAGGTCGCTTGCGATATTCTTGTACGAGCTGTTTATTTTCTTCCTACACTTTTTTGACTTTGACCGCTCGAAGATGAACCTTGAACGTATTCGCCGCTCATACAAAATGGTGGACCCCAATAGAAGATATATTGACCGTGCATATACTTTTGTTAGAAGAGACTCGGCTCCTTTAGATACAGCAATGTCGCCGAATGCGCCAAATTCTGAAGAGATGAACAATAGTTAGAATTTTTAAAGGGAACTATTATATATTTCATATGCTTTTATGAACTTCATTATTGAATGTTCCGTTGAGCACTTCAACAAGTTTAGCCATCTCTTTTTCATATGCGTTCGATAAGAGTAACTGCTCATCTAAATCAAACTTTTGGAGTGTCTCAGATGCACTATTGGTTACGATTGCAAGAGATTTGCTGAGGCTCGAGATATTGGCATCCAACTGATCGATTTTGTCACCTATGGTAGCATTTACATAGTAGTTCGTCCTTTGGTTCATCTCTTTCTCTTCTTCTTGCTGTCTCTTATCTGCTTCGGTATAATGCTTGGTTACATTGCGTACAAGCTCGTCACTGTCGGAGATCAACTCTGTCAATTTACTGGTAGCAAAATCCTGCCATTGTATTTCAGTCTCTAGCGCCAATCTCAGTTTTTCCAATTCCACGATGAGATCCAGCTCAGTAAAATTGGATATGGTCTGACATGGTTCCAGACTGCGTAGTTGCTCCTCATGGCCAGGCGAGACTAACGTTTTTGCTGCTTGCGAGAGTGCTTTGATCTGTGTCGAACTTTCTGTTACATGTGAGCTCAATAGATTTATAAGCACGCCCACAGACCTAGAGTTTTCCGACTGTTCTCCCATGATCATATTGTTTCGTTGGAGTTGATTACCAGCGCGCACAAGAGGTATCGTGGAACGCATCTGTATACTCCCCACTCGATAGTACAGTTCCACGCGAAGGCAATTTTTAATACACGTAGTACATGTACACAGTAAGGATTTGGGACTGAAGCATCTTGGACCTATTACGATACAAGGAGCTGAAACTCAGCTTTCTCCTTAAAACCGTTTAGTTTGGTGTACGGGTTTTGTAGTATCGACACGTCCGTCGTTCTTGTATTGTCTAGAGTATACTTCTTCCTACACAAGTCATGGTTACTATAACAGACGCCCACGAGGATTTGATCCACGATGCTGTGCTAGATTACTATGGGAAAAGATTAGCTACCTCTTCTTCGGACAAGACAATCAAGATTTTCGATGTCGACGGTGCTGATAATTATAGGTTGGTTGAAACGTTGGTGGGCCACCACGGTCCCGTGTGGCAGGTAGCTTGGGCGCACCCAAAGTTTGGCTCCATTTTAGCCTCCTGCTCCTATGATGGGAAAGCAATCATTTGGAAGGAACTGCCCGAGACTCAACAATGGTCGATTATCGCAGAGCATGCTATTCATCAGGCCAGTGTCAATTCCGTCTCGTGGGCTCCTCATGAATTAGGTGCTCTCTTGTTGTGCACCTCTTCGGATGGTAAGGTTTCCGTGGTTGAGTTCAATGAAGATGGTACCACATCCCACAAAGTTTTCCATGCTCATGCTGTAGGGGTAACCTCCGGTTCTTGGGCTCCTATTAGTAGTGGAAAGGACGGCTCTCCTCTGCAACGTCGCTTTGTGACTGGTGGCTCAGATGAGTTGGTGAAAATCTGGCTGTATAAAGAAGATTCTGACAGCTATGAGTTGGAACACGAGTTGCAGGGTCATCACGACTGGGTTCGTGATGTGTGCTGGTCTCCATCTCTTTTGGTGCGTTCGTACATCGCATCTGCCTCTCAAGATCGTACAGTTCTCATCTGGTCTCAAGACAGCGATGGTAAGTGGCAGAAGCAGCTGTTAACAGAGGAAAAATTCCCAGATGTGTGCTGGAGGGTGTCGTGGTCCTTGTCCGGTAACATTTTAGCTGTGTCGGGTGGTGACAATAAGGTGACATTGTGGAAAGAAAACCTACAAGGTAAATGGGAGTCCGCTGGCGAGGTAGAACAGTAGATACTACTTAGCAAGCAATATACATACAAAAAGTTATGTCTATAATTCTCCAATAGTAGCTTCAATTATGCGCTCCACATCTTGGGATGCCTCTTTGGCACTTTGCAAAACTTCATCGTGTGACGCCATACCTTCGTCTAACGGCTTGGGTTCCTTGTCGAAAGCACTAGGTGGAGCCTCTCCCATCCCCTCATTTGTAATCAATGATAATGCCAATACATCCATGTCACAATGTCTTGCAACTATCACCTCAGGAACAGTCGACATTCCGACAGCATCGCCACCTAAAGTTCTGATCATTCTTACCTCAGCCCTAGACTCAAATGTAGGGCCCGCAGCAAAGAAGTATGTTCCCTCTTCAATGCGGCGAGTCACGCCCAAAGCCTTTGCCTTGCTAAAGAACAATTTTCTCAAGTTGTGGTTGTACGCATCAGATAATGGTTGGAAACGAGGGCCAAACTCATCTAAGTTGGGGCCTCTCAAGGGATGAAAACCAGCAAGACCAGGAAAGTTTATGTGATCATTAATAATCATCAAATCCCCGGGTCTAAACCCTTCACGTATACCACCTGCCGCATTTGTCACCACAACAGTCTTCACTCCCAACAATTTGCATAATCTTATTGGGAATGTGGTTTCCTGAAAGCTGTAACCCTCGTAAAAATGCAATCTGCCAACCATGCAAACAACTGGAACTTTTCTGGCCCCAATTAAACCAAAAATAAGTTTTCCTTCATGGCCTGGAACAGTCGAAGTTCGAAATCCTGGAATGGACTCATAGGGGAGCTCCAAGCGTGGTTCCTTGTGCAACACTTTTGCGATTCCTCCTAGACCAGAACCACATATCACGAGCACTCGCGGCTTGTCAATTTCGCTCTCCACAAAAGGCTTAAGTTTTTCCCTCACAATTGCTGTTGCATTGTTCAAGAGGGATATATACTCGGCAGGAGGGATTTGGTAAGAAGACATGATAGAAAGAGGTGTAAATGAAGGAGCGATCGCACGAGTACTTATCGCGATAACACAGTGTGCCAAGTTTAACTACTGCAGCACAGTCACACCTACACTTGGTAAACATCATCTTGCAGAAGCCATCCAGTAAAAAGAAATGTCTTCAGACGACAGCCCGTCTTCAAAAATGGAAAAAAAAAAAAAAAGAAATAGCCCGATGCGGGGCTCGAACCCGCAACCTTTTGATTGACCTTATGGTGATTAAGAGTCAAATGCTCTACCGATTGAGCTAACCAGGCTTGTTTCAAAATAGTTTATGGTGCAATTAGTATTGCTTTATTTTGTGTGAAGACTGTTCGATACTTTTCAGGGATCTAACATCTATACAAGTACTTACAATATTAGAATTTTTGATTTACTGTTTATTGTATGCAAGTTAACATTAATTGCCCTATCTCTACCCTATATTATATTTTTCCATCATCAGCAAAAATATCGCTATGAGGACTGGATTTCTTTCCATTTACGTAAGACATCGTCGTGTCATTACGCGTAGCCCGGTCACTTGGAGATGATGACCCCGTTGTATCTTTGATGGTTTGTTTTGTATCAAAACTCGAGAGGAGAGGTGACGAAGGCATGTTTACAACTGTTGCGTTCTGATTGTCCAACTTGTCGTACGTAGAGCCATACGTTTTTCCTAATGACGATTCCTCTTCAGCTACAGGTGTCTTACCTGTTGCTGGTGTAATGCAATTATCCTTAGGAGTGGGTTCATTGAAGAAGTGAGACCACTCATCTTGATCGGGGCTAGAGCGCAGATTGAAAGATTTCATTACCATGTGCTCAATTTCAGAGAAACCCTCTTTCTCTTGGGGTGGAAAGTTCTCCTTATCTTCCTCTTCCTCGTATAGGTTTATTACTCTCGTATTGGATTTGGTGGCCATCATTGGTGGGGTAGTCTCCTGCTTATTCACCTGGGCATCATGTGGCAAATCTATGTCGGTCAACGGTCCTCCAAAATTGTTTAGTTGGTTCATAAAATCATTGAGATCTTGAAAGTCATCACCACCAGGAGTTTGGTTTGGTGTTGAACTTATTTGATGCGATGTTTTCATACCTTCACGATTCTTTATTACCTCATTTATTGTGGAAGGAGCATGCGAGGGAATGGCAAATTTGTGATCAGGGTTTGCTGGGGAAGACAGTTGATGCAAAGACGATTCTTCCTTCAATTTAAGTTCCCTTTTATACTTTTGTTGCTGTAAATACTTCTTCACCACTGCTTCTGGGCGCATAAATCCTTTGTTCCTCAAAAACAAATAGCATGCATTACACAAGGGACCAAACATTCCATCGTACATCTTCTTGTCAAACACTTTTGACCTTTGAATATTCAAGTAATTCGAGTTGAATTTCGTCTCAAAGTATCTCCAAGTCACAGAATCGTTGGCAGCACAATTTTTATTTATGCAAAGGAGATCATGGTTGTCAGGAAGCTTTGTGCTTGGTATGGTATGTATCTTCTTACTGTCCAAGTCCTCGAGATCTGGAAGAGATTGGAATGTGTTATTCTCGGTTGCAATGATGGTGGTCGTTGTCGTGTCCGACTTTGAGAGTGCCGTGGATTGCCCCAGCTTGTAAGTTTGCATGGGAAGATAAGGAGAGGATACCCCATCTTTAAGATTGTAATCCGCATCTTCCTCTTCCTCTTCTTCTTCCTCGTCAATTGCATGCGTATTCTCATTGTAATCGGTGTCATCTGTGGATTCAGAACCGTTTACAGGCGATGAAGACATTATGGGCAAGCTAGTCATCATGGAACGCGTACGCATTGCACGATGAGGATAAGAACCATCAACAGGGGTCAGGACCGATGGCGTCAAGGGAACATTTGAGCGTCTCCTTTTGCGGCTCGGCTTATCTATTATCTTAGCCAGTAGAAAGGGAGCCAGATTGAATCGTTCCTGGATACTTTTACTATCATATTTGGGGGCCGCATTCAATTTGTCCGCGTAGATAATGCTCGATATTTGCTGGTTTGGAGGATGGTAGAATATGGGAAGAGATTTGGTTCGTGTTGCCTTCAATGCAGCAGACGATGACGTGTTTGGTGGAGGCTGTTTTCTTTTGCGACTATGCGATTGGTTGGACGCCCTAGAACGCTCGCTTTCTTGATCTTTTTGTTGGGGTTCCTCCTTATTTTTCTCGATCACATGTAGCTTTAGACGAATTTCTAATGTCAATGAGGATGCATTTGCTTTGTCGCCAAATAAAAATGATGCAGAAAGATTTTGGCACACCCGTCCAGGAATTAGGTATGGTTTTGCCAGGGATAATAAAGTTGATAGTTCCCCATTTGCCACAAATGGCTCATCGGGTTGCTCGGTAATATCCTTGTAATAGACGGCGTAATCCTCTGTGTCAAGTTTGAAATTCTCTGGTGAACTTTTGAGAATTTGCGTGACGCAATTCTTCAAGTCAAACGCACCAAGGGTGAGAAACTCGTTTTCGCTTTCGGCCATAGATAACGGTATCTGGGCAACCTTGACAGAATATTGAGTCTTGGAGCGAGAAAGGAAGACTGTCGGGCTGTTGTCAAAAGAATACAAAACTTTGACCTGCATTCGTCTGTAAACCTGATCGTCAGAGCTCATGATAAGATAAAAAATGATGTAAAAACAATGAAGGAAGAATTCTTTGCCAATAGGAAAAGGGATGGTAAAGTCAGTGTAGCCACAGAAGAGCCCCAGTTCTTGTGGGTGGGGATGGGGTCACGAGTAAAAGAAAGCGGGAAGGCGAGAAAATAAACAAGCAAATTCTCACTATTGCGCAGAAATACTTTAAAGGAAATGACCTCAGTAAACGCTAGGGATCTGCGAAGCATTTAACACTACGCAGGTTGCTCAATGAAATGTGATCGGTCTACATGAACCACAAGCATATAATTGCCAGTCACATAAACAACGCGACGCGCGACGGGCGAATTCGCGCTTCAGATTCTGACGCGCCTCGCGAGATCTTTTTTGAAACAGTCTGGTTTGCGACAGAAGTTCTGTTTCATTATGAAAAGTTTTCCTTGCTATCGGTTGTGTTCGCCTACGATAGAATTAAATGTTCGTCCATAGTTTGGAGTGGGTAGCATGGTGCAGCTTTTGTAGTTCCATCTCCTTGCAGCATGTAAGCCGCGCCGAATTAATATTCTGTGCGCATTACACTTGCATTCTTCTTCATACAAGACTAAGCAAAGTGCTGGCTCAGACGTGTCGCGCAACTAGGAAGAAATGCCATGAAGTACTAATCGAGGGTTGTCTACTGTCTCAAATAAGTGGCAGCTTGGGTCGAATTTAAATGCATTGTTATGCTTCTATATACAAGTACTCACAACAACCCAACAAGTCTTTTAATTTCGGTGAGATTCTTGTGCGCAAGCTCACTCGCCGCTTGGGTACCTTTGTCACAAATTTCGCTCAAGAACGCTTTATCGTTGGTTAACTGTTCGTATGTGGTTCTCTTGTCCTTGAACTCTTCCACAATGACCTCAGTAACGTAGTCCTTCAATTGTTTGTGGTTTGATATCCATGCCATGTCTTTCACAGTCTGCTCAGCAGACTGGTTGAAGATCCCGGCAACAATGTTTATAAGGTTTGAAACTCCGGGCCTATTTACTGGATCGTAAGTGATTGGGCCTTGTACCGAATCAGTGACCGCTTTGCGCATCTTACGGGTGATGGTATCTGCGTCATCTACCATATAGATGGCTGAATTCTGGTCCTTGTCTGACTTCGACATTTTTTTCTCGGGATTTCTCAAAGAAAGAATTTTCTTTGTGGGTGTCAAAATCGTCTTGGGTAACGTGAAGAAATTTCCATATGTGTGATTGAACGTCGATGCTATGCCTCTGCACAACTCCAAATGCTGGCTCTGGTCATCACCAACAGGAACATGTGTAGAATTATAGAGCAACACATCCGCTGCTTGTAGAACAGGGTACAACAAAACTCCCGCTTTGGTCTTTCCCATAATTTGCTCACTGTAAATGTCCAGCTTATCCTCTACATGCGCCTTCAGTTTCCATTGGGTCATTCGGTTTAAGCTACCCATACTTGTCAAACACGTAAGGATCCAGTACAACTCTGAGTGTCCACTCACGCTGGATTGATGGAAAAGAATACATCTCTCCGGGTCAACCCCAGCACTTATAAGACTGGCAATGGTATTGAGTCTGTTTTCCGATAGCTCTTTGGCCCCAAGTAATTGTGTAAGTGAGTGCAAATCTGCTGTTCCAAAAATACATTGGACGTCCTCAGGCGCTTTTTCGGTGATCGTTTTCCAGTTTCGAACCGCACCCAAGTAGTTACCGAGGTGGATTCTACCCGTTGGTTGAATTAAAGAAAAAATTCTTGCTCCACTTTCGAAGTTAGGAATTTTATCAACCGTTGCCACGGTGCTTGCAGCCCTAACAGCTCGTAGAACTTTGCTGGCTTTCAGCATTGAAATGAAAACTGAACCACTAACAAGCAAATTTTGTGCGTATCTCGCGATCTCACGACCTACATACTATTGGATAATAGAATCTGGTTCAAGAGGTTGCATTAAAAAGAATAAAAAATATGTGTGGTTCTACCTATCATACAATTGCTGTACCAGCACGTCAGTTAGTAAGTTTCAAAGTATACGTAACTGGCTCGATTAAGGCTCCTTGGACCCCTCAACGATGAAGCCACCGCTTGTGTTATTGATGTTGATGCCGTAGTTCGTGAGTCTCTTTTCAAGCTTTTGCCTTTGTAAATTTCTCCATCTTTCTAATTTAGAATACTCATGAATTTTGAACCCGAATACCCTTGGAACATATGTCTCTCTGTTGTGAACTGGAATAGCTTGGGGGAAGTTTTGGAAGAACATTGCTGGAAATGAGGTACCAAAGTACGCTCCATCCACAACAGCATGCCTGCCTGACTTTGGGTTATACAAGTCCTCGCATTTAGCGCAATATAGTTTGACAGAGTTGATTCGAGGCTGATCACTCAAACCCACTGGTAGCAATGGGTGTAACTGGCAATGGACTCTGGGGCAGTAACCAAAATCACCATTCTTGTACTTTTCGAACATTTTACTCAAGCCCTTGTGTGTCAAGATGTATCTAGCATGAATTAATCCGTATAATATACGGGCATTATGCTCTAATGCAATGCGGTGTTCTTCTGCCTGCAGCTCGATATCAACCATATCTGTTATGATGTCCACCAACGTAGCCATTTTGCTAACTTCCTGGTTCAAACCAGTTAAGTTAAAGCGGTCTCGAATATAGTCATCATCTATGTCGCAAAAATATTCATTCCCCTTTATGCCAAGAAACAAATCGATCCAGTATTCAGAGAAATCTGAGCTTGTGTCAGTGAACTGCTCGTTCTCCTCTTCGTGACGTGCATTCGACATGCCTGTGTTGGTATTTTGATGTATGAAGTAGGTAAGGGTGAGTAACCTAGCTTTTTTAAATTTTGGCTCATTCCTCTCCAGCTTGTATGGAGGATTGCAACATGTATGTTTCACATTCTGATTGAAACTTTCGTATTATTTTTAATTGAATGCCTTACCTATAGCATCTAATGCTTCTTATCAAGAATTTTAATTGATTTCTCTTTCATCGGAGTATCTGTAGTGATGCTTTTCATTTTTGCAGATGAATATGAGATTTACACATAATTTGTCGCCTTTAAGCGAAAATTGAAAACATAGAGTATCAATACAGTTTCACACAAAACAAAAAATAAAAGCAGAAAATTCCAACAATATGGTGCAATTCTTCATTCCATGGTTTTCCCTCTGTCGCTTTTTTAATGTAGGAAACGATGTGTCCTCTTTTTCAAAGAACATGCATTTTACATCTTGACTTTCTAAGATTAACGAGAAAATAAAAATTGTACAGTAATCACATTATTAATTCTTATTCTTATTCTACTTTACTATCTTTCTTAATGAATCAATATTCGGTTCCTTTATAGTCTTGGTGTATCGAGGTTTTTGTTCTTTCATCCTAGGTGCAGTTCTCTAGTAATCCTACGAGACTAACAACGTTGGTCCCTTCGAAGTGAATACTAACCCCAACTATGAAACTCGAGGTTCTTCCTCAAAAGTTACACGGAGGTGAAATATCTTCAATTGACATTAATTCAACCAACAAAATAGTGGCTACTGGTGGTAAGGACAACATAATCGCTTTATGGAATCTTGAAAGCCTAATCAACGCTGATGTTGCCGAAAAAAACCACGCTTTGCAGCTATCACCAGAAAAGACCATAGAAGTACACAAAAGTCCAGTAACATGCGCAAGATGGTCTCCAACAGAGAACCACGTTTTGATATCAGGCGACCGAACAGGTCATATCTACATCTCCGATACCTCAAATGGAACCTCAATCCTTATTTACCCTTGGCCATCAATCGAAGATGAGGCCAAACTGATGATTGACGGATCGTGGTCTAAGGATGGTAGACTCTTTGCATGGAGTACTAGTGACTGCAAAGTTCATATCTACGATACCGTCAAAAGAACTTATCAAGTGCTTCTGAATGAAGTGAAGGATGAGAAAACTTCCATCCAGCGAAGCATTGCATTTGATCCTTCGAATACGCTTCTAGTGACGATTGGTGATGACACTTTGGTGCACATTTATCAGTATCACTACGTTGAGGATAGTTACCAATTTAAGGTTCTATGCAAAATCTCCAAATTGATGAACAACAATGCAACAGATGTGCAAGGCCTTAACCATAGAAAAATATCCTGGTCATGCGATGGTGAATTCTTTTCTGTTCCGAATGCCAGCAAACAACAAGCGGCATTGATATCACTTCTTTCTAAATCCCAAGATTGGGAGAACAAAATTAGCTTAGTGGGACATGACATGGAATGTGACGTCGTTCAGTTTGCTCCTCATATCTACCAGTCGGAACCAGAAGTTGTTGCCCTAGATACTGATAGGCATAACATATATCATGTGATAGCCTCTGCTGGTTTAGACCGAACGCTAGTCTTGTGGAATACCTCCAAAGAATCGCCCGTTTTAGTCTTGCGAGATATCACAGAGAAACCTATTGCAGACTTATGCTGGGATACTACGGGAGAGAGGTTACTTTTCGTGACAATGGATGGTCACCTTGGAGTTGTGGGTTTCGAAAGAGGAGAACTAGGGGATACTATTGCTTCAGATCTTCTTTCTAAGCTTAAAGAATCACAGGATAAGCACTCAAAGCCTTTCTCGTGCAAGAGTGATGTGGAAGCTAGTAACTCAAAGAAAACTAAGCACCTAACTGATCTTATTGAACAAAGCAAAGCTACTAATGTGTTGGAAGCATTCAAGAAACCGAAAGTAACAGAGGACATAGAAACGGAAGAGAGAAAGCCAGAAGAGCCGACTGTTGATGATATATTCCCATCAAAACTTGCTGGGGACATCATCCCCACAGTTATAACTGCGAGTAGGGCGGACAACACAGATGACGTCGATATGCTTCAATCTGCAATGAGGGAGCGGGAGCAACCACCAAATGTATCACAAAGCCGAGCAAAGGGAGATACGGTAGCGGTGAAAGAAATTGCCACATCGCTGCAGAGGGTATCCATCAAAAATGGAAAAAAGCGCATCCAACCTGTTCTCATGAGCAACGGACAAAAGACATCTACTTCTATGAACGATACGAGCGCTTTACTACAAAATCAATCTCAAACATCTATGGGATTGAAAACAGGCAAAACTCTAATGGAATTTGATAAGCCTTCGTATTCAGTAACTGAAGAGGCACAGAAGGAAAATAAGAAACACAAAGTGCTTGATGAAAGTGGAAGTACAAAAAAAGCCAAAAGAAACTTGATTCCAATTAAGTTTGTTGGATCCGTTGTGCTTAACCCAAGTACCACGTTCGCTAAAGTCAGATTATCCGCACCAAAGATCAGAATGTTTTTCGGATTAACCTCAAGAGAATCAGCTGACATATACCTTGACATAAAGAATGGACAAGGAAATGAAACAGCACCTTCAAGAGTGACCTGCTTTAAAAGGGAACTGCAAATTTGGACTGACTTCATTCCAAAGTACATACAATTGGCTTCAGAGGGAAGCAATTTCTGGGCCATTTCTACCGCTGATGGGCAAATCTTAACATATTCACGTGTATCCGGTAAGAGACTTCTCCCGCCTCTAATAATGGGTGCGCCATTATCTTTCTTAGAAAGTCACGGGAAATATTTGATGGCTGTCACTACCATAGCAGAGGTGTTCGTTTGGGATATGGAACAAAAGAAATTGCATATGAGCTCTCCTCTGTCTCTCGCGAGCCTATTGGATCTTAACAACAAGTTTGAAGAAGATACAATTAGCAAGTCAGAGAATGTTACCATGTGTTCTATAACATCGAAGGGAATGCCTCTTGTGACACTTTCGAATGGAGCAGGATACCTTTATAATATTGACATGGGTGTGTGGAATACTATTTCGGAGGCGTGGTGGGCATTCGGATCACACTACTGGGATTCAATCTCAGATGATAAAACATCGATTGAGCCCCAAAGTTCAGAATTATTGGGCCGCGAAGCTAAATCGTCATTGATTGGACTCATGGAGCACAAAACGAATGAAGAGATACTAAGAAAAAGTCGTGTGGGAAGAGGCAAGTACTTCAACAAAATATCCAAAAATATGATTATGAAAGAAGGATATGAGAATTTGGAGAACACTGTCTCTTTATCACATCTAGAGAACCGCATCTTGTGTTGTGAAATTTTGGGTGAAGAAAAAGATTTCCACGACTTTTTAATAATTTATGTCAAGCGAATTTGCGAGCTTGGGCTCAAGGCAAAACTATTCGAAATTTGTGAGCAGCTTCTTGCGAGTGACAATCTACAACAGCCCAAAATATGCGGTTATGACAAGCAGGAATTGTTGAAAGAAATAATACTTTCGTGTGCGGAATATAGAGATTCCCAAAGAATTTTGGTTCATTTTAGCAAAATATTGGGGATTATAGATAGCGATTACTAGGTTAACCAGTTATATATGGTGCTCTGGATTCTCAATTGTAACTAACGATAGGAGGACTAACGATCTTGGGATCTTTTTAAATGTGCAGGTTTTATCCAAATACGTTGATTACCACTACTAATTCTATTGGACATTATAATGGTTGAACTCTTAAAATCCATACATGCACATACTGATAAGGCGTGGTCCGTAAATGCCCATCAGACGTTGCCATTGTTGGCCACTGCTTCTACAGACAAGACCAGTAAAATATTCAAGTTATCCCAAGAACAAGGCTTCCCCATTATATCCAGTTTAGAGGACACACACAAGAGATCCATACGTACTGCGAGTTTCAAGCCTCCCTTAAGTTCTAATGAAAGTGATTTTGTTGATTTGCCAGCATTAGCTACAGGTTCCTTCGATTCTACTATCTCCGTTTGGGGAGTGGATGAACCAGAGGAATTGTTGGATGACGAACCCGATTACCTCGAGAGCGAAGAAGCTAAAAAGGCAAGAAAACAGAGAGAAATTGAACTCATTGTCAGTCCTAGTAATGAGTGGAATTTGATGGCATTAATCGAGGGACATGAAAACGAGGTGAAGGCAGTTGCTTGGAACCGTGGCGGAAACTTTTTAGCTTCATGTTCCAGAGACAAGACAATCTGGATATGGGAAACAGATCCGGAGACTTTAGAGGAATTTGAATGTATTTCTGTTCTCAGTGATCATGAGCATGACATCAAGCACATCGTTTGGCATCCTATTATTAATTTACTAGCATCCTCTTCATACGATGATACAGTGCGGTTGTACAAACAGGATGAGGATGACGATGAATGGTCTTGCGTTGGGATTTTGAATGGGCATGAGGGTACGGTGTGGTGTTCAGCTTTTGAAACACCTCAAAAGACGGAGGGTGCTTTGGAGAAAATCCGACTTGCTTCTGCTTCGGATGATTTGTCTGTCAGAATCTGGGTATCTAAGTCCACCCTGTCGGAAGAAACAGGCGATAGAGGTAATGCAATTCCAAGTTCTATCAAACATCACAGCAGTGAAATGCAATGGGAACTTGAGGGTGTTCTTCCTCAAGTACATAAATATCCTGTCTACTCTGTTGCTTGGTCCCCCAAAAGTGGCAAGATCGCTAGCACAGGAGCCGATGGTCAAATTGTTGTATACAAAGAAGTGGAAGGAAAGTGGGAAGTAGAGAGCATCAAAACTGCGGCTCATGGTGTCTACGAAATCAACTGCGTTACCTGGTGCACTTTAACAAATGACCGCGAAGCTTTGGTGACTGCCGGTGATGATGGATACATTAATATTTGGGAAGCATAAAGCGAAGAAATTCCATTCAAAATATAAGACCAATAAGAATAACGGAGCCGAATACGCCAAGCAAAATAAAGAGACAACAAAGCATTCTTCCTCCAGCGCGTTTCTGATACCTCTCTGCCTTACGCAACTCGCGAGATGCCCCCTGTGCATCTGTGCTGTAGCTGAGGATGTTATCTTCTATATTATCAATCTGAAACTGCTGCTCCTGGACAATACCCTGTAAATTCTGAAATATCTCATTGATCTCTTGCGTATCTTGTGCGATCTGATGTATCTCTCGCTCTCTTTCTTCGATGAGCAAAGTCTGCTGCTCTAATTCTTCAGCATTTATAGGTTCGTATGTGATAGAGATTTGCTGCTGCTGTTGATGCCCATTCTCTTGTCCATCCTCTTCTTCTGTGGGAGAAGTTCTAGAGGTGGTACTGTCAACATTCTCTCGTTGTAGTGCAGAAAACTGTCTTTGGTACTGCTGAAATTGATGCAAACTTGTTTTTATGAGATTGAGAGAGATGGCCTCCTTTTGCCTCAAGTAGTTTATGGTATCTTCGTCCTCATGGTTACGCTCACATTCTTTAAGATAGTCATTTAAGCCTTGAGTGTTGGTACTAACATTCTTGAAAGAATCCGTGCACTTCGAAGTGACTTCAGATATCTTTTTTGATAGCTTTGCCGCTTTCTGCTGCAGCTCCAAGTCTGTACTCTTCACGATCTTCTCATATTGTGACAAGAGATTTTTAATGGAAACTAGTTGATTATTGTTGATGTTATAAAGAAGATTGTCTATCGTTTGGGACATGGATTCAAATTCAGGGAAGTCCTTGTAATGGGAAGACACATCCTCTGCATTTTCTAAGTCTTTTGAAAAAGCATTGTTGAACGACATTAATGTTACAATTGTCTGAGACCTACGTAATTAAGGATGTCTCTCAAGCGTCACGAAGAACGCGCACGTGACAATTTCTACGCCTTTCTCCAACTCATTACTTTCTTCTGAATTTTCTATAAACTGTCTATAGTCTCGAAACGGGTAGTCACTCCTCTTCTTCGTCGAATTTGGCGAGACAGTCAAGAGCAGCCATACAACCAGTACCTGCAGAGGTGATGGCTTGTCTGTACTTCTTGTCTTGAACATCACCCGCGGCGAAAACGAATGGGACAGATGTTTGGGCAGTGCCAGGGACAGTTTTGATGTAACCCTGCTCGTCGGTTTCAAGTTGAGAAGCAAACACCTGAGTGGCAGGGATGTGTCCAATAGCGTAGAACAAGCCATTAACTTGGAGAGTAGAGGTTTCTTTAGTCTTGTTGTTGATAATGTCAAGACTGTTCATCAACTTGCCATCACCCTTGGCCTCAGTGGCAGAAGTGTTCCACAAAATCTCAATCTTTTCATGGTTCATTGCTCTCTTTTGCATGATTGGGGATGCTCTCAAGACGTCTCTTCTCACAAGCAAGAAAACCTTCGACGCATACTTCGTCAAGAACAAAGCCTCCTCACATGCAGAGTCACCGCCACCAATAACAGCCAAAGGCTTGTTTCTGAAAATAGGCACAGCACCGTCGCAGACAGCACAAGCAGAAATACCTTGTTGCCAGTAGGTGTCTTCACCTGGAATGTGCATTCTCTTGGCCGAGGCACCGGTTGCAAGAATGACAGCATCTGTGGTAATAGGCTCGGCATCTTCGTTCCACTCAGTCCACAACTTGAATGGACGCTTGCTGAAATCCACCTTGGAAATGGTTTCAGTGATGATTTCGGTACCGAATCTTTCGCTTTGCTTTCTCATGTTTTCCATCAACCCCGTACCAGAAATTCCTTCAGGAAAACCTGGGAAGTTTTCGATGTCTGTAGTAGTGGTCAACTGACCTCCAGCGGCAATGCCGTTAGCCAACATACCTTCATACATAGTTGGCTTGACTTCAGCACGCGCCAAGTAGATGGCAGCGGTGTGGGCCGCAGGGCCAGAACCAATAATTGTGACTTTGTGGTGAACCATTTTCTTTGATATTTTGACTAAGGAGTTGGTAAAGTTTGTACTTATGCCAAATAGCATAAAAGGAGTTTTCTAGGGCTGCCGACCGCGGAAATATATACTTTGGATATGGTCTAGCCGCAGTCCTCTTGACAAATAGAATTACTGCACATAGATCCAGAAAGAAAGATACGCCGTTAGCTTTGTAATTACGTTTTGTCATCCTAAGGTCCAGCTTTACCACATTCGGGATGATCGGATTGCTTACACAGAAAACGTTTAAAGTGGCCATATCAATATCCGTCTCCGTAAAAAAAACTTGCGTAATACATTAAGGTGTATATTTCTTCAGTCTGATAGGCGCAGTGGGTATCAATTCTTTCCTACGTGCTCGCTCCAGCAACCACATGCAATCAAAGCATAGCTCTACTATCAGAAATGATCCTCACTCTCAAAAACCTAAGAGCATAAATAGCATTAGTATTATATTAACGAGAAGATACATCGTACCGTGCTAGCTTAACACGAAATCATTGATTACCTTCGAGTGCTGGTACTTTGGGTTGAGCAAGACATTGGACAAAAACCATTGAATGCCCTTTCTTCTGTTTTCGAGCCACAGGCCCAGTTGCCATAATCTCGCCATGCTAAATGAATCCTTAGGAGGCATTTCCGGGATATCATCGTCCGGGAACTCCTTCACCACCTTCTCTCTAAATGCGTAAATATCACTATATCTCTTGTAGAGGAAAATCAGGGAATGAGACGCTTCATCAACCACTATTCGGATAGGCCACACCATGTACAGCCCAGAAGAGTCCCCCAGAACAAGATGCGATTCACCAACAAGAACATCAGTGATGTGAGAGTTTGTACCAAAGTGGGTATGGCCGATAGCTCCATCGGTCAATTGAATGGGTATGGGAGCAACCAAACTTAGTTCGGATGCATTCTGTGTCGGTCTAGGCATGCTAGTTTGATCCCAAAACCTTGGCTTTATAACGCATTAACAACCGTGCTTTGTGAGCGGTGAGTAGGTGCTGGTTCTAAGCCGATGATGATCCTTATTGTGCTTCCTGCACCATCTAATCTTCATCGCACTGGGTTTAGCAAGAGAAACTGCAATCTACGCCAGAAAAAATGGACTCCATCGCGAGAAAATATCCTTACTGGAAACGTGTCCTTCATAAGTTTCAAGCCAGAAGGGACATTCCCTTCCGTAAGAAGTTTTTCGTGGGATATGACCTCCATGGTAACACATATTGGGAATTCACTATTGATGGCAATATGCAACGCTTACGACGCAAACTAGAACCATACGAGGAGAAGTTTTTCAAAGCTGATTACTTTGACACAGTCCCACCACAATGGCTTCAATGGCTCAGAAGGACAAGGGAACAAGCGCCTACATTGCAGGAGTTAATGAACGAGCAGATCCGGCAGCAGAACATCAAGATTTTGGCCCAGCACGCAGAAGCAAAATGGTACAATGAAAAACAAAGGCTTGAAAACGAGAACCAGTTAAAGTTACAGGCTGAATTGGAGAAGGTAGAGAAGGAAAATAAGGAGTTTGAGGAACGTCAAAGAAAAATGAAAGATGCAGAAAAGACTACAGAATCAGACCCATGGGCGCTGGCTAAGGAAAAATCCAATCCTATAGAGTCTGCATCCATTAAACCAAGAAGATAATTTATTTGTATATAGTTCACGAACAATCAATTCATTCGTATGCACTTTTAACAATCTATTCAAAGACCTCACGGGCAATGGGAACTCTTACAAAGCCTTCACTAACAATTGCGCACCTTTGTTGTCCTTATCCTTAACCATGTCACTCTTGAGTTTTTTCAAGTTTTTAGAAAGAGTCTTGGCCTTTGAGGCATCCAGAATACTTAAAACTTCGAATATTGCAAGAACAACGAAAGCACCTTGACCAGAAACCCAGTTTTTGAGAACACCATCTTCCATCAATTTGTCTGCACACTTCCGAGCAAAATCCGTACCAACACTTGGAATCTCCTTTCCCTCAACGAACACTAACTTCTTTGATTCATTGTCCCACTTGAACTCATTTCCTTGAATCAAGGCTTTCAATGACCTGGAAACGAAAGGAGTTTTATTAAGTAAGTGGTAATCTTCTAAAATGTCACCTTTAAATGTAAGATCGAAGAATGCACTAACAAGTTGAGGTCTCAATTCGTTGTTGATTTCGTCATCTTCAGATGGGGTAAGGGTGAGCTCAGTGACAAACTGCGCCGCAATATTCACTGACAAAAGTTTGGTGAAAGTTGGATTACTTTCAGGATCAATAGTGCTTAAAATGGATCTGTAGATTAAAGGCAACGCCTTACTTTGCAATTCAGACCTTCTTTGGTCTTGTGGCTTCTTAGAGGTCTTTGCATATGCCAATTGCTCATACTTGGCAAAGTCTTCCTTATTCTTGGGAGCAAAGTACTTTCCATCCAAACCCTTGAGTAAATACAACAAAGGTCTGCGAGAGAATTTCTCTTGAATCAATTCTGGCAAGAGATCTGGGGTAAATAACTCAGTACTGAAGGATTTATGGAGTAAAACTGTGTCGTCAACAGTCATGAACAAAGTAATCAAGACAGAGTTACCATACTCGTTCTTAATCAACTCTTTACCATGTGCCTTCAATGACTTGATGATGCTTTTTCTTTCCTTTGCATTAGCTAATGCAATAAGCGTACAAGCAACTTCGGAACCCTCTTGGGTGTGAACCAATTCAGCAAATTGCTCAGCCAATAACTCAATGAGTTCTCTGATTTGACTGTCGTTCTTTTCGGTGTCATCAACCAAGATAGAAACATACTCCTTAATCGCAGCATGCAAGATTTGGAAACCTGTAGATCCTTTAGCTACAGAAGCTGTGATCGTGCCACTCAAATTAGCGATTATTAATTGCCTCTTTTCTGCCGACTCATTAACAATGTCCAAAACGGTCTTTCCCTTACCAGAATCTTTGAAGACGGCATACTCTGCTCCCCAAAACTCTCTAATCATTTGTTGCTTTTGTTCTGCGGTCGAATACAAAACAAACAAATCTTCAACGACGTAAGCACCTTCCTTGTGTCTCATAAGCTTCCGTAACTTGCCGTGGAGCTCATTAACTATGAGCGCACGAGAGTCTTTCGATCCGTAATGCAAAAGTTTGACTAACAAGTACTTGCCGTAAGAAGAAGTAGCCAACTTGTAGTAGTTACCCTTCAAAGATTGAACGATCAAATCTCTTCTTTCCTTGGAAGAATACTTGACCAAAGTTTGGACAACACGAGAAGCATCATGCTTTAAAACCAAGTCGTAAATGACGTCGTTGGACAATTCCCAAATCTCATCACACAACTTGTCTCTTACCTGCTTAGGAGGAGCAGGCTTTTTGACTCTCAATTTCTCCCATAAAGACTTGATTCTCTCTACCTCTGCACCAGACTTCCTTTTCATCTTACGTTCCGCAAGCAACTTTCTTTGCTCTGCGTGTTGTTCAGCAGAAGTTTTCTTATTTGGGTCAGCAGCAGACTCGCCATCCTTTTCCTCCATTGATTCTTCATCAGAGCTGTCATCACTCTTTTCAGATATGTCCAATTCGTCTTCTTCTTCTTCCTCCTCCTCATCAAGCTTATCAAGTTCGTCTTCAGAAGAATCAGAAATATCACTTGATAAGTCAGAGCCTTCCTCAGCCGATTCATAGATAGTCACGTCATTTTCAGATGCACTGTCACTTTCTGGAAGTGGTTGAGGAGTTGTCTTAGCCTTCTTGAAGCTCTTACTCTTCTCCAGTTTGGAGGCAGAACGTTTTGTACCTTTGACCATCGTGGATGTAGAGATAAATTTACCCACAAACACCAAAAAAGAATTCAGTGCGATGAGGTCACGTGCGCACATCGATGGTTTGTGAACCAATCTAATCAACATGTGTGCTGGCAATCGAAAACTTGGGTAGAAAGAAGTAGAAATTTCAAACAAGGTCATTAATTAAAAGCAAGAAGTAACTGATGAAGCTGCCTCATAGCCTGTAAGATGTTTTAGCAACTTATACCCCATGGAATGAATAGAATATTGAAGCTAGAGCGACAAGTAAAGTGAAATGAATATTGAAATCATAAAGGACTCCGAATAACTATCCTTATGCAATTAGAAATCAATGTTTGTATCGTATTAACAGCTTACGCAATTGTTCGGTTCATAAACCTTTAGTACCCCAGACATCCGTGCACCATTTTCGGAGTTGCATTAGTCATTCATGAGCTTTGTGAATACATTAGTTGCTTCATGATGTTACGCTCAACCACTAGAGCCACGCTCTTCAAGGCTGCTTCTTTGCATGCCACTAAACCAACCATGTTTGCTCGTTTCAATTCCACCCAATCTTTGGTATCGGAGGTCAGAGATTTACCGCAATTAACAAGCATTATCAACTCGAAGGATAAAGTTTCTGTTGTTGATTTCTATGCCACCTGGTGTGGTCCTTGTAAGGCTATTGCTCCTATATTTGAGACATTGGCCCAAAGAATCCCCGAAGTGCAGTTTGCAAGAGTCGATGTAGACCGTGCCACGGATGTTGCTGCTGAATATGGCATTACTGCCATGCCTACAATCTTGTTTTTCCAAGATGGCTTGAAGGTTGATACAATTGTCGGTGCAAATGTTCCAAAGCTAGCAAAGTTAATCCAAGATTATTCGGGTGTGGATGTTAAACTGAGATAGACAGTTTACCTATCTTAAATATTCGCTTTACAAGAAATAAATAACCTATATGAGGATATTTTCTTTTCGTTTTACACTATTATTCACTTTCATGCCTCTCTGCTGTTGTAGATGTCGTTATCTAATCTCCTCACCTTCACATGGTAGTCAATGTTAATGTGCCTGCACTACGAAGCCTCACAAACTCGTGTGAGGGCCCATTGGCCTTGTGAACATGTGCTTCTAAACGCTTATACTGGTATAGAGGCACATTATGAAAATTCTTAATACCCATTGTCATGAATTAAACACCAATTGAACTCATAACTTAACTTTAGCCTGTCAAAAATAAGAAGGATAGAGACAAGTCTTGTCTCTACTGCGCACTACTACAATATGGATTCAATGACGTATTATCCATTCCAGAGATTCTTAAATACACATGATTATTGGGCACAATTTACCGTCTAGAATGCGGCAAACATGTAACCTCAAAAGAATAGAGAAATTATTCAGTAGTAAACCATTGGAAACATCGCTTGTATGGTACATATAATGATAGCCAATAGCCTGCATATATTATCCTGCCAACACAAGTGGCGATCTTCTTAGTAGTGCTCACTTGCTTCAGCTTCACAAGAAACACATTAACAATGGTATGTTCTTTCCACATAAAAGGGACGTTATAGAAATATATACTAACTTTCAAAGGGTCAGGGTGCTTCGGGAATGCCCGGAAGTGGAGACTTCGGTAAGAAGAAAGATGATAAGAAAAAAGAGAAACCAAAGTATGAACCCCCGGTGGAATCCAACTTCGGCAAGAAAAGAAGAAAAGGTCCAGACACTGCTGTGAAATTGCCAAGCGTATATCCAACTACACGTTGCAAGTTGAAGCTATTGAAGTTGGAAAGAATCAAGGATCACTTATTGTTGGAAGAAGAATTCATCTCGAACCAAGAGGCTTTTCAACCAACTGAAGCAAAGCAAGCAGAAGAGAGAGAGAAAGTGGATGAGTTGAGAGGCTACCCTATGTCTATCGGCACATTAGAAGAAATCATTGACGATGACCACGGTATTGTGTCCACCACAGCAGGTTCTGAGTACTATGTCTCGATAATGTCATTTGTTGACAAAGGGTTGTTGGAGCCAGGTTGCTCCGTTCTTTTGCACCATAAGTCGGTGGCTATTGTTGGTGTTCTACAAGATGACGCCGACCCAATGGTGTCGGTGATGAAATTAGACAAATCCCCAACAGAATCATATGCGGACATTGGCGGTTTGGAATCACAAATTCAAGAAATCAAAGAGTCTGTGGAATTGCCATTGATTCATCCAGAGTTGTACGAAGAAATGGGAATCAAACCACCAAAGGGTGTTATATTGTATGGTGCCCCAGGTACAGGTAAGACCTTGTTAGCCAAAGCTGTCGCCAATCAGACAAGCGCCACCTTTTTGAGGATCGTGGGATCTGAATTGATTCAGAAATATCTCGGTGATGGACCTAGATTATGCAGACAAATTTTTCAAATTGCAGGTGAGTTAGCTCCTTCAATTGTGTTTATTGACGAAATCGATGCTATTGGAACGAAAAGATATGACTCTACGTCGGGTGGCGAGAGAGAAATCCAAAGAACCATGTTAGAATTGTTGAACCAGTTGGATGGTTTTGACGATAGAGGTGATATCAAAGTGATCATGGCTACGAATAAAATTGAATCTTTGGACCCAGCATTGATTAGACCGGGCCGAATTGACAGAAAGATTTTGTTTGAAAACCCTGATTCGAACACAAAAAAGAAGATTTTGTCCATTCACACCTCCAAGATGAACTTAGCTAGCGATGTGAACTTAGATGAATTAGTCACTTCGAAAGATGATTTGTCAGGAGCAGACATCAAGGCATTGTGTACAGAAGCAGGTTTGTTGGCATTGAGAGAGCGGAGAATGCAAGTGAAGGCCGAAGACTTCAAAACGGCAAAAGAAAGGGTTCTCAAGAACAAGGTGGAGGAGAACCTTGAGGGATTATACTTGTAACTGTATACTTTTTTAATACAAGAAGTTGAAATAATCATAAATATTGTTCTATTAATCATGTATCGGCGCTCTAAATTATGTGATTGACTAATGCGGACGAACTTATCAATCAAACAAGTTTGTGAGCCGCAATTGAAGTCTTAGGGAACCAGAAGTCGGTAGATTCTACTGATAAACATACTTGTGGAAACCAACGCTATATTTTTGCCTGAAGAAGCTATATAATGACTTAGTCATCTCTGCTTTGCAAGAAACGGAGAACAAACAAGAAGAGATTGATGATATCGAGGTATAACGTCACAGAAGCGACAATTTCGTCATCTAAAGTGGCAGTCTTCATAATTATTTGTGTATCAACGACAACATAGCCGGAAAACACAATGGCGCCGATTCCTGAATAGACCATTGCAACGCCTTTTGTCTCGATAGGGAAAAACATCAGTATAAACCCCCATGCAATAAGAGCCCACAATGCCATTCCTAAAACACCTTGCCAGCTTGTGAAATCATACTTAGTTTGGAAGGCAAATAGGGTAAGACCCATAAAAATGGCGAATGTGATTAGAAGAGCCTGAGATAAAATACCTGACTTAACAAAAGAACAGGCGAGACCTAGACCGTAGGCTTCACATACAGTGAAGCCTGTCAACAAGATAAGGTTGGTGGGATAGGAACGAGCTTTCCAGTAGGTAGCAATCATAAAACCGAAAACACCCACAATCGATACAATGTACAACCACATGTTGTTCATACACCAATTCTGAATAGCAGAGTTCAGGCGAATCACATACCCGACAATCACAGTCAAAAGTACCTGAATCGAGAGTAGCGCATACACTTTTCGAAGAAACATCTGTCGAATAGGCAATTCGCAAGAAGCGACATTGGCAGAGTATTTGAAATCATCAGGAATGTTGTCTCCACTAGTTCTGGGAGCATCTGTTTCACCATAAGCTGGGGGGCTTTGTGGGATTTGTGTGTAAGACATTATGTGGCAAGGAACGAAGCAAGGGCTGGGGTCATGCGAAATATATATGTATAGATATATATATACAGTCCCACATGCACACCCTGAGAAAGACCCTTGTCTCAGATAGAGAAGCGCATGGAATTGTAAACGATCACATATATCTCAGTCTCCCAAAGACACATACTGAGCTGAACTTAGAAAATGTAAACCCAACCCATTATGGAGCTTTAATAGTTTCGTATTACTGTAATCAGTCCAGCAGTCTAGGTATGGTTGAACAGTTAAAACAAATCACGAAGAGTCTCGTCCAACTCAGCATCATCTTCGTTCTGATCCAGCAGCTCCTCTATGGATGGAGGTTTGACAACTTCACCCGTTTTGAGCCGTAGCACTGTAACATCTTTGAATGCAACAGTTTTTCGACACATCGGACAAAGCCCAACTCCCTTGCGGCCTCTTGTTTGTCCCCGCGCAGAAGATGATGCTATACTCTTCTGCAAGCATTGAAGACAGTAGACGTGACCACAGAAAGTGGCTGTGGCGTTGGTGATGGTATCGAAGCAAACAGGACATTCGGCCTCGCTGAGCTTTTTCACCACTTTCGGTGGCGCCTGTTCAATCAAATGTTGAGTATGTTTTTTAAACTCAAGAACCTCGATGTCATCGTCGTCGTCTTCGTCCGAGGAAATGCTAATAACATAGGGTTGCGACATGAATCTGCGAAGTCTGGACTAAAGAGGCAAATGAAGAAGTATGAAGAGGTACGCGTGCGTGCAGGAAGCATGGGCTAAAACCCTGACTTTTATATAGATGGTATGTAACCGGCTGTGCATTATCGCCTACTTCAGTCATTTAACAACCAGATTCATGATGCTCAGCTCAGAAAAAGACAAAGAAGAGGACCAAAAAAATAATAAAAAAAAAAAAAGAATCGTACCAACAGAAAAATAGTTGGCCAGATATTGTAAGATGAAGAAAGAGGTGGTGTGTGACATATCAAAGTGACGCAACTTTTTATTCTTGACATTCGCAGATGCATTCAAAGAAAAGGCCCATTCAGGTTCCTCGAGACACAGGCTTCGAGACAAAGACTACTAACCATGAAGCCAAGGATACATGTAGTTAAGCCGCGCGCTACATGCAGCGAAGCTGGCTTACCAGTAGCAAGAATGCAGTATTGCGGCAACTGGCGGAGTCAGTGGAATGTGTAGCAAAATGCAATCGGGCTGTCTATAGTAACAGTAAACCAGTCTATGTTGTCTTATGGGGATTCCGAAGTCATTGGCCATGTAATAATGGTCTTCGGCTCTGGACCCTTTGTATTGAACCGCTGATATGGAAAAGGAAAAATGTGGTTGTCCTGTATGTTAGTCACGACTTTTTCGAGTTGCCGATTCTTTATGGGGTCATACAAAAAAACACTTCAATCTCCTGTTCCCATCCGCTTTTCCATAGGCATAACCATACTTAACGCGTAATTTTACGCTTCCACCAACTCTCTTTCATTACCTGTTCTAGTTCCTTTACTCAAGGTTCACACATTCGTTGTTCCTTGTGAAGGATATATTTTTCTTTTATTGCTCCCTCCCCAGACACATTCATCTTAACCAGAAAGCGTTTCAAATTACTTTTATTCAGTCATACACGAGGCGGAAAATGTCAGACATTCATAACCCGCTTACTGCGGTTGTGCCATTTCAATTTCCGACCCAAGCAGATTTCCCTACAGAAATCATTGCTCAAAGATTCCAGGCCTACCGCTATATCATCAAAGACTTGGTTACTTATCTCCGACAATTTGCCTCTGTCCAAGAAGAAATCGTTCGTCAGCAAGTGCGACTTCAACAAGCAGTAGGGACGTCATTGTCACCAAATTCTACAACGAACAATACTCATGGTAAGACCCCAGACCGTACCAATATTAGGACTGAGCTCAACCTCATCAATAGCTTCTTCTTGCCAATCGGAAATGGTTCCATTCAGGACATTCCCACGTTGTTGACCAAGTTTCACCAACAGAACATTCAAAATGGAACTAAGACGTTGAAGGAGATAAATCTGGTGATTATTCCAAAGTTTGAGGAGTTGCGCAAGGATTTATTAGTCAAGATAAAGGAAATCAAGAATTTGCAAAACGATTTTCAAAACACACTAGGTAAGGAGTTCCTGGAAACGAAAACCTTGCTCAGTACCTTTAATCATGCTGTTGATTACGCCCATCGTCTTGAAGTATTGAACACAAGTACCGAGCACCATCATTTCGAGTCTAGCAACGAAGCAGAAAGTTTGAAGACCGACCCATACTTGGCAAAACTTAAGTTAAGTCGGCAGTTGAAGAGACAGTTGTCTGAAGAAAATTATCTTTATGAGGCATTCAAAAACTTACAGACTTCTAGTGAAAAACTAGAGTCCATTGTTGTCTTGGAAATTCAAAATTATCTTCGTATATTCCTCAACTTAGTGGAGAAAGAACACAGCACGGTCTCCAGCTTCTTGGTTCCTAGTTTGTCGAATGGCTTTTTGGCTAAGGAACCCAATTTTGAGTTTCAGTCGTTCATCAACAGGAACTTGCCTAAGAAACCCAACGAGAATGCCCTGTCATTCAAGTTTATTGATTTATCATTTCCTGCGAGAAAATTGTCAGACTTGTCCATCCCGCATTATGATTCCTTAGTGAATGTTGCTGTCAGAGAAGGGCCCTTGGAAAGAAGATCTAAATTCTTGAAGTCTTATTCTAGCGGTTGGTATGTTTTAACTTGCAGTTATCTTCATGAATTTAAGTCTTCTGACAGAAGAAAAGATCAAACCCCAGTTATGTCGTTGGCTTTAGACTATTGTCTGGTTAGCGAACATTCGAAGAATGATGGTAAAATGAATGGGGCTTACAAATTTGTGTTGTACTCCAAACTGCCAAATGGATTAATACACAGGGGCCACAACTTGTCATTCAGGTGTGACACTTATCAGAATATGATTGAATGGTATAAAGATATCAAGACTTTGACTTCTTTACCATCTCCAGTGGCGAGGGCCAAGGTAATGGCCAAAAAATTACAAGCAAACAATGCATTAAATGATAAATTATTGTCGAGAACTTCAACTGCATTGTCTTCTAGTGCAAAGTCACTCAGATCCAACGTGTCGCAAGCCACAAACTTACAGGAGAGGCTCAGCCCAAAAAGTAGCCACAGACGCTCAAGGTCCATTGCGGAGTCTCAGACACATTCTGTCACATCTTCCGCGCATAACCCTAGGATTTCATCTACATTTTCACATCGATACCAGCAATCTCCCAAACTCTCGAACCTTATCAACAGCGATGGTACAATCGTGACTCCAATTGAAGGTAGTCTTGAAAAAGGTGCAAATCAGGACGATATGGAAGGTGATACCACACATGAGGCTACTTCCATGAATAATACTCAGTCCGAATCGCAAAGCCAACAATACAACCAGATTCCATCTATTTCATTGCCACATCAAAATGGTAACTTTGTTGGCCAAGCTACACCCCAGCAGACAATTCCACAGAATTACCAATACTACTTAAATCAAGTTCACCAACAACCGCAGCAGTTTTACGACCCTGTTCTGCAACAATTCTTCACTATCAACGCCATCCCTACGCTGCATATGACGGATCAACAAAATCAGAATCAAAATAGAAACCAGCCAATGCCACAGTACTTCACACCACAAAACCTCAACCAGTCTGGTGCGGCAATTCATATGTCGCCAAATGTGGTGCCGAAATCACCTGCGATGGAGCAAGGTCAATTTGTTGCTGTCCCTGGGGATGGAAAGCCTTACCGTCAGTTCATTCCCCATTTTCCACAGCATTTCAACGAAGGGCCTTCGAACCAAGCACCATATCCAACCAGCTTAGGTGAAGGTATCAATGTGGTATCGCGCCAAACGACAAATACTCATCAAACGACGGGAGATGAGCAGCCTGTTACTTTACAGCAGAATCAAGAACAAACTGTTGAAGACCAAGTATCGAAACTAGCCATTGATGAACAAGGAGACGACGACGAGGAATCGAAAACGAAGGACGAGACCAAACAGCAGCCTGATCCTAGCTTGGACGTTACGGTGGAGGAAAATGGCAACAGCCACAGTTCGTAGGCATCATCATGTTTATTTCTTTGAATGTATTTTTTATTTATCTGTTTGAAGTAGAAATAGCACTACAAGTAAATTTAGACTGCGTCAATATGGATTAAATGTATGATATACAAAGGTCATGAAGAATGCTTAGACAACGACACCGGAGTTGGAAGCAATTCTTGGCCACAAGTCAGCACATTCCTTGGCAACTGGACCAGTGATGGCAGAACCCTTCATTTCACCCTTAGGGTTGACAATAACACCAGCATTGTCTTCGAAGTACAAGTAAGTACCATCCTTTCTTCTCCATGGTCTAGATTGTCTGACAACAATAGCTGGCATAACCTTCTTTCTCAATTCAGGCTTACCCTTCTTGACAGTGGCCATGACCATGTCACCAGCAGAAGCAGCTGGCAATCTGTTCAATCTAGCACCAAAGCCCTTGACGGCCAAGATGTACAAGTTTCTAGCACCAGAGTTGTCGCAACAGTTAACGACGGCACCAACTGGCAAACCCAACTATAATTGTTAGTAGCTGAAAAGACATTGTGTCTGATTGAGGGATATATGGAGTATTTGATATGCTAAACAGCAAGAGTCCTTCATTCTTCTGCTCCGCGGGTTGGAGTATGGATAAATCTTTTGATGGAAAGCACGAAGTGGAATCGGGTCTCGGGGAAGCAAATATCAGCCAGACATTTCAAGAACGATAAATGGAGCAGGTACATACAGACATACGGAACTTGTTACCGGAAGCACCAGAACCAGACATGTTGATATTCTATACTAGGTATTGAAGAGGAGAAAGGTTCAAGACTTTTTTTTTTCTAAGAGCTGCGCAGTGACTGGGCGCGGGAAAATTTTTCAGAACGGGTGTGCATGTAGCCTAAGGTGCACTCGAGGGCTGAAACCCCAAAATGCACTCTGAGCACGTGATTAGCCATTTCGGCCGTGTCATGACATGGTAGGTGCCCTTGTCCCAACTTGCATCTCCAAGCCTTCGATACATGACGTGACGTGCCTTCGAGAACGCGCAAACGAATACCACCTCACCAGCCGTATGGGGTTGTGGAAAGAAATCAAGTTCAACAAGCTGCTATTTGAAAGTAACTAGTACGGTATCCACATCTGACGTAGACGAGAATTACTTCGAGTATCCTGAAACATGAGAAGTGAATTGAATGAATATAAAGTGCACGTATATGACTAATTAACCACCTTCAAAGACCCAGGGTTCCGTTGAACCATATCTGGTAGAGACCCGTCTGACAAGCGACGACGGCCATACTCCTCCGAATCCGGCGGGCGTAGAGCGTCATCTCCTCTGTGGGAGTTCATGTTATCAAAAAAGAATACATCATCGTTATTGGAGGAGTATGACCTGGAAGTGTTTGAGTTGTGATGGTCGTGTGCTGCAAGGCCGCTTGCAGCAAGAGCTCCTGCCGTACCTCTTCCATCAATGTAAGGATTTGGGTTGACGCCATCAAAGCCGTTTTGCCGTACTCCACCAACGTCGTAAAAGTCCTCCTCTTCCGCAGGTTCTTCCCTTCTTCTTTTCCAAAACAAGAAAGCAATTGCTGCAAGCAATGCAACACCAGCGAGCACACCTATAACAATACCAGCGATAGCACCACCAGAGAGGGAATTTTTAGAGCCTGAACCATTGTGAGTTCTCTCGTTGCTATTAGCAGTACTGGAGGCTGAAGACGAGATGGTTGTGGTGACCTCTATTATAGACGGGCTAGCTGGGCCACTGGTAACCGTGGTTGCCGATGTGACAACAATTGCACCTGATTCGGGTGCGGAGGTCACTTCGCTGTTGGACTTAGTAGTGCTATCAGCATCGGAGCTGGTAGGCAGCGATTTGCTAGCAGATTTTGACGAACTATTAACAGAGTCCAGTTTCGATGCAGAAGGGGAGGACAGCGTAGAAGGACTCCCACCCAGGGAGGATGGAGATTGAGAAGTCAGACTCGCATCCGTAGAAGATGCTGATTTGGAAGAAGACAGCAGTCCCAGAGGTGATGACGAACTCGAAGACGCCATAGTGGAACCATCTACGTCGTCGTTAATGTAAACATAGAAGTATCCATCACCACCACAAGTTTGTATGTTATAACCTTGACAAGGAGTGTCACATTTGGAGTTGGATACCTCTAAAGAGCTTAAAGGCACAGTCAGACCACAGTAGCAATATTGGCCATTGAGCAAAGCAGCCACTTTGTCACCCGAACATTGGTCCTGGCAATAGCCCGTAGATTGATAAGTATAGGAGCCTTTCAGAGACAAGAAGGAAGAGATGTCAGATTCAGAAAAGCATCCCAAGCCAGAGAATTGGGCATAAGCCTGGGGAACCACCCATAGCGCCAATAGTAGTAATGGGGTGATAATGGTGGTGGACATTGGCTTAGACGACGTTCATGAAATTCAACCGTGGAGACGTACAAAGGGAAAGACAAAAGCGAAACGGTTAGTAAACGGGTGGCCAGGGAAATCCCAGTATAATCTTTTCGACGTGGAGGAACAAAAGAAAAGTGTAGCTTGTTAAAGCGGATGGGAAAAAAATATAATGTATTGCCTGTGCGAGACTTCGATCTGTTGTGCACGGAAGGGTGCGACCGGAGGGGAAAACAAAGAATTACACTAGCGTACAATTCAAGCGGCAAATTAGAGAGAGACTGAAGATGACCAAGTGGGTAGATGTTTGTGGAGTTATTTTGCTGGCAAAAATTCTGCTTCAAGAATTGGATCTCTAAAGGTGAAGATGGATCGCTAGATGTTGTGTTTTGGTTTGCTCAAAGCGCAGTGGGTTATGTGTCGGATACAACAACAAAAATAGAGTGGTGCGTACTACACGCATTCCCCGTTCTCTGGTGAAACCCCGACAACATAGGTTAATGAGACAAGCAAGTGTCATCTCCGGTACAGACCCTAACAATAGAATTTACATTACGGTGTTTACACTTTGAGATTTATTGACAGTTTGTAGATGCCGTATTTTTTTTTTTTGGAAAATGTGCTTCATTTTGCCAAACGTGACTTGCGCTCGGGTCATGCCGCCACGTTTAGATCACGTGTACATATGTGAGAGAAGAACGCGTTTAGCCGCTAGTAAAAACAATTAGTGCATAGGCCATGAATACACCCGTACATCCGACATCTACCTATAAAAGGAAATGCGAATGCAGAAAATTTTTTTCTCCCTAGGCCTGTTCTCTAGTTTTACTGGTATTGGGGTTTCTCCAAAATGCAGTGAGCCATGGAGTTAAGCGTTATTGCTCTCGGGTCCGCAGACTAATTTTTGCCCTTTTTCGCTAACAACGATCTTGTTCCACCGATCGTAGTTTGATAGTAGTGGGGCAAACATCAGCCTTATGGCTCTGTAAATGATTGTAAATTTGTATCATTGTACTATAAACGTTGGTCAGATCCCACCTTCGTGGCGTCTAAGGTGCTGTTCACAATCCCCTGGCTCCTGATGTCGGTTGTGCAGATGATGATCTAAGTGCTACTGCATTTGACTCAAATGTAGCTCGAAAGTGTACTTTTGTACTAAGTAATGCAAGTTCTATCTCCAAAAACGATAGCATCTACAATAGCTGCATACAGAGAGGAAGTCGCTTCGTGTAAAGATGACGCAGGCATCCAAGTGAATCCCCAAATACTGATTCTTTCGCTCAAGAGAATAAAGGGGGATCTCCCTCTACTATTGAGCAATCTCAATCAACACAAGAACAATAGCATATACCAATCTACTTTCAACCAAATTCTGACTCTTTCAATTGAAGTTGGGGAATTGCTTCATATGAAGCAGAAAGAAGTTAAAGATTTTGATAAACAATTCGAGACAACCATAAGTCAAGACACAGAGATTACGGAACAACCACCACCAGCAGCAGAAAACCTAACAGATGATTACGCTTCGTTGCGGAAAAGATTACTTGCAGATGGAACCTCGACGTCGCTTGACAAATCTACTACAGGTACTGAAGATATGAATCAGTACCATGAAAACTTTCAAGAGGAGTTGTATTCTGACTTGACAGACTTAGCGTCTGCACTAAAAACCTCTGCGCTTTCTCTCTCTTCGAAAATACTAGATGACTCAAAGTTATTGAACACCACGAATGAGAACATGCTCAAGAGCCTGTCTTTGATGCATACTGTGGGGGCAAATTTGAATGGATATTTGAGTGAAAAATCCAATGGTAAGATAAGTTTGTTCTTCTTAATCAAGACAATGGTATTTATTTTTCTTTTGACAGCAATAATGATCATCTTAATCAAAATCTTACCTAAGATGTGATTGCTACGTATATTAGTTATGGAGAAATAAAACTCAATGGTTAAAAAAATATGGACAGAGAAGATAATTAGGTGAGTACGACATCTATAAGATGTATGTAACATGACAAAAAGCATGTTTAAGAAAAGAAAAAAGCTAACAATTTTGAAGTATGATATCGTATAACATAAGATATTTTCAAAGGTTCTTTGAGAATTAGAATCCTCTCTTTGCATGTCTCCAATATCATCAAGTAAATTTGCTGTTGGAGGCTTAGATTTTTTTTCATTTTTTTTTTTTTTTTCATTCTTTTATTCACTTCACTTCATTGCATTTCATTTCATTTTTTTTTTCATATTCTTCCCTAAGAAAACATTCCCACTCGAATCATGCAATCTCAAGCGCCAAACAATCGTTATCATTCACCTTGCTACTCTTTAATGTTCTCATCAACAAACTCCGAGTCAGAAAACGAGCCTTCATCACTTAATTGTTGAGAATTTCCGTTAGCAAACTGGGAACCATTCGCCGATTGGAGCGCTTGTTGATTTTGGAATTGCCTTGGAAGGTTACCACATCTGTCCTTACCAAAATTGATTTTTAAATTTTTGTAGTCGTTGAAGGACTTAATTCCATCTATAGCCTTTATAGCGTTGGCGATGTTGACAAAATTGATGAATGCACAGTTCTTTTCTTCGAGGTAATTGATTTGCTCAATGTCACCAAAATTAGAGAAGTCGTCTCTTAATTTTTTTGAGTTGTAGTATTGGAAATCATTAATGTTGCCAACGTAGATGTTACGCGAAGCACCGTTAGAGACAGCCAAAGACAAAGCGTTAGACAATGGTCCGGAATGTTTACCCCAACCAACTTTAATCCGCCTATTATGAATAGTCAACCCATGAAGTTGGCACATGGCGAAGAATTGAGCAGCAGCAATGGGATCAATAAAGGTAATGAAGCAAACATGACGCTCTTTTAAGAATCTAATACTTTGCAACAAACCTCCACGAACGACATTGCAAATCTCCTCCACGGAGGAGTCTTGGTGTAAGTTTCCCAAGTAAACTGTTCTGTTTCCTAGATTATTGGCGCCTCCAGCTTGAGTAGCAATTTGGGCAGCAGCAGCTGACTGTTGTACCAATGCACTCGAAATGAATTCACGGTCAGCAGCGGTAACAACATGCTCCATTCCAGGAGCTAAACCCAAATATTGGGCAGCGTTATGCTGCTGTGTTTTGGTAATAAAAGCACATCTGTCCTTACCATAGAAACATTTCTTGTCCAAGTATTTCTCTTTCAAAGGTAAGTTGGAAACACACTTGATGGCACTCAAAATGGACAAGAAGTGAATAAATGCAATGCCCTTTTCAGGGATAATTTTAATGCAATCAATGACTCCGTAACATGACAAGTCCTCTCTCAACTCTTCCTCCGTAATCATATCACCAGAGTTTGGGTTGTTCATATTCCCCAAATACACATTACGGGTGGCGCCATCTCTTTGAATGGCCTCCATGACGGCAGGTAATATGGAGGTGTTCTTGCCCCATCCAATCCGAATGTCGTGGCCCTTAATGTTCAACTTCTTCAAAATACAGTCGGAATGGAAAAGCAACGCAGACTGCAGATCTATGAAGGAAATGAACGCACAGTTCTTCGAAGGTAAAATTTTGACATTTTCTAAAATTCCACTCCGCACATAATCCAACAATTCATTGGGCTCAATATCACTGGGTATATTGCCCAAGTACACTGTTCTAGAGGGAGCTACCAGTGTAGTTGCACTGGGTTGTTGTGCAACTATGGTCTGTTGCGGTGGTGCACGATAGAGCATATCAACGGCTGGGTTATGTTGTACGTGACCAGGTTGGAGATAATCATTAACACCGTAAGACACCAGGTTGAATGGCAGGCTGGCATCTTGGATATTATGCAACCCCATGCCAATAGAATTCTGATAGTTGATCTGACCAAGGTTTTGGTTGATGTTCTGTTGGCTAGTGGGCGATGGCGAAAGATCGCTCTCAAGAAACAGGCTCTCGTCCTTGCTATAGATGTCATTGCTGTTATTGAGAGATAATCCATCTCTTTGCGAGGGATCTTGCGACATACCAAAATCATTTTGATACTGGCGATACAGCTCAAAACCGGCCCTGGTGTCTATGTTATGAGATATTTCGGGAGCCACGAGATGGTTGTTTTCGCCTGAATAGTATTGAAAGTATGGCTGCGATGCATGTTGTTGTTGAATCCCTTGGTATGGGTCGTAGTAAGACATGGTGCAAAGCTTCAAAGTAAGAATGCAATGATCAAAATGACGAGAAGATGCAACGTATTTGAATGAGAGTATTGAATATCACCGAGCAATGAATATTATCTTCAAGGTATATGAGAAGAAAATACCAGATCAGAAACGAAATAGTCAGATGCCCTTCAAAAGTGGTAACGTATCACTTCAAGACACAAGCCACTATAGCGAAATCAGCTCGCAAAAAAATTAGCAAAAGTAATGCAATGAAGACGAAAAGGAAAAAGACGATTTCCACCTATCCCAAATACACCTGTTGATCAGAGCGGAGGGGACGTGAAGAAAAGGCTAGCTACTCACTTAATTTTTTCGTTGGATCTCTGCGCGGTATCCGGTGCATTTTCTCAGTGCCATCACAGGCAAAATTGAACTCCACACATCGAAGATATGCGAACACCAAAGTCGAGCCTCCTTACAGGTGAGCACATCCTTTGAACAATGCGGTATTTTTATCGGTTACATTTCTAGTCTGAACCATAGTCCGTATCTTCGCCTTCTTCTTCTTTTTGGCTTTCAGAACCGTAATCAGTATCGTTGTCATCAAGAAGTGGATTCTCCTCATCGCTACTTTCGACGTCCTTTATATGGGGCGACGATGCGCTTTCACCGTTGGGCTCTGTCTCACTTATGCCCGAAGATGCCTGCATCAGGCTGTCTTGTTCCAGATTCTTTTGGTCGTCATCGTCATCGTCATCTGACAAAGCATTTATTTGATCATCTTCGTCGGACGCATTTTTGCATTCGTCTTTGTTCTGTATAGGCGAATCTGGCTCGCTTTTGGGTAGGCTTTTCGCTTGGGGGCTTTTTCTCACTCTCCTCCTTTTTGGTGCAGATTGCGTATAGGCCGCGACATAGTTTTTGTACGAGTCTCCAGAAAGGATATCCTCTACTTTGATGTGATGTAGGTTCAAGGCATTTCTCTCCTCGTAAACCAAATTTAAACTTTCTAGCGCCTCCTTGCAGTTTCCGTTGCCCTCGAGTTCAAAGATGCGTCTTTTTTTGCTATTCAACACCTGAAAGAACCGGTCTTCCAAGTCGCGAATGATCAGCTTATAGTCGGAAGTCATTTCTTCAATCTCGTGTTCTTTCACACTTAGTGTGCGCTCATACTCCTGTAATTTGTTTTGAGTCTCTTGAAGTTTCTCCAGAAGCTGCTTTGTTTTGCGTGCTTGAAATCCAACCCAAGTTAGCATATCATACTCTGCTCTATCTTCAGGACTAATTTCCTCAACGTTCACAAACTTTAGCAGAAACAGACCGTATGTGATGGGAAGAACGCCCTCTGTACGAATACTGAGTTCGAATTCGGGTGCCTCTTCCGCCAATTCGTCCCCCAACAAGCTTCCCGTGTGGGGGTCGTATTCCTCCAGGGATATGAGTTTTCCCCATAGTATTGCTCTGTGACTTACAAAGGAAAGGGCTGCATTACCAAGTAGACTAGATGTCAAGCCAAGCCATTCTGATTCTTGTAGGTCGGTTTTATCTTTGCCGTTCCGAATACTTGTCTCCGTCAATTCCTTCTCAAAGACACCTTCCTGGCATGCGGCTATCAAACGCACTGTATTTCCAATGGGAGTAATTCGTAATTGTGCCTCCGTCTGCTTCACTTCCTTGTTTTCATTTCGCAGAATTACAACCAAGGGGATAGATACGATTCTGCTTGAATCCATTGTGTAGTTTATAAGAAACCTATCATTTAAGACTAAAGACTAAACTAGGGTTAAATGATGCGGCTCATCATAATGTCATGCATATTGTTACTAACAGTTAGCGAAGTATGAACCGAAAGAAGCAAATCGGTAGTTGGAATTTATTCTGGTGTTTAATAGAATGGACACCATCCACAGTATATCAATGCTAAATTATCTTCGCTGGTAGCCTCTCTAATTAATTCGCGAACGGTTGCTTCTGTACTGAGCCCTTCATGGTGGATCTTTTCTTTAACAGTAAGAATTGCTGTGCTCGCTTCTGAACCATCTTCGTGTGCATTCACGCCTTCAACGCCCGGATCCTCTTCCTGAAGTTTTTTCATCCGAATGGGAGAGATGGACCAGGAATACAAAGGATCCCATCTTAAAACATCCAAAATTGCAAGAATGTGTTCTTTGTAATCACGTAGAACCCGAAGGGTGTGCTTGCATGATTCACTAAAAGTGCCTCTGGTCCCAGTAAAACCGAAACCAGCGACAATATCTCTCGTTAAACGGAAAGGAACGGTTTCTGGAATAGGAAGTCTTTTCCCCTGATCAAAAGCAACTCCCAAGTCAATATGAACGGGCTCCCCAGTGTATTGATCCAAGAGAATATTATTACAATGCCGATCACCCAAACCTAGCACATATCCTACCATTGAAGATGAAGCAATTCCTCTTGTGTAAACTTGTTGTGCATCAAACCAATCATCGGGTGTCACGAAGTGATCAACAAAGTATTGCCGTAACACAGGCTTGATTCTTTGACTGATCCGATTATAAACCAGAATTCGATGTGGAGCCAGCTCTGTTTGACAATCCTTCATCATTTGTCTGGCTTTCTCACCCTTGAGTGAGTCAGATTTTAGGTGGTAAGGTCGAATGACCTCAATAAATGCTTTGCTATTAGGCACAAATTGAATGACCCCAGCCCTATGTCCCAAAGGGACAGCTTTGTACGTACGTACTTGTAAATGTCTCTTTCTAGTTTCCTTATCTCTGCGTAGAAAGTTGTTCACTTTTTCAAAAACTTGCTCCATAGTAGCATCTTGTCGCAAATCATCTGTTCCGAACTTCAACAACATTTTATGTTGATCGCCATTGGAAAGCGTGAAAGTAGCTATTTTTGGAAGACTGATCCCAGATGTAGCAATGCTCACTGTATGCCCAATGTTCATCATGTATGGTATATTGGAATATCCAGTTTTGCTTACAGCAAGACTGAAGGTTGGTGGTGGTATTGATGGAAGGTGCTTAAGCCAGTACTCTCCGATTTGCAACTTATCAAGATGCAAGGATCTTCCTTTAGAAGTTTTAAGCTCTGCTAACGAGATACATTCTTTGCAAAGTTGTTCAATTGGCAAAAGAATCTCTGTGGTATATTTCAAATCCAAAGTGGCTAATTTTTCTCTCAATTTCTTTGCCGCTTCAATCCTCGGTAACATCGACTTCAAATTTGAGGTTTTAGAATATTCTTCGTGATAGATAAGAGACACAAGGTAGTATAACGAATGGAAGGGGTGTTCTTGAAAAACTCTCAATATTAAATCCTGAACTGAAAATTGAAATGTGGTTTTCTCGTTTGATATTCTGGAGAGTAACTGTGTACACCAAATCAAAGGCTTGTAACTGGGAAGAAAACGTAGATCATTTTTGATGCATTGTTGAAGGGTTTCCTCGTTGCTGAGTTCCAAAAATAAAGAGAAAAATTTATCCATATCGTCATTATCTGCATCGTCATTCAAAAGTAGTGCCTTTAAGAAGAATGTAACAGCATTTTTAGCGAATTGTCTCTTTGTTTCTCTAAGAGACTCAAGTTTGGACGTATCAGAGGTAACCTGGCTCTTCAATCGAGAATAATACTTTTGGACCATTTTTTTCTCTGTTGCGGAAACCGATGTTTGCCCGTAATGAGTTTTGATTTCGTCAATCTCTCTCTTCTTTCTATCAACACGTTTTGAGTATTCCTTTATTTGGTCTTCAATGGTATGAGACTTATATTGCAGATCACAGAAATGAGCAAGAGAGTGATAAATCAAGGAACGCAGAGATACATTCTCCACCATCTCTATATCCTCTCGCATTGGATCGACTAATCTCTCCAATAATCTAGTGCCGAGCTCTTGTCTCGATTCAGCTAGCCATTTTACGAGTGTCGCTTTCATGAGATTCTTATCCACACACGTTCGATGAAGGAACGTAAATATAAGACCTGTTTCTTTCAAATCATTCATCATTGCAAGGGAAATGCCCGTTTTACCCTGGGTCCACAAAGAGTGGGCTGCTTGGAAATTTGAGAGTCTTTGCAATTGGGTTCCAATATTGTCGTCAGAAAAATCTGATGCATGAATGAATTCGTTCATGAAAATCGATGCGCTCACCATCTTTTGAAGTTGGAGGTTCTCCTGATATAAATTGGCTCGGCGGAAAGTTTCACCAACAGCTGCTTGCCAACATAGATCATGGTTTGCACTTGTACCTGAAGTTATTGACGAAATCGACCCTTCCCGTACTGGTAAAGCATGCGAACCATAAATCACAAAAGCAAGTTGTCTAGCTTGTAGTATATTTTCTGAGAAGTTAATACTAGCGGATTGAAACCAGCTAGTTAATTTCTCAAAGCTTTCTATCTCTTCACTAAACTGACAAATAGGAGAGCTTAGTATTCTATTGGATACATGAATACATGCCATTGTTTCAAACCACAGATGCGCCGATTCTCTCTTTCTTTTATAATTAGTTTTCCCTTCTGAAAATTCAGTACTGCAGTTCATCATGTTCAATATCAGATTCTCAAATATTCTTTGTGACGCTGACACATCTTCCTTGATCAGCTTGAAATAAGAAAAAACGGCTTCATGCGGGTTAGTTGGACAACTGGATGTTACAACGTCCCATTGATTTAGTTTCCAAGCCCATTCGAATGAGTCCTCTTTGTCCTTAAGAGACCTATCCACCAAGCTGGATGTTCCCAAATGACCATCATCCAACATCGATCTGATGACATTCCTCGAATGGGAATTTCCTGTCAATGCAATCGATGCATCAAGCAATCCACTTGCATATCTCATCTTCTCGGAGGAACTGCCCAAGTCATCGATGAGATTAATTGCGTAATCAAACGAAACGTCTTCTGGAAGACCTGATAACATATCCTCCTCGCCTAACAGTTTATAGATTGTTGCTATGGTGTCCCTGTGATCTGACCAATTGACATTTTCAATCTTACCATCAATCGAGTCTTCAAATAACATCAATGATGTTTTCGCCAAATTACCCTCCTTGACGACCTTAAATACACTGTCAACGTTGAGTTTCTTGTATAGGTTACGAAAACTTTCAACTTGAAGCACCAGACCCATCCTGATTGAAAGGATTATGTTTTTGATCAAATCAATGCTTTTGTCATCAGGAGAGCGCTGGAAATTACTCCAATATACTTGAAAGAAATCATAGACCTTAGCCGCACCTGACTCTCCGGTCAAGAATATATAAAAGCATATGAAACTTGGTAAGATCTCCACTGATAAGGATGGAATTTGAAGAACTGAGCTTGCCAATAACGATGCAATACTTGTTTGCTTAGCTATCTCTTGAATAAGAGAAAGTAGGAACTGAGAGACCCAAACTTCATAGGAATCATTCACAAGAATGTCCTTAAATTTTGCCAAAAAATCATTCAAATCTTCACTCTTGATTTGCATATCATACTCTGAATTTAAGAGCACGCACGAATGGAAATCGATGGGTATCAAATATTCTTTCAAGATAGGATAGTACTCTTCGAAAGGCAAAAATTTTGTCACATCCACAGGGCGCCTTTCGTATTTCCATAATAATGCTCCTAGTATAGTTTCGATGAACGCAGCATTAATAAAATCACATTTTTCTCCATATGACAAGAGCAGCTTCATGAAAGGATCCAAGCTACCATATTTGTTCACAAACTCCTCTTTGTTCACGCCTTCGTATTCTTGATCCAAGATGAACTCATCTAAATTTTCATGGGCATATCCTGAAAGATAAAAATAGGATAAAGTACTCGACATCCACATTTTAAGCTCGTCACTAGAACTCTCGCTGTGTCTCATCTTGATGAAAATTTTGATCAATCGCACATTAGTAGTGGTAATCTGCCTAGAGGCGATGTGAGGATATAACCGAGATATTAACATGAAAACAGTCAGTAGATTCTTGTCTATCGCTCCCTCAAAATCTGGGTCTACCAAAAAATCTTCAACTGATTTCATATCCAAATGAATTGATGAGCCCATCACTAGATCTATCATTGCACGCATTAGTGGAAGTGCTGATGTCAATTTTGATCCTTGAAAATGCAATATTTCATCTAGTGAGGTGAAGAACAGGACGTTGTTCATACCATCTCTGACCAAGGAGGCCGTATTTAGTAACCCAAATAAAAGAGGAATAGACTTTTCAGGCGATGCTAGATTTAAGAAGCTTGTGTCAATAGAGTTTAAAATAGGTAAAACCTCGTCTCTTAGGCTGGTAATAAGTAAAGGGCAACAAATATCGATCAAAAGCTTCACAAGTTCAAATTGGTTAATCTTGATTTGGCTCATCAGAAGAACGTATTTGATCCGCCTCAAGCATGTAAGGGTATCATTTTCCACGGAGTCACTAATATCCTTCCCGATATGGCGCACTAAGAAGTAAACTGTCTTCAAGTTCCAGAATTCAGACTTCTCTGAACTCCAGTACTTTCTAACCAATGCACCAATTAACTCCACGCTTGATAATGTTGATACCACCGCTTGCGCCGATGTATCCAAAATTACCTCAGACTGAAAAAGAGGGTCTGACTGTTTCTTAAGAGCAGTTTTGAATGCTTGTTCGCTCTTGGTATCCGTCAATTTTATCGTTTGCAATATTTGCAAAAGTAATTTTTCTCTCATATACGCTTTGTAAGCCTCATTGAATAGGTGAGCAATAATTTTGAATATATTGTTCCGAACGCCTTCAGTCGTGTATGCTAATGGAACAATTAGAGGGAGAGAATCACTTAGCATACTTTGGCGATCGGATGAGCGAATCTTGGACAAGTGGTCAATAATCTTGATGTATTCTTCTTCAGATTTTGGATGTTTTATGGAAAGCAGAATTGCAATTATTTCTTTATAGTTCTCCACAAGAAATGATCTGGTGTCTATATAACCAAACAAATGATGTGGGAATTTCAAGATGTTGAGCTGATGACCCCACCAACATTTTAATAACTCGAATCTTAGAGACCTAAAAAGAGACTTGACTCCGTGTTTTTTGGAGAGTTCGCTTATTAGTTTGATGCTTTGTCTCAAGTAAGGTTCAAAAAATTCAAACTTAGTGCATTCAATCAAATTGAATAGGACAGATATGCGTAATTGAAAGTTTCCCTTCGATATCAAACAGAAAAAAAGACAACATGTTGCAAACCTTTCAACTGATTCTTGATACACCTTAAATCTAGAAAAAAGTTCTTTGTAAAATATCATTTGCTCTGAAAGGTCAAGGAAGTTAAGGAATTTCTGCACTGATTGTGCAATTTCAATCGTCATTGCGTTGGAAAACCTTTCAAGAGAATCTAGGAAAAGGGTCTGTATATCTGACCTGTTGGCAAATTCAAAATCAGTTTCGATGAGTAAACTGAATATCATTTTCCAAACGCAAACTTGCAGTTTTCCCGTAACTAACAATGATTTCTGACAGCACAGAATAAAGTAGCTTAATAAGTCAATACAATCCTTCAACAAGCTTTCCTCTTTATTTGCTACCGCAGTGGGTATCGTCAACATTAGAAGATCACAAGACACTTCAATCACAGTATCACACCTGTCGAGCTCTTGGTCTGATAAAGGTCCTTCGCCTAGTGCTCGCACAAGTCGTATCAACCAATTAGCATTGAAATTGTTAGTAGAGTTTTGTGAGGAGGATTGTAACAAGATTCTTAGACAGCTCAAACGTTCTTTCGAGGGGATTGTCTCAATACACCTAAGTACGTTTTCATCATCTATTTTCTTAAGAGAGGCGTAGAACTTAAAGTAGGAAATAGCCTCCTCATAACTCAGCCGATCATACACGTCAGTAGGCGACGCTGTCCTACTCTTTCCTTTTTGTTGAGTCGAAAACTCTGAGTCGAAATCTGAATCATTTTTATGATTGTCCTCATGCGGTTGATCTTTTCTTCCAAAAAATCTCTGAAAGTAGCTGTCAAAGGTATTGAATGGGAAAAATGTATCTGTTAGTTGCTTTCTTGTCACTTTAGATTCTAAGACACATGAAAGAGCAAGTGACGCATCATGGCGCAGATGAATAGATGTGCTCAACGTGTTCCATAGCTGATGTGCACTATTGCGGAAAAGGCTCGAGCTTTCTAGACAATTGCACGCTAAGATGTCCGCTATAATCAGTATTGAGCTCGCCCAAGATGATAGTACATCTGATGTTTCTCCCGAATGACATACCAATTCCGAAACATCCAAAATTCGGGCAACAATAGTGTCAAAAACAAACTCATTTTGGGTTAGCATAGGGAATGATATCTCCGTAAAAGCTTTCTCGTTATTTCGTACTGACTCGTCAAGAACAATAAATGATTGTAATTCGCTATGATCATTGGCAGATCTGAGAAGGATCTCTAAGTCCTGTAAAGACAGGTTCAAGGGGATGGTTGATTTAGATAAATCTAGGAGTACGTTCTTCCCACTCATCCATAGAAGGAAAGTTGATACATCTTCTGGTGATGGGGAACGTCCACCAGTAAATCTTTTCAAACCAGAAGAAGAATCAACGTACTTTTCGTTCCACTTCGTGATAAACCAGCGACCAAGGCTCTGCGTGAAGTTTGACATTCGGGACACTTCTGCATCAGCATACACTTTGGTAATAGCCCAAAAAAAACCCAATGCAGTTTTGTGCAACGAGAAGGGCCCACTCAATTCTAATAAATCTATTAGATTTTCGAGCTGGCTAATAATTGTCTTATCTAAGAGCTTCGATACATCGTTCTCTGACTGGTTTCGGACAATATGAAAGAAAATGTCTGCTGCTAAAGTACCAATCTCCACATCGTTTATAAATGGTATCAAAAGTTTCAATATTTGATGTAATCTTTTCGTAAGGGTAGGATTGCAGCTCGCTACATTTATTTCAGTATTGAAAAGAATGGATCGGCATGCTAAAAAAGCCCAAAATGTTAGAGATTTTACATTGAGGACTTTGAGAATATTCGTGATGGCCACGATTGTCTCCTGGGACTCATCACCATATCCAAGGTTTATGTCTAGAATTGTTGATTCGTTGAAGTCCAAAGTCTTCGAGCTTTCATGTTCTTCTTTTGCCATAGGCAGTGCATTCTCGGTAAGATGAAATAGCTCAGCATGGAACGCTAAAAGTTGAAGACCACAAATCTGCTCTTTTGGATCATTTGAGCTTGTGATCAATGAATTGAAAAACAGCGAAGCATTAGAGCATGTCCACAAATGAGTTTTCTGATCTTGGAGTTTCTGCCTCTTATACATTGAGCCACCCAGGACTGACATATGCATGCTCATTTCATGAAAGTTTGCTAGCGGAATGTTTGGAGAGAGTTTTTCTCTCATGTCATAATATTTTACAATGAGTTTGGACAAGCCTCTCAAAAGTAGCCAAGGGATCGCCCTATCTGTCTTGAGGTACATACCATGCAAGCAGAATTCAATATTGGTACTGGCAAAGGTGAATCCTATGTCATTTGGATTGAGTCTAACAGACACTGACTGAACTTGAATCATTAAACTCTGAATCAACGAACCAATGTTGTACAATTGCACACTGCTCTCTGGGATACTTTCGTGCTCATCGTCGCTACTGGTTATAATGCCATCAGAGCCAATAAGCTTCGGAAGGCTTGAAATTTCAACGTACCTGTAGACTGTTTCCAAGTTGAGAAAAATTGCAATTTGTTTCTGAATGGACTCAAGTGGAGATGACACAAACATGTTGAAACTTCGAAGTGCAATATTGATGAGTTCGTGCAAGAACATATAGTCTTCAGTTGAAAGCACAATTAAGAGTTTATTGATGACCTTGAAAGCGACAACGACGGTCATTGATTCCCTATTTTTGAACAATCTCAAAGTTAGTTTCAAAATTCGAAGAAGAGGAAAATAGATATCGTATTTCAAAAGCGGTAAAAGAACCACGGGAGATTCACCACCGATTAGTAAATACAAGGACTGGTACAACTCTTGGAGAAGGGTTTCATTCAATGTGTGAATGTCATCTTTATGATCCAAAATATCCTCTAATGCACGCTTATGAAACTTGTATAGTTTTGTCCAAGTTTCTTCCGTGAGATGAGTTAAGAAGAACTGATGACTTAAAGAGGACTTAAGTATTTTAGCAAACAGAGTGGCACAGGGACCTAATATCACGGAATCAGCTGTGAAGAAGCAGCTAGATATAGTTGTGACGATTGCGAGCAAGTGTTTGAAGCGGGGTTGCCTTCCAGAGGGCTTCTTCAACGCTTCATCCACGAGCTCCCAAAGGAAGTTCGATGCAGTAGATAGTCGAGATACGACAGGATTGGTGGAATTATGGGCATATATGTCTCTTTCTCTTTGAATAAGCTTGAGAAGAGCAGTAGCAAGAGTATTGAACTGACGGGTCTCGAGTCTCAATTTGGAAGCAGGTAATCCCTCTAGAAGACCCAATGCATCATTTCGGCTTTTGATTTTCGTCGACTGGAGAGCATCTACGATCCGTGTTAGGTCGAATGTAGACATGATGGGAGGAAGAAACCATGAGAGTGAGATGAATGCGAATGCGCGTCTCGCTACTAGTGATAATGATCTTCGCAAAAAAGAACGGTTGCAATTTCGTTTCAAAACTTACACTTTGACTAAGATGATGTATTTTTAGGGAAAGTTTTGTGTACATATTTGTGCTATATATTTAATAATGAGTAATGAGGAAGTGCAGGTGTATTCTTGAACGTACGATCTATGTTCGACGATGTGGTATCTTGTCTTCTATGGCGGTGACAGATACCATTTCGAGAGAAAGCTTCAATGTGTTCAAACAATCTCTTCTTTGTTTTGAAATATATCAGTTCAAATACTCATCTTCATTGTCATTACCCATTTAGGTAAGTCGGTGAGACTAAAGTTAAGAACTACATCTTTCCTATGGCGTGCTCGTGACACACGGAAAGAAAAAATAAACTGACTTTCATTGAACACATGGAGTTGATGGCTGAAGAAGATAACGGCTTTTCGGAAATAACCCACTGTCCACAATGCCGTGCATTCGAGAGGTGGAAAGGAGTTTTTACTTTCAATTTGGAAGCTGGAATGATTTCTCCCAATCTTTGGTTCTTCAATGTCGCTATCATAGTATACTTCTACGTGGCGAATGTTCCATTCAATTGTATACATCATGATCTTGGACATAGTTTGATGCAGCTCATGCGAATTGCTGGTTATTCGATGTGTGGGATTTTGTGCTACCTAGCCGTGGGACTCAGTTATTACATGATCATTGAAGGGAGTTTTGGAATCACAGGTAGTTAACTATGATGTGATTTGCTGCCCGGCTATGTCTTACCCGTCTTTCCATCCATTGAAGGCGGTGCATTCATTCTGGCCTAGTTGACTGCGACGCGAGTCATCCGAGTCAGACAGAGTCAAGATTGTATGTAAGCCTAAGTATTTAAACCCACGTCTTCCACCATAGAAAAAGAAAACGTCACTATAGCACAATGTCGTCGATGCTCCGCAGATTTTACTCCTCCGGTACCTTAACCAGAACTCCATTGTATGAGAGTCACGTCAAGTACGGCGCCAAGTTTGTTCCTTACGCTGGCTTCGAGATGCCCATCATGTATAAGGATCAGTCTCACATTGAGTCTCATAATTGGGTGCGCTCAAAGGTTGGTTTGTTTGACGTTAGTCATATGTTACAGCATCGCTTTCATGGAGCTGATGCTGTGAAATTTTTGCAGAAAATCACTCCTATTGATTTATCCCAGTTGCAACCATTCACATCCAGCTTGTCTGTCTTACTTAATAATGAAGGTGGGATTATCGATGACACGATCATTACCAAGCACGGAGAAGATAAATTTTACATGGTTACCAATGCTGGTTGTCGGGAGAAAGATCTTGCTTTCATCAGAGACGAATTAAAGAACTTTGACCAAGTCCACCATCAGACGTTTGAGGGTACCTTATTGGCCGTCCAAGGTCCTGCTGCAGGCAGCTTGATGCAGAAGCTCACCAATGAGGACCTCAGCAAAATTACATTTGGACAAACACAATTTTTGAAGTTGAACAGTCTCATTGACTCAGATATTCATCTCTCACGGACAGGTTACACAGGAGAGGACGGGTTTGAATTGTCTATTCCTTCCACTAACGACAAGGAAGCAAAGCAGGCGAGACAGTTTTTCGAAGCATTGATTGACGAAAACCCAGAACTTGTGCGTCCCATCGGTTTGGCCGCTAGAGACTCCTTGAGATTGGAAGCAGGAATGTGTCTTTACGGAAACGAGTTATCTGAGGAAATAACTCCAGTAGAGGCATCATTGTCTTGGTTGATCCCTAAAACTAGAAGAACAGCAGATGCTGGCTTCAATGGCAGTTCCAAGATCTTGAAACAATTGACTGAAAAGGGTTTGGTCACTAGACGTCGTATCGGCGTTATTTCCAAGGGACCAGCCCCCAGAACAGGGGCTAAGATTGTTGATAATGAAGGTAAGCAAGTTTGGGTATATCACTTCTGGCTCTCTCTCTCCTACGTTGGGCCTGAATGTTGCGCAGAGCTACATAGACAAGTCTGTCAAGATTGGATCTGAAGTGCAGATTGACATTCGTGGCAAGTTGAGACCAGGAAAAGTGACCAAACTTCCTTTTGTCCCTAACAATTTCTACAGAGGATAAATCCTCCAATCTTATCTTCAGTACTTCACCTCCGAATTCGCGTAGATGTACATTCAAATATACGCACCCTGCCATGTACGTTGCACGTCGCGTCGCGATATTCTCCTTTGGATCGTAGATAAAACAGAATATCATTAAACAAAGCCGCATGTGGAGTACTTCAAACCACAAGTTGCCTATGTATATCTGGCGTCTGTTTATTTTTTATACTCGGAGTAAATTATTTTTGTCAATTGGTGTTCATCAAATTCATTTTTGCCTTTCGAGCGTGTCTCAGGACTCAAAGAAATCGTGTTTGGCGCGCGTCAATGGAGCGCGAACTTCATGTACATGACCCTTCTTCACGGTTAAAAACGTATATAAGTCCCGAACTTCAGTGAGCGAAGAAAAAAAGCACAAGGATACCGTTTGAGACTGTTTCTCCTCTCTGTTGTATATATCTTTCGATGTCTTCTCCCGTCAAGCCTTTGTCTCCTCAGAGACTGTCCGTGTCTAACTCCCGGTCCCATTCTCCACAGAAATTGACCCCTTCCCCCACAAAAGCAACTAATCCATTTCAAGCTACCCCAACTAGAATCCCTAGACTTGGTTTCAGTATGGACCGTCCTGGTCGTAACAACAGTCCATCTGCCTCGCTGAAGCCTGCTTTTTCCATTTATGAAGACACACCAGAGGAGCATTTTAAGTACCATAACGCATCTCCACTAAAAGATGAAAAATGCCATGATGACAAGGAAAATGTCTTACAGCCCAAGGTAATGGCGCTAAAACAGACTAATTATAGTTTTAGACGTCCTTTGAGCAATTTGAGCATCAGCCAATTCCCTGGTTACATGTCTGCTCGTGGGCAATTACAGCTAGGCCCAGTGCAACTCAAGGAAATGTACCAACCCAAACATTACACCAACGAGTCCAGAAGTGTCCACAAGTTCAATCGGTTGCCCAGCTACATCACCCCTCCAAGGAATAGTTTGCGGAAGATCTTATATCGCTCTACTGAAGTAGAGGACGATGACGTTGAGCTTCGCTTGATAGCAAAACAAAATGATTACATAAGACGCAAGCGGTCCATGTCTGTTGGAATCAATAAGGGTAAGGCACATCTTGTTGCCAAAAACAAATTCAAGATCATGGCGAACTAGAATATGCATTTCACACTTCATTTCATTTCAAACTCTCATTCATTTTTCATTTCACTTCAATAGCTTCAAGTTTTTGATACCCTTTACGAACATCTTCAATAGTAATATCGATCTCGAATAGACTATGACATCTAACTAGAACTAAATGAAATGGTTCCCGTAGACAACCATATATTGTATGCAGTATTGAGTGAAAAAAATGTCCGCTCGAACAAGTTCCACAATTCCGTTTAACATAATACCGAAGGAATAATATGTCGAACTCGGTTATCGAAGCCTTCAAAGGTATCAATGTAGCGTCTGCTCATGATTTGACTGAGCATGAGGCTATCTTTGAAGTTTCCTATCAGTACTTGTCGAAGATTAAGGACTTTCGTGATTTGAAGTCTTTTCACTATTGTCTTGTCTCCTTGATCAATAGTGATAAATACTACAGAGCTTTACAATTAATCAAGGAAGTGCCCAATGAAATCCATCAAGAATATCCATTGGAAAAGGCATATGTCTATTACAAGACAGGAAAAGTTGACTTATTGAAAGACGTTTACAAATCAACAATAAACCTGAACGACATCAGTGACGCTTTATCTAGAGGATTGAAACACGTCGTTGCTCAAAGCTACTACCAGACTGGAAAGTACGATGCAGCTTTGCAACTATACTCTGAATTAATCTCTACCAATACCGTTGACGGTACTGTGGATTTGGCTTGTAATGAGAGAGCTATTTTGTCGCAGATAGCCATGAAGTCAGGATCATGCCCTGTACCTCAGCTGACCGTTTCTGATTCTACAGAGACGTACGATATTATCTTCAACAATGCTTTGATCAAGTTGGCAAGTGGGAATTATGATGAGAGCTTACAGTTGTTGAAGTCTGCATTGTCGCAGTGTGAAGAACAGAACCTTGACTCTGAGCCAACTGAGTTGATGATGGAGGTTTCCCCAATCAAATTGACTGTTGCATACATTTACCAATTGAGTGGTAGAATTGATGAAGCGGTAGAAGTGTTAAGCACGCTCGATTTGACCTTCATTACTGACCTAATGGTCCAGTTGATTATCAAAAATAATTACAAGTCCCTCCATCCCTCTGAAGAAAATGTCAACTTTGTTGCCAGAGAGTTGGATTACCAATTTCACTTTCATCATTTGAGACAAAAACTTACACCCATTCAACGTCACACGTTGTTAAAGAACCACTTATTGTTGTCTTACCAAAGCAAGTCCCTCTCAAAAAGCTCAAAGTACTTAACAAATCGCTTCTACAAAGAGTATTCGGACAGCTTTAACGGTGATGTTACACCATTAATCTATAAAGTCCTTATCACGTTGGATATCACATTGGAAGATCTTGAATCTCCATCGCAAAACACCGCAGTCGCAAAGAAAATCTTCAAGTTTGCTCGTGGAAAGCTAGAAAGCAACGACATTTCTGATATTCTTGTTGCTGCGGCCATTCTTTTGGTATCTGTGAACACTGTTTCGGGTAATTACGATCAATCTTTGTTGATTTTGGAAAAATTGGTTGAAGTTGAACTTTCCTCGAGCCCTGAGACACTTCATGCTAGCATTTTTGGGCTCATATTTACCTTGTATGAACAAAGGAATTACTCAAAAAAATTGAACAGCTTGCAATATGCTCTTTTGCAAAAATTCGAAAGCTTGGGGAGTGAAGTACTTCAGAGAAATCCTCATTTGTATTACTTTGTTCGTGCGTTCGCTTTCAAGTACTTGAATGCTGGTCTGGAGGAGAAGTCTTTACATTTGTTCGGTATCTTGCATTCTACCCGAAAGGATGATCTGATTGTTTCCAGTGTCGTTAACAAAGATAACGGCTCGTTGGCTCCAATGGAGTCGCTCGCATCAAATGAAAGTATCGAAGAATTGCTTTCAGTTAACGTTGAGACTTTAGTTTCAGCAGAGAACCCCGTTAATCGGGCCGTTCCAGCAAAGAAGCCAGTACACAAAGTCACGAAAAAGAAGCAAAAGCCAAAGTTCTCGAAGCACAAGTTTTTCAAACCTGACCATGAGTTTGATCCTGCAAAGGACTTGGATCTGGAGCGGTGGCTCCCGTTGAAACTCAGATCAAATTACAGACCTTCGAAGAAAGATTTGAAGAAGAAATCAGGAGGCCACCAAGGCGCTATAGAGTCATCACCTGCTCCTCAAACTGCTGCTCACTCGTCCTCAACTTCTACTAAATCGAAGAGCAAAGGAAAGAAAAAAAAGGGTAAGAAGTAGTCTTCTTTGTTTAACATATGTATAATAGAATAAACTCTAGCGTAATGTTGAAGGCCAGAATAGCTTCATTTGGCAAGGTTGTGGGGTATAATGAGCTGAGGAGTTGTTACTCCGAAAATACTGAACGATACCGGATCGGCTCTGTTTTCGGCGCACTACGCGCGCTACATGCTTCCTTTCCTGCCTTGGCGGTTTAGATAAGACAAATGACAGGCGCCTGGAACATATGCGCTCCTGCATTTTGAGGATTTTTCGCACCCGCATACTTCTTTAGGGTCAAATTCCTAACCGTAGCCCAACTCAGAAGGTATATCAAGTGCAGTGATCCCCGTAAACCTAGTTACTTCATCACGAAACTATTTTTTTTTCCCTCCCTTTTTGAATATTTCAATAGATCTACCTATCTTTGACATATTTAAAAAGACAAGTTATGATTGTGCTTTTGAGCTATCAATTTGAATACTAAAACAATTCTGTTGCCGAAACTTGTTTCAAATTCCACCGTTTTTCTCAATTGTGATTTATCGATTGAAGTCCTCAAAAATGTCTACCGCTCCCTCAAAGCAAACAAAGGCCGACACTTCCAGGGTCAAGATCTTAACTGAGAAAGATGTGCCTAAAGCTTCTCGCACTTTGGTCAAGTCGTTCGAGGAAGATTCCTTGGCAAAGTTGTTGACAGACCATATTGATGATCTTGAACTCAAGAATCAGGTTGAACACACTTTGTACGAATGTTATCTCAAGCAGCACTTGGAAAAGGGTATTTGCCTTGGAATCGGCGAAGGCACTGAGGAGTATGAAACTGTGGCTATCTGGTCAACTCCGACTTCGATTGAAGATGGGTTAGATAGTTTTGATAATCTCATGTATGCTGGATATGGCAAACTTTGGGAACAAGTTGGTGAGGAAGGCCGTGAAAAGATTTTCAGAGGAATGTTACCTCTTTTGCATGACACTGCTGAAAGGATCTTGTCCACTGATTCAAGATTCAAAGGTAAAGGTGTTTATACCTTGGTTTATTTGGGTTCTGTTGCTAGCGCTCGTGGTAAGGGAAATGTGAGAGCTATGTTTGATTATATGTTCCACAATTACATCGACAAACCAGGTACTAATAACATTGCATATTTGGAAAGCTCATCTTCTGATAACATTCCAATCTACAACAGATTTGGCTTCGTCTTCTACGAAGACATTATGTTGGGATCGAACGAAGATGCAGACGCCAAAGAAGGTGAGGACTATGCTATCATGAATGTGATGATTCGTGGTTCTTTTGGAAAGGACTGGTCCAAGGATCTGAACTCTGAAGCTAAATTGTGAGCTTTCTGTTTTATTTCTCTTTTTCTGATTTTTAAATCTCTTCGAGTTGATTTGAACTTGATTTATGCATTCATGATTTGTTTTATTGTTAAATCTTTCTCAAATTGGGATGGCTATGTACAACAGTAGAATTATTTACTCATCTAATGAAAGAGTACTTCTTTGCGAAGGTAAAGTCTTAGAGGCAAACTCCTTTTTCGCCTCTTCTCTCAATTTCTCCTCTTGAGCTTTTGTTAATGGTTTCACCACCTCGTCAGGGGCAACGAACTTAAAGTTTCCAAATCCAAATTCCCTGTCGCTTATCTTGTTCAAGACATACAACTGTTGCCGGACGTATCCAAGCAAAGCTTCAATGTGTCTCATATCAGCATTTGGGTTACCATTGAAAATGTTCCTCCAGAGAGCTGCAGCCAAAGTAATATCATCAGTCATTAAACCTTCATCATATGAAAGAACACAGCCCAATAGCTGTGTGTGGTAATCCTTCAAATAACCCTCGATAATTCTATTGGAGCTGATACCCAATTCTCCTGCCATTCTTAACTCCATGTCTCTGAATATTCTATCAACCAACTTCTGCTGATAGTTTCTGCCATACTTGAATGGCATGGCTCTCATTCTTACAGACAAAATCCAGTAATGTAAGGCAGTTATTTGAAACCACTGAGAAAAACTTTGAGGTAGACCTAATGTCTCATAGTAGAACTTCGCAGTGTCTGAAAGAGGCTCATTGGGGTAATACATACCTTGTCTCTTACACTCACCAAAGTAATAAGATCCAGCCACCGGTCCAGCTCTTGACTTATCCATGTCGATATTAAACAATCTCACAATCGTTTGTCCAATAGATTGTGCGAAAGATGACATCTTGTATGTTGGATCATTTTCGATTTTATGATCCGACAAGAACGGGTTTTTCGTCTTGGCTTGACGTGGTTTTGTTTTCAAGTCGTGTTCAATCTTAGGCAAATGAGATTCCTTAGCCAAAGAATGTGGAGAGGTCATTTCCTCCTTATTGAGAGCAAACGGCTGTTTTTGAAACGAAACATTAGTCGATGATACAAAGCACCTTCTGCCAATCAGGCTAGCAGTCGTTCTCAGTTGTCTAAGCATATTTCTGAAAGACGAAGGAAGAGCACTTTCAAAGGTAGTTACTCGCGAAGGAATTTTTTCGTCCTACAAGGCAAAGCTGCAGGTAACTCTCATACTTTAGAGACAAGAATAAGATCACTACAGAAATATTCCGTCCCTAAGTACAACTTCGAAGTCCTTGGTGAGAGGCATAAAGTTAAGATTCATTTATGGATAGAATTTCTACGTTGTCTATTTTTTTTCTACATTTTCGTATTTTTCATTAAGCTACGAACCGCATAATTTTGTTAAAAAATGCAGAATGAACACAGCCATTGAAAATTAGTACCTTGATAAAAAGAAAAAAAAAAAAGTGAATAAGGTAAGCATGATATAAAAAGAATAAATAAGTTATATATCTATAAGTGGTGTGATATGCTTCAAGCAAAAGCCTTGTCATAATCTGTGAAAACGAATCTGTATCTCACATCACCATCGTTACATCTTGTTAATGCGATCTCACAGTTCTTCTCCGAGATGGGAATTTCTTCAACAATAGGCTTTACTCCTTTTTTGGCAGCCAACTCCAACATTTCCAAAGCCTCCTTCTTAGAACCTAACAAAGAAGAGCCGAAGGAACCTCCGTTCGATAAGAAGGAAAATGGATTCAACTCAAACTTGTCATCGACGGGTGGTAAGCCCACGGAAACAAATCGTCCATCCACTTTCAAAGCAGACAAGTACTCATCCAAAGAAAAGCCATCAACTCTTGAAGCGCAGTTCAAAATCAAATCAAACTTGTCATGAAATTTGCTAGCCCAGTCCTTTTCTTCCTGGGTTGCAATAAAACCATCAGCACCTAAACTAGTCGCCTCCGCCTTCTTTGAAGACGTTCTAGAGAAAGCGTAAACTTCTGCACCTAGAGCTTTAGCAAACTGGAGTGCTAAATGTCCCAAGCCACCAATACCAATCACGGCAACAACGGGCTTTTCAATGTGACGAATATTTCTGACAATTGGCGAATAAACAGTCAATCCAGCACACATCAAAGGAGCCGCTGAAACTGAGTCCAACTCGTCCGGAATTGGGAACACAAATTTTTGATTAGCAATGCTGTGTGAAGAATATCCACCTTGCGTGACATAACCGTCGGAAAAACCGTCGATAGAATTGTAAGTGCTTACCCCATCCTTGCAATATTGTTCATTATCAGAACCACATCTTGAGCAAGCGCAGCAAGAGGAGGAAGCTGCACCCACACCAACCCTGTCACCCACTTTCACTTCAGTGACTTCGTCACCTACAGCAATCACAGTACCGATGATCTCATGACCAACAACAGTATCAGGTCTCTGCATTGGTCCCCAGTTTTCTTGGGTTGTATGGATGTCAGTGCCGCAAAGACCGCAACAGATATTCTTTATAACGACATCTGTAGGCTGAATAGACTTACGTTTGTAAGTAACCAATTTTGGCTTATTCCAATTTTCTTTGGTATCAACAGCAAATCCTTTGAAGGTGTCGGGGACAGAACTCGATGTTACCATGGCCAATGAGCTTTAAATGTATTTGCTGGTGCGAATTGCCTCCGGAAGCCTGGGTTTTATAGGGTAAGCGCTAGGTGAGACCTGTATAAGTTAGCGGATAAATATTCCTATTGTGGTCAATCTCTGACAGCGCAAGACGCACGAAAAAACGTCTGTTAGTACTACGTCGGAAAAAAAAGATAGTGTCAGCCAAAGTGCAATTCAGAAAAAAATCCTGGAGGACACACATGCATATGACTACTGGCAAGATCAACCAGATAATTACGAGCGCCCTGCGAAGCAGGGTGCGAGAATAGCCTAATTGCATGTGTAGCCCACGTATTCTCTTCGGACAGATACCCAGAGCTACCGTGCTGTATATCTCTCCTCGAAGGAGGTTTCCATTCGAAGGCGGGCGCCCACCATGGCTTCGGAAGCCTTAGTATTACCTAGTAACCCACCGAATCCAACACCGCTTGCCCTGACATTGTCAGACCGAGGCTGCTTTCACATGTTCTCCCGACTGACTGTATGTTCCTCTTGGGGTCGCAAATGTAATAAGTCGGAAACTTGTGTATTATGTTCGCCTGTGTAGAGTCGATTCTAGTGTCAATAAAACCCTCATATTGCGTCGCAATCGTGCCTCCGTACCTTCGGCCACATATCATACGTGCCCACTGTTTGCGCGCCTATGTGTTATGGACAAACAAAAAAAAAAAAAATTAGCAAAAAAAGTAATAGACATCAGGATCACTCGAGTGAGCTTCGCAATGTCACTATGGGGTAAAAAATATAGCACACACATAAATTTATAGCAGATAATACCAATGAAGTTATGCGTATGTGACTTTCATAACGTTAGGCGCATATTCTATTCGCGATCGTTTTGTTACGCGGTGTTGCAGCCAAATCATCGTCTTTTAGGTGGAGGTGAAAGCGAGTGCGGAACCTTTATGTATATACTCTTTTTGCCCATACACAATTTTTTCTCCCCAATTCCACTCTTTTGCTTTTTCTTGGGCAATACGACTTTTTTTCCACAGCTCTTTTCCGCCCACTTTATGTACATTCAAAATTTCCTAAGTGAATGATAAATTAGATTACCGATCATCGTCTTGCACCGAAAAATATCGAGGTGATCTGTTCCCATAACCCGCATAGACAGCATCGTTACTCACAACAAACAACTTCATTCAGCCACAACACGATTTCTGTTTCTCTTCAATCCACTCTGAATGGTTTTGTATAAACGAAAACAAGTGACGTTTGTTCGTCCCCCAGAGGTACCTTCTGATTTATCAACGGAAATTTTCATCATCCCCCAAACAAAAGAATGGTTCATAGAGTACGAGGATTATCTCAACCGCATGGACTACTATCACAGGCGAAAGTTTGTATGTGAAATAACTGGTAACTCATGCCTAACTTTCTTCGAAGCCTTTGACTCAGAACTGAAAGAAATAAAAGATGTTGAAAAGAACTTCCCAGAAGCTTTGCGTGAGCATATTCTCCGGTTTCTACAATTCAATCGCATATCAAGACTAGACCAACTAGTAGATAAAGTGTACCTGGTATTCAAAAACGAGTACTTTCCTGGGGAAGAAGTCTACGTCAAAAATCCAGTCGCAACAAACACCAATAACGCGGCGAAAGTGAACGATGAACAATCCTTCATCTATGTATCCACTATTAAACAGAAGGGAATCATCAGAGAAAAAGTGCAATATAGCAATCCTTTCGATACAAAATATCTTGTTGCTACAATGAACGATGATCGTCAAATCATCGCAACGAATGAACAAATATCTAGAGACCGCAATCATTTTACGAAATGGCTCATAAAAACTTTTGTGAAACTTACCGTCACTAGATCCCATAAGGTTGGTGCCCCATGGGTCGTCAAGGAGAAGTATGCAAAGAAGTACAGGATCCCCAATGAGTATCCAGAGGATTTAAAACATTTCGAAAGCTCCACTCCGACGGGAAATGTTTTGTATGAAGACGAAATCGAGAGGTCAGTCACGCCAATGCCCCCTACTGATTCAAAGGGCAAAAAGCAACGTGAAAAGCAATTGAAGAAGAAAGCTACTTTAAATGCAGCGTCTACTTCATCACACCTATTTGATGGTCTGTTGGATGAAAAGGACATGAGATCGAGTATTAAGAATGGAACCCGTCAAAGATTCCTAGTGAATCACCTACCAGCAGCAATCCTGCGAGAATTAAAAGAGAATGAATTGGCTACGCTCTCCTCTTTCCAGCCATCGAAAAAGACAATTGTCGAAGATTTGAATCTTGATTTTGATCTTCAAACTTACCGGCCGTGTCCTAAAAAATTGAGTATGCCAGAAAATGCCAAACTTATCCATCAAAATTCCCAAGAAAAAGTGCAACAAGACATTAATAATATAGAGGAGGTCGATGCCAAGCAGAATAATTCAACAGAAACACAAGATGACTATTCCCCTGAGAAAACATTACAATTCCAAGAGCTTAATTGCATTCAAGAGGCACTCGAGTGTTGGACTTTCCTCAACATTTATCACTCAGTTCTCAACTTGGACACTTTTACTTTTGATGACTTTCTTTGTGCGATGAGCTGGAATGCTGAACAATTTCAGAATATTGGTCGCTGTGAGTTGCTTGATGAAATTTGGTGCGCAGTTCTATGTGGAATAATGTCAAATGAACAGCCCAAAAAGAACTCTAATAATGACGAGAGTATGTCAGGACTTTTAATCAATTTACCACCGAAGACAATCTTTGCAAAATCAGGCGAAGAAAAAGTGGGTTGCAAGAAGAAACGAGGCATAACGGGCATGATCAGAATGTCAAGGTTTCTAAAGCAGATTCTGATACGAGTGAAGTGGATACAGGGGAATCAAAAGTCCCTCATACATTGTCTGCAAACGGGGCCATGTCAAAGGAAGATCAGCTATTGGTGAGTAATGAACACGAGAAAGAAGACGTTGAAGCAAATGAGGAAAATGAGGAAAATGAGGAAAATGAAGATCTCAGTCACAACGCGTATTCTGTCATGAACCATAGAGGTATAAAGTGGTACGAGAGGCTAAGAAAACGAAATTTCAAAGACGGTAATTGGCAAACTATATTATTGGGTGTTTTATCTTTGGTAGAATACGTGCCTTCTTATCAGGACACCATAAATCAAGTTTTTAACACTCTCGCACCGGCCCTGAGTGCTTCAAATACTCCTTCATCAGTTCTTTCTGAATTTTACACCAATATGAGTGTTAATTTGAGATTGAAGACTCTTCGCATCTTGACTTCATTGTTAGTCAATGGATCACTTGTTAGGAATTACATTGATGAATCCTTGGATGCTTGCGCAGCATTGAGACGTTCAAGGTTAGATATCATTCGCGATCTCAAAGCAGCAGTCGATGAAGCCAACAAAATTCATAGTTCTTTGCACGAAAAGTTACTCGAAGCTGCAACAAGAGCAAGCGAATCAAAGATTTGGGCGCAGTTCAACAAGAAAAAGCCACGCTTCAATACAAAAAGCTACGAAATGACTGATTATGAACGGGAGTTAAGCGAGTCAGATGAATCTTTTCAAACTCTCTGGAAAAATCGTGATGAAGCAATCGAGAAAATCAAAGCTTTAAGAATTTCAAAAAAAGATGTGGAAACAAAATTCACGGAAATGGATTGTCAGCGTGTGCGCTTACTTGGCAAGGATAGGCTTTTTAACAGATACTGGTGGTTTGAAAATAATGGCTTACCTAATCTTCATTTCACCACAGAAGGCGACGAAGATGAGGAAGCCGAAGCTGAAAGTGATGATGATGACGAAGAAAAGGAAGACATGACAGAAGAGACTTATCTTATGGGTAAACTTTGGGTTCAGGGTCCATCTTCGATGGACTTATTGACAAATCTCAAACTTTCGGAGTCTGAAATATCTCTCATTTGAAAGAAAATTGCGTGAGAGTACGCGGGAGCAAGATAGGGAAGAATTAAACCCTAAAAATAAACAAAGCAATGGTGATAAGCAAGAGAACACCGTTGATCTTGGTGACGGTGGAACACTCTTACAAGTCATGGACTTCAACAAATTACCCGATGCATTCATCAAGACAGCCGAGGTCTTCGGTGTGAAGTATAGTGCCAATTCCATCAGCGTGAATGAAAAGAAGATTATCGATAGGGTTGGGGGGATTCCAAAGGATGAAGACGTGACCAATCTACTGCCTATTCAAAGAAAGTTCATTGAAGAAGCACCTGAACCACTTGTGTCTGGAGATCAATGGAGATTCTATGACAAACCGGAACAAATTGACTTATTGATAAAGTGGCTAAATCCGTGGGGAAAAAGGGAATCACAATTGCGAAAGGAGTTGTTACGAGTGAAAGAAGGCTTGATAGCAAGTATCAATGGAAGGCGTAAAGCACTTTGGCTTGATCAGCTACCTAAGGAAGTTTTGGAAATTCAATCGAACATTGACAAGGTCAGTGAGAAGATTCTTGGAATGCAACAAAACGCATCCAAGAAGAGCGACTCGGAAGACAGTGGCGATGAGCTGATGACTAGAAAACGTTCAAGGAGGTCGACCTATACTCCCAACAAAAGACAGAAGACCATGGAAGAAGCTATGAAAAGCGGAACTCTAGAAGAACTTTTGCAACTAAAGGTGCAATTACACGAATCGTTGGAAGAAAAGGTTGCTGAGAATCATACCACCCGAGTTTTGGAATGGATCAATTCAACTACACGAGAAAATTTTGATCGTTCATTATACGAAGGAGGAGACAAACCTAGACCTCGAGCCAAACGGCCTAAAAAATGATTAAGAGATTATTGTATTCGAATATACATAAGGACATCACCTCCGACTTTTCTTTCCTATGTTACGTAAATCATCTCCAGGACGCTTGCCCAATCTCTCCGTTCTAGTCCGCTCTAGTAGTTGCCTTAGTTGCGATTCTTTATCCCGTTGTTCCTGTATTGCCTGTTCTTTTCTTCTCTGATTTCTTATGCGAATATCATCTCGAGCCTGGTTGTGTGCATTTTCTAGTGCCAGGGAAAGCAGGCTGAATTTCTCCACATTTATTGAAGACTCAACAGAAGCCCCACCCATACCTGTCGCATTGACTCGCTTATCCAATGAAATAGAAAAACCCTGATTATTTTTCCAGTTTGAGACTGCACTGGGTATTTTCCATTGATCTTTTAACTCCTTAGTAACTTTGGTGTTAGAAGAGGACTTCAATATAGGAGGAGGCGGCGAAGGCTCTTTGTGTCGATTCTTTCGAAGCTTGAACTTCGGTGGTAGCATAGGATCTTCTTTGTAATCTCTAATTTCGATGGTTTTTCCTCCATCATCGGGGTCTCCCATCCCGCTGGGGGTGAAATTCACAAATGACGCACCTTCTGATTTTTCAGTGGCACCATCAGACTGTGATATCAACTTCTCTATGAGTTCTCTCGTCTCTTCGACACAAGTAGCTAAGCTTTTGTCCGGGCAGTTTTGCAAAGTATATCGTGGAAAATGGTGCTTTAAATTGGGATACCTTTCTTTCAACGGGATCGTATCTTCATATGTAGCTTGCACAGCTACTTTGCTATCTTGTGCAAGTGCGATAGTCTTAGCGTAGTCTAAAGACCCATCCAGCGAAACATGTAGTTCAGATAACGTTTTGTCTGCTGTATTGGGGTTGGGTATGACATGTGTCTTCGTCCGATCAGATATTCCTGGCAGTACGATGAGAGCAGAACGTCTAGATTCCTTAATGATGCTCACAGGAATTGTATCATGAGTAGCATGCTCTGGTTTCGGTAGAAGTGAGCTGAACATAGTTATCCTTTACTTGTGGGTTTGAGTGTATGTTCCACAACTACAAGATGCGGTGTGCACACGATTGCGGCGTGCATTTCAAGAACCTCACTAGAACAAATAAATGTGAACAAGAAAAAGATGTAAAATAAACGTACACACACTTAGCATCAAAAAATACCGCGATGCTGTAAATAAGCAAAGAATTTCATAAACCACTTGCGAGGCATAATCATGAGCTGAGTTGGATCCACAGTCGATTCAAAGTTCTTTTGAGAACATTCCATACCCTTGAAGCCTATCCACATTAAAAACCCGCGAAACAAAAAGTGAGAGAATTTGAATTTAAAAGGAAGATTTGGTTGCTTAGGATCAATAAGTGGTTTGGTTTCCGCGCTTTCCTTTGCAATTTCGTGTTCGACATCCTCGAGGTAGTCTATCATTTTGTCAGGCAGATCAGTTATAATACCATACTCCCTAACTTGAAATGATTTGGCAATGCGAGAGAAATACTCAAGTTGGGCAAGCGTGTTCACTGTCCACGAGTACAACTTGAGATCTTCTTTCTTTAGAATGGGCATAAATTTCGTGACAAAGTCAGTACTCCATGTGGTGATATATATCAACGAAATGGCGGTGATTTTGAATTTGAATCTGTCATTTTGCAAGGAGTCAATATATTCGTTGTATGCCATATACGTCATTGAGTCATGCCAATCAATGGAGATGTGAATAATGTCAAAATGTCTGTACTCTTGTGCAGATGTAACACCCGCAAAGACCTCTTGAAAATAAGGATCCTGATTCAAGTACTTGATGAACCTCAAATGCCAGATGCCAAACTGGATGCGCAGAAACCACCAGGCTAAATCATTATGGACATCGATTATTGCAGCCACAATAAGCTGCAATATGCGGGGAGGATTAGCGTTCTTTATATCAAGCATTATACGGTGTTCGGAGATCAGATCGCCCCCATGGCTTTGAACATATTCGAGAAACCAACGTAATAGACCCTTAAACGTGAGCATGCGCTCGCCAGACTCGATCGTTCGGAGGTCTTTAATCTCGTCATAGTAGCTCTCGGGAATGTTGTAGTTCGTTTCGTTCCCATTCTCATCACAAAAGATACGATTAGTGTTAACGTCATGTGAAATCACCAAAACATCATCCTTAGTGGTCCAGACATCGGTTTCGAACATAGTGGCTCCCGTTTCAAAACATTTTTCAAAACCATGAATTGTGTTTTCGGTGTATTTGGCTTTGAAGCCTCGGTGTCCTATGACTAAACATTCGCTACACTTTGTCATGATTGGATTGGTAGTCTAAGATCAGGAAAGTGTTTTCAGTAAGCGAGCGTTCATTTAACAAATGGTTCAGCACTGCCACACCAACGAAATTTCACTTATACTGCGTGATAGAGACAGTTCTTCCGGTCCAGCCGTTGCCACGTGCTCTTAATCCCAGGTTATTCTTTTCATATTCTTACGCGAATGTCACTGTCAAAACGATGCAGGCACTGCCTAATTGTATATGATTATGCACTCTACTAAAGCTTAACTTCACTTCGGTCCAAGACATGCTTAATCAAAGAGAAGGCAACAGAAATGTCTGATGGGAGAATGATCCCTTCAGGATTTGTCTCCTCGGTATGTTCACCATCGACTAATTTCTTAACAAAAGAAACGTCAAACCAACGAGCATCCGCCAACTCTCTATCGTGTCCCAAATGGATAACTTCATTTTGGCCGTTGAATTCTACTGTGGCAACACATCCGATCATCAAGTTAGCTGGGAAGGGCCATGGCTGGGTCATGAGAATTTGAATATCATTGCACACAACACCAGTCTCTTCCCAAATTTCCCGTTTAGTAGCAACCTCAATTGTTTCGGAAGGCTCCATAAAACCAGATGTACAAGAGTACATTTTGGTAAATGCATACCTTTTGTTGAGCGAAAGCAACATTTTGGTTCGGGCCTTGTCCGTGATTGCCGTGATAACAACGCAGTCAGTGCGGGGGAAAGAAACGTTTGAAACAGAAGTGTTTTTCACAGGACAGCTATGAATAATATTCTCGCCATCAGTTCTGTTTTCATCGTTGGTGCATCTGAGTTTGCCTCCAGCATGAATAGGGATAACTTTTGATCCACATCCAGGGCAAAACTTGTTCCGTCCTAGCCAGTCGAAGTACATCTTTCCATGGCTGTATAGCGCCGCCTCGTCGTTTGAAAATCCCAATGTATGTTTTCGGGAAGTGGTAAAAATCAACAGTTTTTCCTCGACCTGAGAGTTGTACATCATGATATGCTCACGTACATCCTTCGCTACATGTGGAGAGTTTGACACATCTACACCAAAGTATGGGATCCCAGAGTATCTTCCTTGATGGTCCAAATACTTTTCACCATCATGTAGCTTCAATTGTTGCAAATCGACCCCCACGCTTTCATCTTTAAGGCCCATAAAAAGAAAGGTTGGTTTGGCATCATCTCTCAAGCCAGTATTATGCTCTTTGTTGTCTTCACTCCATGTTTCTAATACCTTTGTCCAATTTGGTCTAACTTTAGAAGTTGGGGCAAGCAATCCTTTGGACGTAGCTGAGACGCTCGTTCCTTCCACCGTAGATAATTGATCGTCTCCGTTACAAAGAATAACTAAACGCTTTTCTTCGACATCCTTATTCACCAATGGGTTACCGTTTTCGTAAAAAATGAATCTAGTGCTGGGATGAAACAAAGCGTTTGTAATAAATTCTGAATCCTCTCTAAGGAATGAGACCCGATTGACAGCTTCTTTACCGAAATATATGGCTTCTGCCGGTGATTGAAGGGCAAGTTTTGGATTTGTTGACATTTTATAGTACAGCTCTAGCCTTGATTTTAAAGAAACTTGTGTACAATAAGACCGGATTAATTTGTCAAAAAATGGACTAAACCGATAGTATCGTGAAAGCATGAACTTTCCTGTGAGGTGCGATAAGATGAGTAAGCAAACCAAACACTATGCACGTGATTTCTAGCTGATTAACAGCGCTTTGATAAAGGAATACTCTACAAGTTTAGTCAATGAGTAGTTACTTTATCAATGAATTACAGACCGATTAAAGATGTGCAGATGTGAAAACTGTTGTTGATATATATACAGGTGTGTTGTGTAAATAAAAACACTGGCTGTAATGTTAGTAAAGACCTTGAAAAAGAAATGGGAGCTATAGTGTACATAATCAGATAATTAATAATCAAGACGGTATCCTCAATGAAATTAGGAAGTCAAGCGTTCTAAATCAAGATTGTTCATCATATGACCAATAGAGCTCACTCGAAAATAAAAAATAAAAACATACCCTTTGAAGATTTATAAACACAAAATTCATGGATGATAACATGGCATCTGCTGGATTTGTTAGTAGCGGAAATCACTATCTACGAAAGCACGCAACAATGATCAGCTATCTTAGACTTATCCTCAAGGAATATTCGGAAGTCTAACGTCTAAAAAAATCTTTTGAATCATCACCAAAGTGCTAATGCGATCAAAAACAAAGGAACAAAAACATACCTTTCGAAGATCAGCACCATCCTATAGTCATCAGATTTAACCGATTGTGGTACCTTCCTTTATAGCTCTAGGCAATCCTTTGATCCAGGATTTCTTTGACTTCTTGTCAATGATTATGAAAACCCTTCCAGATTGCTTCATTCTCCCCGTTCTTCCCACACGATGAATTAGATCCACTGAAGATCTGGGAATATCCATTAGAATGACATTCTTGATACCCAGGAAATTTAAACCTCGGGCTAACAAGTCTGTAGTTACTAAAACTTTTATTTTACTGCCATCGGGGTCATCCTCCAACAAAGTGGCAGGGCGAATAAATGAGTCAATTTTTTCGCCTCGCTCGACAGCAGAGTCCTTCCCGGTGACAGCAACAATATCAGCTTGCCGATGGCCATATTTTGTTATGAGGGTTTCCACAAGAGGCTCAACATCTTTCTTTTCATTGACAAATACCAAGATTCTCTTCACATATCCGGCTTCAGTTCCGTCGTTATAGATAGCATAGAGTGCTTGTGCTAAACATCTCGATTTCGATCCATGATAAGGGGCCTGTTGAGCATCAATGACTTTCAAAACGATTTGCTTGGGAATTTTATGAACCAGAGGAGTCACAATAGAAATCACCGAGTTTTCATCTTTGAACATGCTCTTCATGGTTTTATTAAACTCTTTCGGGATTGTTGCTGAGCACATAATGAGATCCTTTAGTTTGTTAAATCTTCTTAATACAGTAGACGTGTCAGGGAACCATGAGTTGTCCATAAGCGTATCGGCTTCGTCGACCACACAGTACTCAACAAAATTGAAAAGTCGGAATTGTCTTGGAATATTAGTCAACTTAGCTAAGCCTTGAATTTTGGCAGGGGTAGTCACTAGGACGTCAATGCGACCTTTTTGTGCCAGTTGAAAAAGCCTTTCATGGGAATCTCCCGATCCCCATTTCACTACTTTCAACCCCAAGTTTTTTGTTCCTTCGGCCTCTAAAAACGATTTGAAACCAGAGGATTGAAGCATTTTGGCTCCAACATCTTCCTCTAGATCTATTGGAAGGGTACTTGCACGGAAAGCAGTGTCATAAACTTGATCCACCAACTCGTGAGTCGGAAGCAAAATCACAGCTCTAATGGTTTCAAACTGTTTAGCTTCGCTGTAAAGTTTTTTGCTTCGGTTAAAAAGATTCGCGTCATCCTCCTTAAGCTTAGAAAACACAGACGCCAAATATGCCCAGGTCTTACCTGAACCAGTTTCTGCGGCCACTGTGAAAACCTTGAGCTTTTTTGATTCGTTTTCAAGTATCAACTCTTTCAAAATCTCATTACCGTTTGCAGCTGTTGATTGCTTTGCAGAAACCTTCCTTGGTTGATTAATTTTCCGGATTGCGGCAACCTGAACCGGAGACGGCTTTATTTCTAACTCCTCCTTACTTTTCACGTAGGTACTTTTCAAGTTATATCCCTCCTTAATTTCTTTGATCATTGCGGCCCGCACGGTGGGAAAAATTCGAAGCGAGTTGAAACTCGAGATTTTCTCGATAACCGTTTCAGATTTGGAGATTTCATTCTTTGCCGGTCTTTGCAATGAAGCAAAGTTCCCGAAGGCGAATAGTTTACTTTTCTTTTCAGTGGCAGGTGCATCTAAAAGCTTCCCCTGCCTTGAATTGGGTTGCTTCTTCTTCGTTCTAAAGAACCGCAATTGTGTTCTCGCTAAAGAATAATTTAAACCAAAAGGCCATCGGATAATAGGGTTCAAACATCTCATGGTGAAATTTCTGTCATCACTTTTGACCACATTTTCCCTTTTTCTTGTACCTAAGAAGACGCATAAAAATTTTCCTAAATACCAGCCATTTTTTAGAAAAGTAGTGCGCCTACTTACTCAGTAATATTTCTTAGGGCTACACTTTACTGGCGCAGAAGAAAATAGCGTTTCATTCGAGTGTTGGTGTCGTGAAATCAATAATACCATATACGTTTCTCAATCACAGTATGCCATTGTCGTATATTCGCCCTAAGGTATGTAGAAGTTCCATTTTAGGCCTGGCTTTCCATAGCAGGTGGTGGAATTGTTACCATGGCAACATGGGTATCTGACGAAGATGCTAGCAAACACTCTGCTTGTAATATAACCTTACAATTATTTACTTTAATCCAGAGAATTTCCTTGTTGTAAGCGTTTACAACACCAAATTCGTCTGACTACATTCACGTGACTTAATTTGAGACGAAAAATTTCGCTCGAGCCTAACAGGTTCGAAACAACAGAGACTCCATGTTGAGATCAGCTGCTGCCAAAGCCAGTTATTGTCAAAAGGTTCATGTCGGATTTCTTTCTTCAAGCTTGAGATCCTTCAGCTTTTCTGCTTTCTGTGAATGCTGCTGCTCCTGCGGGAAAGAAAAAAGTCAAGTTAGGTTTCAAATCGAAGGAGACCAAAGAAAAGGTGAAAAAGGGTGGTATGACCCATTTGAAGTTCAGAGATGCAGTCAGACAACTAAAATTTGAAAATTTTGCTAAAGATCTCTCCAGTCTCGAATTAGCCACGTTGGATACTGCTAATGTGAAATCTCTTCACTCAAGTATCACCAAGTTCGACGCGCAAGTGCAGAAACAGTTGACTGATTTGGGATCTTTCAAGAAGTTACAACATCATGAGCTTTTGCGTGAACCTGTTTCTTTGGTGAGCGACAACACAATTGAAGTGAACAATATTTTCCTCGAAATGTTGGATCAATCCAGTGCCCAGAACAGATTGTGCTTGATCGGCGAGAAGGGTGTCGGTAAATCTACTTTGATCACTCAAATTCAAGCATTGGCTCTTTCCAAGTTTAACAAGGATGTCGTTTTAATGCATCTCGATCACCCAGAAAAGATAGTTGAGGGTTCGAGTGATTACATTTTGAACAGAAAGATGAAAAAGTACCAACAACCAATGTTCACGAAGAGGTGGATTAAAAAGTTGCGTGCTGCTAACGAAGAAGTGTTCAAAAAAATGCCTTTAACGAGAGACATCAGCTTCACCGCTAAGAAGGTTGAGTACAACTTGAAGAAGGGAGAAAACACTGTTTATGACTTTATTTTGCATAACCATGACTTTGGTTTAGTTGGTCCTTCTGACGCTTTTCAATTTTTGATTCAGGAATTGAAAGCACACTCTGAAACGTTCCCGGTTTTGGTCTCAATCGACAACTTTAACGCCTTGATCGCGGAAGCTTACACAAAATACTTCCATCCAAACATGGTGCCTATTCATTTCACGCAGTTTGAGGTGGGCCACTTAATCAAACAACTCGTTAGTGGTGAACTTTCCTTCTCCAAAGGTGGTGTTTTGCTAGCTGAAAGCAAAGACCTTGGCGAATGTAAAACATTGAGAGTTGGTTTAGGATTAGAGGAGCACAACCCATACGACAAGAAGAAGGTATGTGATTCGCAATTCGCTGAATCTATGCTTCTGAATGGGGGTGTACAACCCTTGTTTTTGAAAAATTTCACTAAAGACCAAGCAAGAACATTGTTGAGTTTCTGGAATGAAAGTGGTGCTTTACAAATAAGAGATTACCCAACAAAGGATTCTTTCAAGTCTTCAAGTGCTGTTCAGGATAAGGAGACTAAATTGGTTGGTGAGTTTGTTGAATGCTCGGATCCTACTGCTCAACTAGAGAATCTTGTGGAGTCTACATACTTCCATTCCTCTGGTAATCCAGGATCCCTCTTGAAATCTAACCACTTAGTTTTCTAGTTAGCATGTATATAGGAATTAAATGTATATATTGGAGAAGTTTCCTGAGACGGTATATGTATTGGATGCTAAAATTACAGTATAATAAATGAGCTGAAGTAGTCCATGACTTATTGAAACAAGGAGAAAGGTCTAAGTGAACAAAGTATCTTCCTCTCTCAAGTACTCACCGATATCACCTTGTCTGAATGCAACGATCGAGGTAGGTTGCAAGTTTTTCGCTTCTGTAGTAGACTTGGCAGAAATACCAAAACCAAGAGGTACATCATGCATTGAGTAAACAATGACACCCGCGTGTTCTGGGATATCTTCTGACATCCTTCCAACGTGTGCCTTCAATACATGATTACCATATAAGAAAGGCATTTCACCGTTAGCTTTGATCCAAATCTTGAATTTAGCGTATTGGGCCAAATAGGGCAAAGATGTGATATGCAATCTGAACTTTCCTGTTTTGGTGAACTTTCCGAAACAAGTTCCAAGAGACATTAACCTATCTCTGGAAACGGACGTAGCGAACTTAGCGACGGTCTCAGACACATAGTAGACTCTATCTTTTTGTAGTCTGAAAACGTGGGGATTTGTGGGGTTGTCAATCAAGAACGAGATATTTCTGCCAATATAGTTCGCCAACTTTTCAAATACGACCTTTGTTTCTTCCTCCGTTAAAGACCTCATCTCGTTTTGGTGGACAAAGTTCTGGCAACGTAAAGGTCATCTCGAATTTTTTTTTGCACTCTAAAGTGTGGTCACGTGCGCATCTTCTTGAAAGGATCCTTCAAGTATTTCTCCTCAAATTCTATAATTCGACAAGAAGTAGTCTCAATATACTTCTAGATGTTAGTTTCTAATTCATGTAGTCACTCACTGCTTTTACACCTAACTCTATCAACAAGATTTTGGTTGAACTCATCAAACTTTTCACCCGTACATCTCGCTCCAAATTTCCTAGCGATGACTTGAAGTTTTTTCTGAAACTTGATAAGATGGTACAAGAGAAAAGAATTGCGCCAGGAGATGACGTTGTGGCTGAAAGCACAGAATCTCCTTCGGTTGTTTCCAAAAAGCCTAAGCAAAGCGCTGACGGAAATGACAGCGCAAAGCCAAAAGCCTTCTCGAAAAGAGACAATAAGAATACGTAGGTAAGTTTACTTTTCTCGTGGAGAGACAAACCGAAATATCATGCAATGACTAACAATTCAGTGAGTGGACTCCTAGATTAGATGAGCAAGGAAACCCGCTCCCCAAGTCAGAGAGAAAGCCAAAAAAGAAGGTTGCTTGTATGATTGGATATTGTGGAACTGGGTACAATGGTATGCAAATACAGAATAATCCAGACGTCAAGACTATTGAAGCAGAAATTTTCAAAGCTTTCATTGCAGCAGGTGCCGTATCACAGGAAAATTCTACTGACTTGAAAAAAAATGGCTTTATGAGAGCAGCTAGAACAGACAAGGGTGTTCATGCAGCCGGTAATGTGATCTCTTGTAAGCTTATCTTAGAAGACGAGGACATCATGCACAAAATCAACAGTCATCTTCCAGAAAAAATACGTTTGTGGGGTATTGAGCGGGTTAACCGTTCTTTTGATTGCAGAAAATTATGTTCTTCTAGAGTTTATGAGTATTTGTTACCTACGCATAGTTTATTACCTCCAAGACCAAAGAGCAGTTTATACAATCTTATTGAGGCAAGCAGGGCTGAACATCCTGGAGTTCTTCGGAATGATCCTGACGTCGAGTGGTGGGAGACTACAAGAAAGAGAATCGTTGAGAGCGGTGTAACACAAGAAGATTTGGAACAGGTGTTTGAAAAAACTTCGGAAGCAGGATTTGATAAAGACTCGAAAAAGGAATACTATGATGAAAGCGGTGAAGTATCTGATTGGGGGAAATTAGTAAAGAACATAAGAGGCATCGAAAACGCTTGCAGAAGAGAGTACAGGGTGAACTCTGAAAAGCTTGATTTG